ATATATATATATACATATATATATATATATATATGTATGTATATAAAATACAGCCCATAAGCTATTAAGTATTTTTTTAATTAAACCTGAATAAACACAAAACTTTTCCTCTTTGTAATATGAGTTTAGACAAAGACTCATGGTGGCCGTAACACACATAGTACATGAAATAATCAAGAACATTGCGCCCGAGTAATGCATAGCCCGGCCTTTGACCCGTATCTTTCCGATGCATCTGCAAATTGCACGCACGCATATTATGCACATTTTCAATTACAATCACCGTTTGGAATGAGAACAATTATCATTCATTAATTCATATTCACAGTTACAAAGGACGCTTGTTACGCTAACTGTTTAGATAAACAATATTACTGTTTAAATGTTTCATTTATTTGATTTGAATGTACGGTGTCAGAGGTCAACCACTGTTATTGGGAAAGTTACCCGATTGTTATCTATTTAGTCGGTCATTCGACAGCCAGAGCCGGAATTAAACGATACTCCTTTGTCTTAGGAAAAATACTCCAATAACCTTATCTAATTATTGGATGTATTATATGTTTATATGTATTTAAGAATGAACAGAATTTTATAGTACCTCTAATCAAACGGTTTATAATTAGGTACTTCTTTCCATCGGAAGGTTGCGACCAGGAAGAGACTTTGTACAAAAGTCGTTTGCTTGGGCACCTCTATTCCATTAGTGTTTCTACCGTGAAGCAGTTGTATTTGCTTGGCTGTGTTTCGGTTTGAAGGGTGGGATATGGCAGTGAATTTACAGGGTACAGAGGTATAACACCTGAGTCCTACAGGAATAGCAACGCATGGGAGGTATCATGGGCGAAACAGTATGCTCTGTTATGTCCATGATACTGCTCAAGACTATAGGCGACGTTTACCACTTTCCATCCGGTGGGCCATCAGCTTGTTTGCCATTCTAAGTTGCAAAAAAAAGGTTGCCTGGAAAAGATGGCTTTAAGAAATAAGGGATACTAATTGTTTTTCTCAGTAAATAATTACAGGAAATGATTACATCATTTCCTGTAATTATCTATATGTATTTATAACAAGTTACTATTATAATCTTTTGGAGGAAACAATAAACAGAATCTATCTATATATATATGTAATATTTTCATATGACCTTATTGTACCACATTTTTAGCAATAAAATTCATTCATTCGTTCATTCATTCATTCATATAAATCAGCCTTTCCCAAAGTGGGCGATAACGCCCCCTTGTGGGCGCTGCAGGTCTAAAGGGGGGCGGTAAGAGACCCAGAAAAAAATGGGGGCGTTGTGTAAAGGCTAGGGGTTGATTTGTTGATCTTAAAGTAATAGTGGTTTTTAAGTAGGTGAAATAATGGGGCCGCTAAAAAATAATTTATTCTCAAAGTGGGCAGTAGACAAAATAAGTTTGGGAACCCCTGATTAAATAATACTATTTATACCTATACAAAAGTAAGTAAAGACATGATGTTTCTTGTTTTTGGTACACGAATAGAGATAGAGAGATGATCTTATATTACCGTTATCTTAATCCGCGTAAGTAAAGCCGGGTGTTATAATTTTAGATAAAGAATCACACTCACTCAAATCTTCCACTTATTTTGTATTTTTCATTCATTCGATAGGGTTTACTTGCTTGTTGGTCCCATATAAATTGTCTCCCTAATGAAATCGCTGTTTTTTATATGAAAATAAATCAATTAAATCATTGAATTATAAATCATCATCCTTAAAATGATAGTTAAAGATGTCCATACACCTGAGATAGGACATTTCATCAGGACGATGTCTAGAACACAAAATAACCATGTCCTGGTTCGATGCCGTCCTGACTGGATGGATGCCTCTCAGGTAATAATAATAATAATGTTTATTAATTAATCTCACAACTTTTTTGAGTACAATGAAACATTTAAAATAATACCATAGATACATCAAAGTTGTAGAGAACTGGTGCCTAAACTGGGTATCCAAAGAACCCGTATCACAAGATATCAGGACCCCTCCCTGGCATAAAACAGTTTATGGTAATACATACAATGGAGAACTCAAAAGTCGTTAGTCGTAGTTTTTTTTTTTTTGATGGGTGAAAATAGTATGGTAACCGCCTGCGCTAACGAGTACGCTGGCGGAGCACCAGTGAAGGGTGATAGGTGAGAATGAAAACAGACCAGTTAGCCCATCGTGATGAATTCATAAGGAATTAACCATGATAGTTTCCAGGGGGAACCGCGAGGAGGTCGACCTAGTTGGGGTATATTGCTAGCAATGGGATTCTCAGTCTCCATTACTAACAATCCCTTTCCCCCCTATTAGGTGTAGTAGGTACAAATACAATATGTACACATGAAAACACCTATACACACATAGTTATATGATATCTAAATGTTTAAATAACAATCAGTCACAATTGGATATACATTAGTAAGCAAAGGCAAGGCAACAAAGTACACTAAGACAGAAAAAAGGATATCAAATCAGGTATATGGTTTATTAAATTATAGCTTTTTTTCCTAACATAATTTTAAATCTAGTACTTATAAAATAGATCTTGTTGTCTGTCATTAAATTGATTTAAATTTGAATTAAATGAAGACATAAATACAAGATTATAAACGAGTATGCAAGTTATTACTAAATATATAAATTCATAAATTAAAAATAAATGCTTATAATAACTCTCCTAATGAATTAAAATGGTCCACGTCATATATATACATATATAACAACATACGACATTTAGATTTGTAAATAAGGAAGTAAAGGTAAATAGGAATCTACGCCAAGTTCTTCCACCTTGAATCTCCTACATAAACTATGTACATTGCAAACTATTAAGGAAATAATAAGTAAAATATAATGTACTCGTACTCTAGTAGGTACTTATGTAGGTTAATTTAAACAACCAACACCTGAAATAGGGTTTCTGAAAGCGGGATCAAGGTTGTCTGGAAGAGTCCACTATTTAGCGATAAGACCGCCCATTGTTGCCTCTTTATCTTACTTTTATGTAATTAAGTTTATGTAATTAAGTATTAATTTTGTTTGTATACATATTATTAAACTTTATAATCTGTAACATTCTTTGAAGGGAACAATAAAGAGTTTACATTCATTCATTAAATACACCTTCGGGCCTCCATAATCAATTTTAATTTACATGATCCAATATTTTAGTATCAATCCTTTAATCTGCAAAATATTTAAAAGATAACTTTTCAATACCATGAATTTATTAAGAAAGAAAGTAATATACATATTTTTAAATAATAAACGAAGTAAATAAAAAAATATTCAAGTAAACTTAATTATAAGTAGCATTAGTTGAAAACAAGTTAACGATTTCCCGACGAAAGTAAGTATAATCTATGTTTTTTTTTTTAATAATTCTCTCCTGCAATTATCCGACATACTTTTGAAACTGGTCGGTGATTATTAAAAGTATAAGAAACCCTGTTCCAAAATGAAAGATAAAGATAGCACGGCGTGTTACTTTAGCACAGTGACCTTGTGCGTGTGGACAACTATTCACCATGACCACATGACGACGGGACCAACATGAATATAACACTACCACATTTCTCGGAACTGGTTAACCACAGCGCATAGCAACGCTTGCGCAAGGTTAAAACACGCGGTCCATTATAACCACCAATCAGGGAGCGAGAAACGCGTGACGTCAGCAACCACGCCTGCGCGCGCCTCCGTCGCCTTCGATTCCAACGAAAATCAATGGCTGGGTATACGAAGCGTATACGCAGTCACTGATAACAAAATGTTATATTGTGCTGTTTGTTAACGGTCTCACCGAGTTGTATCCAATAATAGTAAATAAATGATTCCATTAAGTATACGATTGCATGCCAAAATGACGACGTTACACAATATGGGGTCAAGGCGATAACAATATTGTGAACTATTGTAAGCAGTTCATAACAAATAACTTGAATAAAACCACAGACAATGAATGAGTATATACTTTTTTACTTTTTTCACAAATTACCGAAGCATAGATTAAGGATAGTATGTGGGCTCTTTCTATGTACTGTAATAATAGATATGCAATGCTGTAGTCAATTTCAGGCATAAAGAAGTAATTGTCAGAGACTAATAGCTGCTCCGTGTAATTAAGGAGTAGAATTCAAAGTTTAACTATTCTTTTTCATATCCAGTATATTATAAGAGACGACTAAGGAAACAAATATCTGTAATTATCATACATATATTGATGATAGTTATAAATAATTGTTATATTATATAATCAGATTAAACGAATCTGTATACTTATTTTTTTTTTTGAGTGAAAATGGTATGGTAACCCCGCCTGCGCTAACGGGATACGCTGGCGGAGCACCAGTGAAGGGTGATAGATGAGAATGAAAACAGGCCAGTTAGCCCATCATGATGAATTCATCAGGAATTAATCATGATAGTTTCCAGGGGGAACCGCGGGGAGCTCGACCTGGTTGGGTATATTGCTAGCAATAAGATTCTCAGTCTCCATTACTAACAATCCCTTTCCCCCCGAATCTGTATATTGTGATATTTCTGTATATTTTGTATTATGTTGATATTACATGTGTCTATAAATTCGGAGGAAAGTGTCTAAAACATTGACTGGCTAGGTTGTAATAGCAGACTATACCCTTATTTGGGAAGAGGCCAAACGCCAGCAGTGGAACATTAATGAATTAAGGGCAAGGCCCAGCTGGGGGAATGGGATTTTTAGTAATGCGGACTACCAGTCCCATTTCTAGCAATATACCCTGACAGCCCAGTGGAGTTCTCCACTGGAAAATATCGTGCTGAATTCAAGATGTATACATCACGATGGGCTAACTGATCTGCTTTTTCATTCTCACCTATCATCCCTTACTGTTGGCCCGCTAACGTATACCATTAGCGCAGGTGAGGCTACCATTGCATTATCATTCATTAAAAGAAAAAGCAAAGCTGCAAAATGGAACAAAGCAAAAAAATAACTTACCCATCATGTTAGACATGAATTTAGATCTATCATTTGGTGGAATCCACTTCGATGCCATGGGTAGGATCGCCGGCCACGTGGCTCCAAGCAGGAAGCCGAGGAGGACTCTGACAGCCACAGCCCAGCCGAAGCCTATCGCGGCAGCACTGGGTGTCAAGAGAGTCAGGACACTGGCTAAGAGCGTGCTGTAGCCGAACACTCGCCTAATGAAGAGAAAGAAAGGTGTTAATATTTTTATCAAAATAAAAATAAACGCAAATAAAACTAATGAAACCACTAATATAAAATTTATATAAATTACTGAAATATAAAATAAATGAAAATCATACCGTAAGACCGACCACATTTGCATTAAATCCCCATATCTACCTAACTACAGTTGCCAATCTGCCTGCCAAGTGTGGCAACTACTAGCAAAATCCTTCCTTATGAGGGAAGCCTATATTTAGCAGTAGAGAGATGGCTAATGATGACCCATATCTACCAGTCAAATTTCAAAAACAAAATATTACAATTTCAAATATATACTTCCGAATTATATTCAAAAAGTATCTTTCTAAAATGCCCTTAATCTCTAACTTCCTTCAAATTGGAAATTTAGCATAAAAGAAATAGACAAAATAGTTCAATAGCTAAAATAGGTTTATGAGAGGTTTCACGTGTTTACGAATAAGGGGGTAAAACTTTAAGAAGTTGCATAGTATTCTTCATCTAAACAATTGACATATTAAATAAAGTTTCCATATAGGTAATTTTTAGATCATCACATACCAAAATTTTCGAAATCATACGTAAAATCGTTTGAATTTCGACAAGAATTTAGTCTCAAAATGTTGCCAGTGTGACGATACAAACCTTATTAACATAATTATATCGGTTAGCAGAATGACAACATAATGAAATCTGCATAAGGACATAGTGTTGCAACGTCCTTACCTTAAACGGACGCCAAGTTCCTTATGAGGCAGACTTAACGTATTCTTGTTGCCTAATAACTATTCGTGTCGTGCAAATATCGTGTAAATTTAAAAATATATTATTATTATTATAAAATACATTTTAAAGAAATCAATTGCAATTCTCCGTTATACCAGAGATAGAATGGTTATTCGATAATAACTAGTGAATCAGAGGACTTACTCCGAAATATTTTCTACACACACCCAAATTTGATGTTAAAATTATAAAAAAGATGCAATAAATATAGTTCCTTTGGACTTTTATGGTAGAATTTATGAAGAATGAAATGTTAAACACCATTTTGATATGAATGAATTTTTATGAATTTTTATTTTCATTTCATGTTAAACTCCCTGCGCTCTCGCAGGCGATTGTGTCCAAAGCTCGACAATGTTCCCTGTATGATTCATTTCCAGTTATCGGCTACAACACAACATTTCATTTGTCTCCCACTTTACATTTTTAATCAAGCACTCGAGATTATATCTGCATTACTTGTAAATACAAATAATAATCTATGGTATGAATTCAGAGATAAGATATATAACTGAGAATAAGAATATGGTTGATCATGAAAAACCTATTTAATTATTGTACCTTTAACGTAAATTTATTATATAAAATATCCTATGTACTAATTTAGGGCATAATCTACCCGTGTACCGTGTGTCACCTCTAACTACACCCACAGGAAAGCAAGGGGTGGCCCATTCTATGCCGGGACCACACGTCACTGTTTTTATTTATTTCCTCGTAATATTACGATACTGATAATTGTTTATTTAACATTATATGCCATTATAAAGTTTCAAGTGTCAGTTTAACAAGAACTACGGATAATTTTATCATTATTTATTGCGACTGAAGCCAGAATCGTTCATTACAACAACATATATTAAAACATAAATTAAAACAGCGTTCATTTGTAGACTGAGGCACCTTAACATAATACTTAATCAGTAAGGATACACCCGCAGACTGAATAAGTGCACGAAAATGTTTTTAAATTAAAAAAATAATGAATTAAACAATAAGTAGTTTCTTTTATGGCATAGATTTATTACAAGAATGGATAAAGTATATATGTAATTTTAGTATGTATGTATATCAATAATTAGTAGTACCGCATTCGAGTATTCTGACACTTCCCTATGGTTGACTGGGCGAGAATGCTTTTAGCATTAAGTCCGCCATGTACACATATTTGTACTGATGAATAAATAAATAAATAAAGACTTATTTAATCACACAAAAAAATCCTAAGGACTACACAACAAAAAATTTCATCAATTAAAAATATTTAATATAATCATGTATTTGTCATTCTGCTAATGATGTATTCGGATAGCTACCAATATAAAAAATACAACAACGAAGGTCTTTTCAATTATAATATGTAACATGTGTTATTTGTAAAGCTACCATATTTATTAAGAGTAATTATTTCAATTTCAAGAGACTGACAAGCAGTATAATTATGTATTGCGTCTTGTTGACTTATTCTGACCTCTCCATTAGCAATGACTAGAAAGTTCGACGCAAAATTACATCTAAAACTACTCACTTATTATTTAGGTTCTAAATATAAAAAAAAAAATCTATTCAAATAAGGTCGAAACTAAAATTAGAAGAAGAAAATTAATACGGGCATATATTCAGTATATTTTAAATATAATTTACAACTATATTTACCTAAGGTCGTTGGCAGCAAATAAGTAAAGCGGAATTAATCGCAAAGTTAAGAAACCTATAGTACCTCAGACATTGAACTTGGAGGTGTCAAATATAATTTACATGGATGTTACCGGTCGAGTCATCTCTACATTACAATAAGAAGTATTTTTCTCACTTATTGTCTCAAGAACCCCGCTGTTCGAATAAAAAGTTCAACGTCGGCGGAAGAAATCTAAAAATAAGCTTTTAAAATAAGATTTAAAATAAGAGAAGAGAATATAATGACTACTCCAAACGACTTTTTTTTATTTATAGTACGTTATCAGTATTTACTATAAAAAGCAATTAGGATACTCTTATATTGAAGTATTAAATTAAAATAAAAATATATAAGAAATAAATTTTTAAAATAATATTTTTTTATGCTACTTAGAATGGCAAACAAGCTGATTGCCCACTTGATGGAAAGCGGTATCCGTCGCCTATAGTCATGAGTAGTACCATGGGCATAACAGAGTATACTGTTTCGCCCATGATACCCCCCAAGTGTTGCCATTCTTGAGGACTCAGATGTTATTCCTCTGTGACCTATAAATTCACTGCCATATCCTATCCTTCAAACCGAAACACAGCCATGCAAACACAACTGTTTTACGGTAGAAATACGAATGGGACTGAGGATTAATTACTTTGCACAAACTACTTTTATACAAAATAATAATAAAATACTAGGAAATATAATAGAAAATCATGATTTTTCTATTTTAATCAGATGTAATAGTTTTCATTCATAGCCATATGACGTTGTGATATGGATAAACGGATATAAGAGTACTTAATTGGAATGTAAATAGTTCACGATTCGATGAACAAGCTATTTTTATTGTCACTTATTGTTAGCAGCAGCGCCATAGCAACTATTCAAATCAGTACGTCATGCATCTATAATTGATCAATTTTAAATGACTAAAGGAGCTGCTACAAGTTTCATATGGATTTTATTTTCGACATATTTTTTTTTTTGGAAATGTAACCTTAAAATATTTTATAACCCATATTTTTAATGGATAGAGATTTAAGTAAGGATAGTCTGTCGTTTACACTGATTTACTCTGCCTATCCTAGTAAGGAACCTGACGGATAGAAATTAAAGATAAAAATAGAAACACATTTTAAATATTGTTCAATTCGTATTTTCATAATAAGAGACGAACTATAAAGGTAAGGAATGTCTTGATTTAGCAATTTAGATTACCGACGATTTTGTTGATTTACATTTTCCTACAGATACAATTATTGAGTGCTAAATGTAAGGTTCGCAAATAAGATACTGTATCAAATACATTGCTACAGCACAAAAGATCGACGATCTCTAGTTTATTTTTATTTTTACCTGGCGCCAACGATCTCTGCCAATCTACCGCCTGGTAGTTCTGTGAGTACATAGCCCCAGAAGAAGCAACCCAATAGAAGATTCTTCTGTTTCGTATCCCAATGGTACCGCGTCTGCTCGATATGCTCTGGATGCTAGAAAAAACATAATATCGCCATAATAAACTATATCTATTTTTTTTTCCTTTCTTAACGTGGCTTCAAATATAAATTGCATATTGGGATCATACATTATATAAAATACTTAAGAATTAATTTAAATTTAATAATAAATTAAATATATATTTCATAACCCACAGTACCCTAGCTCAAAGACCAGGTATTTGGTGTAAATGTATAACTTCTATAAAATTAATACCTCTGTAACATTGAGCGAGTCTGTAACGTTCAAGATCGCTGTCTGGTTGTCGTTAACGTCGTATAACATCTCGACGATAGCTATGGTGAGGTTCACGCGGAGAGCGTAGTTCAACATGAAGCCCAGCAGCACCATGATGTTCAGTACTTGCACACATGTTAGACAGCCTGTAACAAGTAAACAATCATTAGACTCACAACAAGCTCATATTACTGATAAAGTGCTGGAGCGTAACCAGGTAAAAAACATGGGTATTTAGTGTCACAATTATTATTCCATTACGCTTATTCCAAATAGGCTTATGACCTTCTGGATCTTTTTTTTTTTTTTTTTTTTTTTTTTTTTTTTTTTTTTTTTTTTTTTTTTTTTTTTTATTCAAATAAACTTACATTGAAGCACTTTTGAAAAGTCATTACATTTTTTTTAATTTACCGCTCGTTCGGTCTCTAAAATTGTATATTATTTTTTCTTTATTTTCTTTAGTTAGCTAAACAAATTACTCTTTCACGCACAGTGGCCTAAATACGAGGCCAAAAATAGAAGTATTCGAGTGAACTATCTAAGAACACCCTCATGTGGTAAATAGTAGGTATAGGTTCAAATGGGATTTCCAAGTTTACTTAAGAGAAACTTCAAACTCACAATGTCATATATTTATTAAATTATAAAATATAAATAGAAATAAATGAGCCCCCCGTGCCCCCAAAACTTTAAGAATCACTGGTACGCACTCACTATAAATTCACAATCATTGAACACCCAATGATTCCCACGTAAAGTTATTATTTGCACCAACTTGACGCTGATGTTATTGTAACACGATCGCTAAACCAAACTCTTCATAAACATCGTTAACTTAATTGCTTTGCAACCTACTTCAAAATGGAGGTTCTCAGTTCGGTTGTTTTTTTTTTTTATTTGTTACCTCATAACTCCATACATTGTAAACCGATTTGAAAAATAATTTTTAAATAAAAGGATATAGTAACAGATTGGTCCCATAAATACCTATATCAAAATCTGTTCAATAGTTCAGTTTTTAATCAAAATAACTGGTTTTACCATAGATTAAATAGATTTTTTGTGGGATACAAACTTTAATTATATATATTGACTACAAATAAGACAACTAAGAGAATACTCTATTGGAAGTTAAAAAAAAATTAAATGACTATAAAAATTTAGGTTATGTTTTGTGTTTGTTAATTCCTTAATGACTCAACCAATAGTCTTCGACCATTTAGGATGCGGAGAAGGACTTAGACTTTTTTTATGCAACTTAAAATGGCAAACAAGCTGACGGCCCACCTTGTGATGGAAAGTAGTAACCGTCGCCTATAGACATGAGCAGTACCATGGACACAACGGTACTGTTTCGCCCATGGTACGTCCCATGCGTTGCCATCCCTCAGGACTCAGGTGTTATTCCTCTGTACCCAGTAAATTCACGCCATATCTCATCCTACAAACCGAACACAGCCATGCAAATACAACTGCTTCACGGTAGAAACACGAATGAGAAAGAGGTGCCCAAGCAAACGACTTTTGTACAAAGTCTCCCACTGGTGAACTACTCAATATGTTATCATCTCAATGACGTGGAAAGAGTCGCGAGTATAAACTTTTATTATAAATTATGTGGCCATGACCATGGCCGTAGGTATAGAAAGATAAAATAATATATACACAGAACACGATAATCAGTAGATACTTTTAAATAATCTATTAAATAGTAGATAAACAAAAAAAATATTATTACATTCATTATGATTACTTGTCAATTAATTGATAAGTTTATTGCGAATGAATTGGCATAATAAATATCAGGTGTACCCGCCACTTCGTACGCATATAAAAAAAAATTTTGCTTAATAGACACGAGCGAGAATGGAACTTGAGATTCAAGAGGCCTCAATTCACCTTGATTCCACGAGGGTCAGCGGAGGACATTAGATTTTTTTTTAATACCTACTAGCTTCCCGGGAAGCCTTCGCAAGGGTGTACTACATTTTTCATTTCTATGTTAAATTTTTCATACATTTTCTTACATACAAACAATGTACGGATACGGGCTTTTGCACACAGCACTTAGGGTTGTCTTAGCAACATAACATAAAATTGATGTAATTTAATCCTTTAACATTATGTAGCTATTTACTTAAATTATGTACTTTCATATGGATTTAAATATATATATATATATATATATAATTTAAATGAATATTCATTTAAATTAAAAAAAACATTTCCGAATGTTCAAAAATTTTTTAATTATTACTATTAACAAAATCGCCAACTTTCATATAAATTTATTTGATGATATTATTGTATTACAATATATTATTATACAAAATGTTATATTACAAATATATAAATATTACATTACAAAATATTCATAAAGAGAAACCTACAATTTGTTTCAGACAATAAATTATTATTGTCCACAATAATAATAATAATAAAAAATAATTACCAGAGGCCATTTTTATTAACGAAACAATTAGCACACAACGTACACGGTTCAATGCCAAACCCTTTATTGCCGAACAAGACTCGTGAAGCAGAACGTTTAAAATTATCTTTACCCACAATAATAATGGTGAATCCCCAAAATTTTAAACTAAGATTATTTATATAGATAATAATATAAATATAAACGATAACTTATCGTAATAATAAGTCTTTACTAATAATATAAATGTGAAAGTTAGTTTGTTTCTTTGTTTGTTAATGTGTCTATTGGCGCCTTAACGACTCGAGCTCAATCAACTGTCATGAATTTTAGCGTGGTTATAAAAATCATTTGACATAGAGAAGGATCCGCTATTTTTAACTCGATTTTTTTATGCAACTTAGAATGGCAGACAAGCTGACGGCCCATCTGATGGAAAGTAGAAACCGTCGCCTATAGACATGAGCAGTACGATGGACATAACAGAGTATACTGTTTCGCCCATGATAACCCCCATGCGTTGCCATTTCTAAGGACTCAGGTGTTATTCCTTTGTACCCTGTAAATTCACCGCCATATCCCACCCTTCAAACCGAAACACAGTCGTGCAAACACAACTGCTTCACAATAGAAACACGAATGGGACAGAGGTACCCAAGTAAACGACTTTTGTACAAAGTCCTCTTCTGGTAAATTAAAATATGCCGATTGAAAGAACAAAGTTGCGTACTCAACCAATAAATACGTATATAATTTTAGATGCTTCCACAAGAATAAATAGTTTGGATATATGTTCATATGGTTTTTCAATACAGCAATGCATACATAAATTAAGAGGGTTGCCACATTTTTTTTTCATATTTAACAAATAATATTATGATATGACACAACTTACTTGCGTGAATGAGCGAAACGCACATTCTCTCTGTGGTGTCTGTTGCAAGCCCTGACTAATTTAGCTCTTAAAATTAATCGCTGGTCATCAGCGCGTCAATGTAGTCATTATCATTAAATCCATGTAAATGACGGTTCTACTTGAATATATTTTTTATAATAGCACGTCATGTGACCATATACAATTTTGAACGAAAATACATTTTTTTTTTCATACTATATTTGAAAGATTCCAGGTGTAGACATCATGGGAAAGGCCATTCCATAATGTTACAATATCGTTTACATTCACAAACTTATTTGTACGTAAACGCGAGCAGTTTCCATGTAGGGATGCCAGTCACTAGCCCATCCTCGAATGCGATATCGGAAAAGAGCAGGTGGAATAAGGCAGTGTAGTACATTTTATTCTCATAGTTCCCCACACTATTTACTAACGAGACATTTCTTTTAATAAATTAATAGGTACCTGGATCAAGATAATACAGAAGACTTTATTGCGGTAAAATGTCTCTATGGAAAAATTTCCCAATTAAGTAGGTACATACATAGGTATATTCCAGTGTGTTCACCAGCATAGAACGGGCCACCCCTTTCTTTCCCGTGGGTGTCGTAAGAGACTAAGGGAGGGTGAAGGATCGACTCTTAAAACATCTCCAAAGCCTAATTGCGGTTACCAAACTGCCTGCCAAACGCGACAAATACTGATAAAACCGCATGAAGATAGGCTTATGTTCAGCAGTGGACATTTAAAAGCTGACATGATGACAAATTTGTCGCACAAACGACGACGCGGCACAAATAGGTAGTTGCGAAAATAACCTAGGTAAAGGTCAATTATTTTCGCAAAATTTTTACAACATTATTCTGTTATTAAATTGAATAAAATATATTGCATTGCATGTTATCAGTAACATATCTAACATGGGTATGATATACCTACTGATAACACATCGATAGCAATATTATTATTAACACATGTATTGAAGCTCCTAAAATTAACAAGGTTCCCGCCAGGTTGCATCCAGATAACGCGACAAAATCGTTATTATAGGTATTTGATTGTATGATAGATATTTTTGTATAAACGAGTATATTTATGGGTTTATATTTATAAAATAATCTACTATCTACAAATGATAAGTATCAATCGAATCGTATAAATTAGTACGAACTGCATCCGCGCCTCATTTAAACATAGGCTACCTACGGGCCTTCACCACAAAAAGGCGCCCGCCATAAATGGTCTCTTGCCAAAAGCTAAATGGAAAAATGGGATCTTAATTTTCTACTGTATGTGTACTGAAATTTTATTACTAGCAACACTATCGCCACGGCCATTTGTAAAGAGTGAAGAGAGTAAGCAATTAGCATGGACCTAAATGAGAATTGCTTAAAATAATAGAATACTGAATGTCACAATAATTCTTTCTATTTTCACCTCATCTATTCAATTTTAAATACTGTACAAGTACCTAGTAAAATGATTGAAAATTGTATTAAATATTTTGAAATATATGAATCTATTTTATATGTAAAAAGGAGGGCTCCCACCACAGATGTAGCGTAAAGACCCACAGATCCTAAATGCGGTGCTGAACTGCGTAGTAGATTTATCTCTTCGAATGTTAATCGTTTATCCGTGACCACAATGTAAACTAATAATTAACCAATAGTAGGATTTTTGTTCTGTCCATTCTGAATAAAAAAATCTATCGAAGTAAATATATAGTATATATCTCGTTCAAAATGTGAATTGTTCCAGGCGTATAAGTAATTACTTCTTACTTCTAAAATGTAAGAACACAGCAATACAACCGATATTTCATGACAGAATGTCTACGATTCTACTTATGTGAACAGAAAGTTAAATTAAATCGAATACATTATTCTTGTAGCATTGAAGAGATCTGCACATGTCTGGATAGTCTACGGAACGTAAAAAAAAGTTGGCACAAACTATAGATAAAACTATGTGCGCAATAAACTAAAATAAGATAAAGTATGCGCGACGGCGAGAGTTGTAAAGTTTTTGCTGAGGAATAAATGACGTCAAACAAGGGCATACCGTAGAGTCGTCACTCAACTAATACACTAGTTGACTGTACTACACGTGTAAGGGCCGCGTCAAGAGGCCGTATTTGTAGTTACATAGTCTTCTAACATATCTAACTGGATGACGGCTTCACTTGCCCTTTTAAGAAAGCGATCAAAAATACTTCTTAATTAAAAATATTACTTTTTTCCTTCTTTTTTTCTTCATATTAGGTTATGTACCAAATAATTTTTATTCCATTAACCTTACGCTATTACATTTATAATATTAGTAAGGATATGGATTACAAATCACCAAAGAAATCTTTTAAACGTCCTAAAAAAACAATTGTCGTAATTTCCAACTTCAACTACATGCAAAACGACAAAAATATATTAGTACATTATATACAGAACTGTCGAAGACAACTATGGTTTATATGTCACGGTCATAATTAGAATTCAAATAATCTGACATATTCTAAAATAACCTACACCCACATACCAAGTAGTGAGATTGTTGAAGTCGCCAAAAATCTATGAATGTGAAAGACGACGACGAAAGATAAAAGATTCACTGATAGACTTTAGAAGGCTAACCTTAATAAATGTCTTGTCTTCCGGAATTTATCTTCCCTAAATATTTGAATTTAGAACGCGGCATCGAATCAAAATGCAAAAGGAGTTATCTATCCGTTTAGAATTATTTAGCTGTCGCATAACGTACAAAAAATACATTCGAATTAAGAACTACCTCTTTAAACTTGCGCTGTACGTACAACTATAAAAAGATCGTGTGCAAGTCACATTATATTCAAATCACGCCCAAATTATTTACCGCCGCTGAAACCCATTACAAAATCGAAGCTTTATCTCTGATTTAATTCAAATAAAGAATTATGGCAATGCAGCCATCTTGCTGAGAATTCACCCTTCCTTACCAAGGAAGCCAACATCCCGTTAACCATTTCTCACGGGGCACACGATCTAACTGAACATTAGCATGCACTTTACTAAACCGTTCTGCATACATTTGTTAGTCCGCAGACTGGATTGACGGCAGTTTTATGTGTTTACTCATACACATGGCTTTTAAGTAGACAGTGTTTAAAGTGCGAGAATCGCAATTTTAATGTGTACAAAAGCAAGGCAACAGTTAGAATAATGTTTTACCTAACCTATAAACTCAAAAAGTTATAGAATCTTGTCAAAAACGAAAAGAGCAAATTGACAATGAGTAATTTAAAAGACACGTACAAATATTAAAATTTATTATACAAAAAAAAAACATAATAAACTCAACGGAGTTTAACATATTCATAAATGTATTTGAATTAATCCTCTCCATCCTAAGGTTGCCTGGAAGAGATCGCTGATTAGTGAAAAGGCCGCCCTTTTATGTAATTAAGTATTAATTTTTTTTGTGTACATATTATTAATCTTTATAATCTATATCATTTTTTGAAGGGAACAATAATTATTCCAAAGGGAGACTTTATACAAAAGTCGATTGCTTGGGTACTTCTGTCCCATTCGTGTTTCAACCGTGAAGCAGTTGTGTTTGCATGGCTGTGTTTCGGTTTGAAGGGTGGGATATGGCGTGAATTTACTGGGTACAGAGGAATAACACCCGAGTCCTCAGGAATGGCAACGCATGGGGGGTATCATGGGCGAAACCGTATACTCTGTTATGTCCATGGTACTGCTCATGTCTACAGGCGACGGTTACCACTTTCCATCAGGTGGGCCGTCAGCTTGTTTGCCATTCTAAATAAAAAAAAATTCATTCATACATATTGCAATAATATTTTGTCACATTTTGTATACTTATTACTTATCTAGTTGTCAATTCGTTAATAATTAAATTTAATAAAAAATACGCTTAATTAATTATAAAAGCCTCAAAATAATGAACACAATACCAATTTATTGATTGCCTACAGTCTTTATTTCATCAATTTTTCTAAAGATTTCTAGCGAAATTTTATAACACAATTTGAACATACATATGTTAGCATACAGATGCTAACATATGTATGTTCAAATTGTGTGTAGTGTAGTTTGCGGTTTGAACATTATGACAGACTATCATAAAATTGTACTAGGTATGATCCATTCTAGAAACTTTCTCTTGCAAACATGGCGAAACAATTCATCGTATATACAACTACTACCTATAATCTTGCGTGGGTATAAAATGTGTTGGCAGAGACTGGACTTTGGAAACTGAATTTTATTACCTTTGTGTTTCGTTACGAGATTATGTGCGTATATTGTATGGTTTGAAATATATGTATATTGCATATAGTGGCATACAAATGGTCCTACCATGTCGCAGTCCATGTTATGGACTAGGGAGGCTTATATTCAGCAGTGGACTGATATAGGCTAAGATGATATTATAAATGGTCAAACGACAGTCAATAGGATTTAAGTTTTTACGTTTGGCTACAAAAATTTTGACGACCTCCGTAGTGCAGCGGTTGCTTTGCTTTGCATAAATGAGGGGTTCGAAATCCGATCAGGCCTTCTAGACAAGTGACAAGCGAATTCGTCGATGGAATCGACATCGCTAGCGAGTCCGTGAGATGGAATGAGTCATTCGGCAGTTCTATCTCACGAACTCGCTAACTATATCGATTCCATCGAGGAATTCGTTTGCCATTTGTGTAGAGGCCCGGTATAATTTAGGAAACGATCTTTTCTAAATCTACATGTTCCGGGATATAGATCGTTGTATGGTTCCTCATAATACAGGATATATCCGAAGCCTGAGAACCAAGCTATTGGTCTGGTTGTGTATATCATCATATCCAGCCCCTATTCTGCCAATAGTTTTAGTTGCCAAGTTTGGCAGGCGAGTTGGAAAACGCAGTTGGGCTTTGATGTTTTAAGAGGGACGCTGTTGCCCATCTCTCCACCATTAAATATCCTTAGTCGCTGGAAATCATCGTGATTGATTTATTGTTGAATACTTGTTTCATCATCATCTATCATCCCTCACTGATACCCCGCCAGTATATACTGATAGAGCAGGCGAGGTAACCATTCCAATATCAACTATTGGACACCCACGGAAACGGATGGGGTGATCCATTCCATACTAGGAACACACGGCGGATTGTATGTATAGCATTTATTAATTTTTTTACCTAAAAGAGAGGCGCAACACAAAAAAAGTAATGTATTTTCACCGAGTTGCAAAATATGCTAATCAAATCTGCTAATTATAAATCTTATTAATATTGATCGAAGCTTAATTCAAATAATATGTTACTAGCTGTCAGTGAGCCGGTTTCATGGTTACTATCGAAATTGGTCAAGCGCAAACACGTGTCACACACATGACGCTTCATTAACCTACTGTTACAATTACGTAGCATTGACCATGTGATGTGATATGACCATGACAGCGAACTAGCTGTGACGGCGGCTCCGTCCGCGTGAAACAATTCGTGTCTTATTACATATTACCTACTGTTACTGTTTTTATATATATATATATATATATATATATATATAAATTATTTGAGTTATCATGATTATCCAAAGGGAGACTGTACAAAAGTCGATTGCTTGGGTACCTCTGTCCCATTCGTGTTTCTACCGTGAGGCAGTTGTGTTTGCATGGCTGTGTTTCGGTTTGAAGGGTGGGATATGGCGTGAATTTACAGGGTAGAGAGGAATAACACCTGAGTCCTCAGGAATGGAACGCATGGGGAGTATCATGGGCGAAACAGGATACTCTGTTATGTCCATGGTATGGTGTCATGTCAATAGGCGACGGTTACCACTTTCCATCAGGTGGGCCGTCAGCTTGTTCGCCATTCTAAGTTGTATAAAAAAAAATCATCTCAACCATTATCCATTCACTGAACATAGGCCTCCCCCATAAACTGTCATAAAGAATGGTCCTGATCATGAGCCACCTGCATCCGCTGACTCCCTACAATGCGTTTGAGGTCGTCATTCCATCTAGTGGGGGAGTCGTCCTACACTACTTTTGCCCGTACGGAATCGCCATTCGAGAACTTTTCTTCCTTACTTGGGTATTTTTTAATTTTTATTCAAATCTTAATACGCGAGTTTAATTTACTCGTATTTTATTTATAATTTATTTAAGCATTCTCTTACCCAGTCAATCTTTTTGTTACCTAGTATACAATAAAATAAAAATTTCAGAAGTAGTTAAGTATACATTGGTAAATATTTTGCTTCAATCGACAAAATTATTAAATATTTTAACTTTTAAACCATTGCAAATTGGTAAAACAATCATTTTTATGTATACAATTAACTACAATATTTTATTATACATATATATTTTTCTTTGTTTTATATTCCAACACGTGCTCGTGTAAAATACGTGATAAACTATTAATATTTACAATGTATGAGTAAATTTAAAACTTTTATATTACCATTATATTACTACAGAGTAAGGTAGTTATTTACACTATTATATTGCTATGACCGCTTACTTATGTAATTGAATACTTTCAAGACCAAAGTATTAGTATAGTTCCCAACATTCCGAGGATAGCAGGCATGTTCCAAAAGGGCTCTTTACTTTATTCATCATCATCATCATCATCATCATCATCATCATCATCATATCAGCCGTTAACTGTCCACTGCTGAACATAAGCATCCCCAATGAAGGGGAGATTCGCCAATAATTGCTCCACTTGGCGGGTTGGTAACCGCAGTTAGGCTTTGATGATGTTTTAAAAGGGACGCCGCTGCCCATTCCTCGACTATTAAATTCTCATAATCGCTCTCTTTCAACGCCCAAGGGAAAGGAAAGAGTGACCCAAATATGCTTTTAATGAAAATAAAAGAAAAAATTACACATACGTTATAATAAATTTGTATCAGAGTTATTAGGTTGTAACAGAAAATTGTAATCCAAATAAAACCTACCTAGATACCGTAGATAAAGAATAGCACCAACAGTTTAATATAAATGAAAAAAAAATGACACAAAAGCGGAAGTGATATTGCCACGAATTTCGCGCGTTTTTTTTCATAATGGCTGCATGCCAATAATGATCGCACCGACAAATGAAGACATACGAAATGGGAGTGACGTCTCCGGATAACAGTTTGTTTCAATTTGATTGAGTCAATTGATTTTAATAAAAAAACCAAGTGTTGTTGAAATTATCAAAGGACCACTCTGTATTCTATCTCTGTGTTTTCAACTATGTAAATATGAAGTCAGTATCTACTAACGTAATTGAGCTCGGACAGTGTGTGTACGTATTGGTTCGAAATAAATATATATGTATTAATTAAATTAGCGGCCATTTTCAATTACTTTAAAAAGGAAAACATATTAAAAGTCAAATTAATCAGTAAAGAGAAGTACCGTTACTAATAATTATGCAGTTTTTCTTGTTCGTTCAAATGCATTCGTAAGATCTTTGTGTAATTTTTATATTTCAACTTAACGTTACAATATAATTTGTACCATATACCGAGTAAGTAATGTACATTATAGGTAGCCTATTCATACACATATGGATAACGAAGTTTGACCTGTTTTTGACAAAGCATTCGTATTAAAATCTGTGGATTGAGACACTCTATCTACATAATCTAAGCCTATAAATACGATACAAAAATTAGAAATCGGAACTATTGATATTTAGGGCCAGTTTTACTTTTTCCTAAAAAAAAATATAAAATCAAATAATTTAATCAGTTTACCTACTTAATGTTATAAATGAAAGTAAAGCTTACCTAGAAAATTTCTCGGAAACGATTTCTCTGATTTGTCCATGGTGCACGCCTTCGGAATGACTTTAGAATCTGAAAAAAAAAATATATAAATTTATTTTTTTATTCTCACGCTTGAGTAGGCCTAGGCAACGGGGTTTTTTTTTTAACGCCATAGCATGCTAAAACTAACACAGTAACCTCAAATCAAATAAATAGATACTATTTACGCAATTTCTAATGTGACATCTCATTTGGCCCAATCATCACTTTGTGACCCCTATGCTTACTGCTAAAAGGTACATTTCAAGTTTTTTTTTCTCTACAGACAAGAAAAAGACGTTGGCAAATTAGCATCGAGTCATTTGCAGATCGGAATTACCTACTTTCACACTACTGAAACCGACAAGTGACAAGTGTGAAAGTAAAATCGACTTAGCATTAGTACACGGAGTTGCTATTTAGTTATCTATTAATTAACATATATAGCGGACAAGAGCGATTAGATGCGATATCACTAGAGGAAGACTTTGTACAAAAGTCGATTGCTTGGGTACCTCTGTCCCATTGGTGTATCAACCGTAAAACAGTTGTTTGCATGGCTGTGTTTCGGTTTGAAGGGTGGGATATGGCGTGAATTTACTGGGTACAGAGGAATAACACCCGAGTCCTCAGAAATGGCAACGCATGGGGTGTATCATGGGCGAAACAGTATACTCTGTTATGTCCATAGTACTGCTCATGTCTATAAGCGACGGTTACCATTTTCCATCAAGTGGGACTTCAACTTGCTTGCCATTCTAAGTTGTATAAAAAAAAATCTACAATTTGCATATTGTTCTTTTGTTATTTAATATATCATTAAAAATAATCTTAAATCAATAAAATTCCGAATCGATGTATTTTTGACATCAATTAATGTCCACAATTTATAATAATATAATGTGATAAAATTGTCCTACACAAAAAACATCAACTTCAACTATTAAGAAACTATATGACCATTGAATAATTCAATATTTCAATAATTTCAATAATAGCACAATTAAATTATGGTATTCAGCAATATAATACCTATATTTACTGCATCATCTTTTTTTTTTTAATTACCTATAGTGTACAAATTGAATAAATTATATGTACAATAAAATTGAAATGATTTTTTTTCTCTTCTTATTCTTTTTTTACGAATTCGATAAAATAATAAATACAAAAAAGCTTTTAAGCTATCTACCATATATATATATTTTTTTACTGGTAATATCTAATTTTTTTATTCTGTTAATACTCTTGTACACTGTTAAATTTAAAACACGTCGAGACATCGCGTCGGCCATATCGTTTGGCGCCAGACTGTAACGGATTGTGAGCAACGCCTTTTACGGCCTGGCAGGAAAAAAATACGCGTTCAGTAAAAAAAAAAGAAACAGGATCAACTGCATACAGTTTAATTCTGATATTTATAGCTCATATTTAGCGGCACTCGAAGCGTATAATTTGTTTTTAATAACTATGTTAAAAACTAATATGAGTAAATTTAATGAGAGTCCCATTTATGGCCTGTGCCGATGTGGGACTCTTGTGTGAGGCCGCGTCTTATTGGCCGGACACTTGGTTGATAGGCATAGACATATTTAAGGGGCAAGCCGGGTGGGCCGTACCCACAACAGAATTGTCTGGTGCCCATATAACAATAACGGGGGAGAGAAGGGATTGTTAGTAATGAGGATTAACAACCCCATTACTAGCAGGGTATATTACTAGCAATGGAGTTGCTAAATCCGGGTCTTTAATGGATGAAAATGAAATGCGAGGTACGCGGGGCACCAGTGGAAGATGATAGGTGAGAATAAATATAGGTCAGTTGGCCCACCATGGTGAACTTAACAAAAATCAACCATGATGTTTTCCAGGGGAACCGCGTGGAGGTCGACCTGAGAAAGTATATTGCTAGCAAAGGAACTACCAGACCTAATTACTAACAATCCCTTTCCCCCCGCTAATCCGGGTCTTATATCGTAGTCAATAATAACCGGTCGACATCTACGCGGGTCCACCTGAGAACCATCATGATTGATTTAATATTTAATAGGCCAACTGACCTGCTCACCTATCATCCCTCACTGATGCCCCGCCAGTTTATACCATAACGCTAGTGGGGTTACCATTCCATCATCGGCCATAAAAAAAATATAAAGAGCCGAGCTTTCAGTTATAAATAAAGACAGGTCGGAGAGAGCAAATGCGCCTATTTTAAGAAGCTACGGATATTATAATTACCATCTATTTTAACAATTCTAACATGGTCAAAGTTGGACAGGTCTTGACTGCGGTCCGGGAATTTCAAAATCGAATCCCAGCCTAAACCTCCGAATTAAAAAAAAAGACATTAGAAAAATAATTTTCATTTGTATCGAGATTTGGGCGACACGTAAAACCGTAGAGCAATAAGATTAAGGTTGCCTGGAAACTGTTGCCGCTGCGCTGCGGGCGAGACACGTGTCAAAAAAAATTTAAAATAAACATACAATATTATGTAACCACAGGAAGTGAGAGCGATTTCAATCAAAACATGAACGAAAAAATTGTGCGAGCAATCTATTTCGAATAATCCAAGGCCACAAAATATGTCATGTCATGGTGTCCATGTAAACTCATTGATACGAGTTCAATTTCAAGAGAATTGTACAAGAGCAAGCCTTTTCGCAGAAATAAGTAATTACGGATAAGTCAATGTACACAGACAACAAACCTGTCTACCCTGTCAGGTCGACCTCCACGCGGTTCCACTGGCAATCATCATGATTTTTTTATTTTATTTCTTATTACATTCCTTAATGTACTTGATAGATAACATTTAAACTTCAATTATCGTCCAATTTGTTCGATAGGTCAACTGAGCTAACTTCATCCTCATGGGGGGAAAGGGATTGTTAGTGATAGAGACTAAGAATCCCATTGCTAGCATTATACCCAACTAGGTCGACCTCCTCGCGGTTCCACCTAGTTTACAAGTTTAGACGGTTAGGTATTTTGACCAAACGACCAATGCGTGTGACAAGAGGCTATGACTCAGAAATTTTACTCATAGGATCGACATTGTGTGTATTTGTTAAAACATATAATATATAACAATAATAGTGATGTTTGAAAAATGACATGCTCTAATAACAAAATATATATTGACAGATAAAAGAAAATAAATAATTCTATTTTTAAAAGTAATATAAATAAAACCTCAACAACGATTATCACTTTCCAACAAATGAACCGTCAGCATATTTCCCATTCTAAATTACCTAAAAAAATCTAAGTACCTAGATAGAATCGCATGAAAAAATTAAACTATGAATAACATATGAATTTTGACTTGGTTTCATACAATGATAATTTATTGGTTTCATAATGACTCATAACAACCATACACAATGTTATTCAAACACATGGATTTAATTAACAAAGTTCCGGATACCTACTTAGCTCGCTATTTGTACAAATTTTATTGTACAATAAATAAATAAATACTAAGAACGTACTTTTTTCTCTAGTATACTAAATAGGTTAGGTTCATTGTTATCGTTTAAAGTTAAAAAAAAACAATAGATAGACTTATTTTAAGACCGACTTCCTCGAGTCTTCTTCCGCTAAATATTTTATTTAATCTTATTCCTAGGTACCTATCTAGACATTTTTATTTATTCCGTGTCTAGTCGACGACAGGTTATACCTAAACTATAGGAGCATAGCTATAAGTACGTACAGGTAATATTTAAGTTCATTATAGACCATTTATTTTAAATCTAAATACCTAGCTAGATTAATAAAACTATAATATTCACTTCAAATAACTATTTTAAAAAAAGTTAGAATTATATAGAAACAAGAGGTCATTGTACCTATATCCATCTGTCCTTTGCTACGTAAATAGGTATTCCAGCCAATTCATAAATATATCTAAGTACATATAACAATACAATAGCAACAGCGGCAAACTATCAAGATAATCTATCAATAACAATGAAATTTCCATTGATGTCATGTCCCACTATGTTTGATTGACTGTGTTTCAAATGTTTAATTCATAATTGATTTTATTTACCTAGCTATTTGTCATTACATGGACAAAACATTTCCATTATACTAATTTGTAGCTTTGACTAACTTGGGTTAAAAATATTTGAATAGAGAATTAAATTACATCATTTTTGTTAATATGATACAATAAAAAGTCCTGTCTAAATAAAGAAATCATTAAGTGTAAATAATATAATACCTACATTAACTTAATATTTACATAAATAAGACTCTGTTTAATCTATTACACTTGCAAAAAATATTTAAAATAGATCACCTATCTAACGATATTAGTGAATAATTTAAGAAGCGTGATGAATAAGTGGATACCTAGTTAAATCCACGAAATATTCTACAGGTGGTACCCACTATCTACATTATTATATTTAGGTATCGTACATAAAAACAAAACACGAAAAATCATATACTTTAACACTTTTTATTCATAATCTAATAGTTTTTATAATGAGACTTGCCATGGTCTTATAATAAAATGGGATAGGTAGGCAACTGATAGGTATTCTGTTTTGTAACACTGTCATGTCGCCGGGCCGGTTGTTCGCCTATCAAGAAACAGCTGTTACTTACAAAAGGATATTTTACCGTTAATATATTATACTACAATAAACTAAAAAAGTAAATGGTTTTTAAAAAAATAAATGGGTAGTTTAACTAGAAATTAATTAAAAATTATTACTTACCGTCTTATTTTTAAACACCAAAATATTTATAGTTTAATTATTAATTCACACTTAACTTATATAAACTAAAACACAAAGAGGCATACACAAATTTTTAGTAACTAGCACCGATAAATAACAATTAATATACTTAATATTCTTTTTAAAAATAACTACTATTGACACGAAAGTTCTGAAGTCGAAAAGACGCACACCCACCACCAGCAAGCGCAGAAACCCGACTAATGCGACCTCACGTGGTAAATCTCAAAATTTGTTTGAAGTAGTTGCGTTCCGTTTTATCCTTTGAAAACTTAAAATAATAGTTTTAGCTCATGAAAAAAAAATACTAAATAATAAGTACATATCCATTATAACTTCTACAGTTAGTTGCAATATAAACTTTGTAAAATATTCTTATCTGGATTTTTTACATCTACTTTGCCTATTCGAAATTATACTAAGATTATTACAGACATGTCTATGGTAATCATCAACAGATATATTTCTTCTGCTGAGCACTTTTACGAATACTGCGTATCTATATAAATATTATAATTAAATAAATATGTTATTTTGAATTTATAGTTAGTGATAAAAAAATCTATTTTATTTATTTGTACTTCATACATATTTAACCAAATATATATATTTTTTTTTAAATTATTAGCATTTAATGGGTTGGCGCCGTCTCGGCGGTAACATCTTTGGCGGGAAGAATACTCATTGGCTGAGAATAGACAGGCTTATAAATGCGTTTCGTTAGTACTAGAAACTAAAAAGATGTAGACAGGTATCTATGATATTCATAGTAATTACCTAATATGTATTATATTCCACATATTCGTATGATACAATTCTAGTATTTATATTAGTACATACAAGATATTTTGTGTTATATACAATATTTTTAATTAAGTGTAAAATATTTTCCCTTAGGGTAGTTGAGTGGTAATATAATGACATAAATTATGAGGTTTATATAAATCTACCCTCCCTTTTAAAGTTCATATTTGATTGCTTTCACCATTTTTCAATTTATTCGGATTCGGTAAAGCAATAAGTGAAGTTGTTCTGGTACCAACACATAGTAAATTTTTATTCATTTTATAATTATGTACAACATAATTCTATTTATTAATTAAAGAAATTTATAATAAATTTTATTGACTACAGCATTACATTATATATTTTATATTATATAATGTCTTCCACAAACTTTCTAACAGTGAAAACGCATTTATCGGAGTTCAAAAATAATTCGGACAAAGATACAGTTAGTGAGGTAACTTTTATCATTTTATTAATATCAGTAAAATAACTTTTCATCTAAACTCTAATACTAAAACAAAATTAATCAGTCTAACTATGTATAAGGTCGGCCATTTTGAAAAAATATTTGTCTTTAGAACTTATAGCAGCGTGGTGATAATAATTTTTAATATAAAAATAAAAGTACCTTGTCACATTTTCGTTTTCGCTGTAACTTATTATTTATTTTATGTGTTATTTAGATTTATTTATTATTTTAGGCGTCCGAAAGTGGAACTAGCAACTCTGTGACGTCAGCAGAAGATCTCCAAAAATTAGCGGTTATACTTGGTTTAAACAGCGCTGATGATGTATATCAAGAGCGATTTCGGGTTGATCGTCGCCGCTTGGAGACTATGCTTGCAGGTACTAATTATATCCATGGATAATAATCTATCAGATTTTAATGCGTGGGTACCTTCTCCTGGCTTCAAACAACTTCAAGTAGAACTGCTTAATACTTGTACATATATATCAAGTGTAAAAAAGTTCAGGAACGTGTCGGTAATATAAATGTTTGTAAATTAAGATCTTAGATGGTAGAATATATCGGCAACACAAGTGACACCACCCACCCCTGATGTAGCATGTTTTACTCTTTTTTTAATGGGTAAAAATGGAATGATAGCTCCACCAGCGCTATCGATATACGTGGCGGGAGGCAAGTGGAAGATGATACGTGAAGATTAATTACAGTGACTTCCAGGAGGATCCGCACGGAGATGTACTTGATAGGGTATATTGCTAGCAATGGGAGTGTTAAACTAATACTAATAATTCCTTGTGGGGGTCGACGACTTTTAACTTTAGACGAATGATATAATTTTTACATATATTTTTCTAATATTTTTGTTTTTATTTATAGAGAACTTGGAAGAATCACAGACGGCTCAAGCATTCTTTCATCAAGTAAGTATTATGTGTTTGCTATTGTAACTAAATAGATTTTACTTTATTTTTATTTAACGATGTATTTTATTTTAATTTAAGGTCATGACTGAAACTAATACCCTTGTGAATTGGCCCGCTCGCTTGAAAATTGGTGCACGTTCGAAAAAAGGTACTATTTATATAACTACACTAAAATCTACTTTGAAATTCTCAACTAACAAAATTACTCGTAATTCTTAAAATGGCTAAAGATTTATAAAAAATAACAATATGATATTTCACTGAAAATTCATCTTATACTTAAATGAAACAAAATTTAATATTTTATAATTTATACTTAAATTATACACTATAAAAACTTAAAAAAAAAATTGTTAATCTTTTTTTTATTAGGTACTTGGCAGTATTTAATTAAACAATCTGTCATGTTTTTTAATTAGCCATTTAAAAAGAACGCAGATAACATTAAACTTACATAAAAAATACCTATATATTTGTATTACAATCAGTGTGCAGCATGTTCAGGGTTAAACTTTGGCGCCAACGAGACTACGTTCGTAGGCGCCAGTTTGGCGCTCTTTCCAAATTTCGTATTTTGCGTCCGCATGTCCGTTACAAAAAGTACATGTTTGCTCTATATTTTGATATTTTGTATATATATAAACAGTTTACAATGGTTTTTACAGAATTTAATGATGATTTAGTGTACGACCTAATAAAAAAATTCAAATGTAATAAATTTATTGAAATCACAGATACACTAGGTGAGTTCGTAACTTTGTATTTTAGACGATACCGTTTTGCGAATCGAATCTTACTAAAAGTGTTTATCTAATTAAGTGCAAAATTGTGTTAGATCCCCACGTAAGAGTCGCTGGCCGACCTGACGATGTGAAACTAGCACGAGAGAAGATCATGCAGTTACTGGACACCAGGGTAAGTACTTAACATTATTTTCACTTCTTCTCGGAAATATTAGATGTAGGAGGGAAATAAACCAGTCAAATTTTACAGTTAAATTAATAAATAATATGTATTTAATAGAATCTTGTTTTGTTTTTTTATTGATAGATTTGATTTATAATTTTTGAGATATATCTATAAAGAGCAAAACTTTTTTTTGCAAAAGCAGTTTATATATATTAATTATTGAGTTATTGATGCTGTTTGTTTTCTTACAAAATTGGACGCATTAGAGCTATCCATATAAAAGCAAGTGCTATTAATATAATGATTAATAATGGCTACGGATTTATGGTTTTAATTCGAGTTTTTAGCTCTTTTGTCTTTTTTTTTTAGTTTTTGAATACACATTATGTTGTAACACAATATGCAGCGTCTTAGGTATAGCAACCTGATTCTCCTAGTCGTCAATAAATAACCATTGATGACTGATATTCCTATATAAAAGAAACCCTAAGACTGTCCGTGCTCCTTAGTAGGTGGATAGACTTAGACCTATTTTTCTATTTCTATGTGGTTTTTAAGAAGTGGTGGCAGAATGCGATGGAGAGGAAAAACTGATATGCATTGTTGTGCTTTGTTCAGAGGTGGAAGCATTTTAAGGAGATCATTACCGGGCAGTGGGATACCAACAAGCTATAAAATTAATAATAATAATAGGCTTGTAGTTTGTACATTATACTATTTCAATGTGGATTTATTGTATAAGCAATTTCAATAAATTGATAGTCATCGTCTAAGTCTATAATACCCACAGTAGCATCGAATTATAAAAAAAGTATTTATTGCTTTATCTATGATCGCACCCTAGTTCGCAATTTAAATATTTTAACATAAGTTGCGTATTCTTAGAAATGTAGACAGTACCTACTTGTTTTAAAAAACTATTGGCGATAGATAAATAGGTAGTGCATTAGGTGCTTGTAATAGTTTAACGACAGTAGTAGGTATTTTAACAATATCTTATTTACAGAGTAACCGTGTTACAATGAAGATCGATGTTAGCTACACAGACCACTCGCATATTATTGGAAAGGTAATTTTTTTACTAATCCCTGATGGTTCAGTACCGTTAGCCGTACTGTTATACGTCTTTCATAATAAAAGGTGACAGTTGCGATTTGTGCTAGATATTCTCACAGATAGTATTATTAGTAATGAATTTTTTTTTTTATTTAAATAAATTGTGACAATAAATATCTAAATACGTTATCTTACTATTATAACAAAATATATACTATACGATACCTGTACATGAGAATTAGGTATTTAAGAAAAAATATGGGGAATTTTATAAGACCAATAGATGCCAAAATAACTTTTTTTTTTTATTTTGTCTGTCTGTATGTTTGTTCCGGCATCACGCAAAAACTACTGCACTGAAATTGAAGGTCTAACTTACAAAATGGTGTGGGATTAATCTTGATACACCATTTAAAAGAGTTTTTTTTTTTTCATTGGTCCATATATACGATGTATTAGCCAAAAAGTATATAAAAAACAATAAATAAATAGGTTAAAATTATTCAGTATGCTAGATTTATTTTTTATTTTTAATTTATAACCCTGTAGGGTGGTCTTACAATCAAGCGTGTTATGGAGGATACCGGCTGCCACATCCATTTCCCAGACTCAAATAGAACCAGCACTGTGGAAAAAAGTAACCAGGTGTCCATAGCTGGTGATATGGAGCGCGTGGAAAGGGCTAGAGCTCGTGTTCGGGTATGAATTGCATTCTCACACCCTACAGTAGAATAGTGATGTTCTGAATTATGCCTGATTGTCTCAGCCAGATTAGTCTCTGATTACTGAAATCAACAATGTTGGCAACTACAGATTCCAGAACCACCTCAAATCCCAACTCTTCTGGTTAATGACCGGTCCGTTCAATCGACATCAGACTTTAGCAGATCGAAAGAAAAAAATCTAAATTTTAATTTTTGATTTTACGTTAAACTTCAGTTTAAGGTAGGAGAAGAGAACTTTTTGGTAGAGCAGAAGCTATAATCAAGTGACTCCGAAAAGTGAATCTGTCTAATTTTCTTGGCGCCTTTAATTTTAAGGCAGGGCATTGCCCCTCAATGCCCTCCCCCCCTAGCTACGGCCATGACTACGTGATTATTGCTATATCTTAAGACATAGCAATCTCTTGTGTCTAAGCGCTACCTACATAATGACACACGCTTTTGCACTTTAGTAATATATTATTTTGATTCAAAAACCAAAACACTGAACCGAATTTGATAAATATAATAGGTCCAATAGGAAATTCATTTTTCAGATAAAAATAGAATTTTCCAAATCGGTTTATAAATGACGAAGTTAGGAGGGTGAGGTAATAAACATAAAAATACAACCGAATTGAGAACTTCCTTAACTTTTGAAATCGGTTGAATAATTGAAACAGATCGGTGACAACCAGTTGTATATTGGCAATAGTATTTATATAAGAACATAAGATAACGAATTTCACTGGAAATAACCAAGAAAGTGTTGCGGGAAGAGTTGATACGACGAGATTGGTAGTGTACGTCACTATATATTTCGAATGATTAACAATTTTAATGCAATAGTTATTTTTAAATTTTCGCCTTGTTTACACATATTTTAAATACACTATCGGAAATTAACGTGATGAGAATTCGTCCTGTCGTGACCACGTCGTAGTGCAAACCACGTCGAAGCGTCGACAATAAAGAAGCAGGTATGTAGGTACTAATTTACCTGCAAAAAAATCTCATAGTGTTAAGTCCCAATAGTGTATTTGAAATTTTAATGCAGTCGAATGACAATGTATTTTAATATTTAGGCGCTCACACCTTTGATGTTCTGCTTCGAGCTGCCTATAGTGGCACCCTCTCAACCGTTGCCCGATATCACCTCACCCTACGTGCAGCAAATACAGGAACAGTATAATGTACAGGTTATTATCATATTATAATATATAAAAACTTTATAAACTTCTTCCGTTTTAAAATTATAGACTCAGAGGGAGACTTTGTATAAAAGTCGTTTGCTTGGCCACCTCTGTCCCATTCGTGTTTCTACCGTAAAGTAGTTGTGTTTCAGATTGAAAGGTTTTTTTTTTTTTGGTGGAAATGGTTACCCCGCCTGCGCTAACGGTATACGCTGGTCAGATTGAAGGGTGGGATATGACAGTGAATTTACAGGGTACAGAGGAATAACACCTGACTCCTCAGGAATGGCAACGTATGGGAGGTATCATGGGCGAAACAATGTACTCTGTTATGTCCATGGCACTGCTCATGTCTATAGGCGACGGTTACCACTTTCCATCAGGTGGGCCGTCAGCTTGTTTGCTATTCTAAGTTGTATAAAAAAAAACTTGACAATAACGTAACGGCAATTAATAATCCATCTAGAAATATAAAAGAAATATTTTTCAAAACTTTTAATATTTTCCATAATATTTAGGTACTCGCGATTGACAGTCATAAAAAAGTGTGCATTTATTGTTCTTTTTTTATATTACAAAAGTGACAAACAAGCATATGTACAGCCTGTCTGATGGTAAACGGTCACTGTAGCCTATGGACGCCTGTAACACTAGCAGTGTCACGTGCACGTGCGTTGCTGACCCTTTTTTTTAACGTCTGGAAAATGCTTTATGCAGACCCATACACCTTGTGGGAGGTGAATGGGTACTGTGGAAATCACCCCATAAGGTGGGAGTGTACCCACCAAAAAACCAGACGATATACCCTCGAGGTGCCTTTTTTTTCCTGCCATTATTACTATTGCTATCTTGATACAATACTACTCTAATTTCTTTAACCTGTCTTAATTCATCCTGTAAGTTATAATCTGCAATGGTGATTATTTTCTAGAGGTAGCCTGGCCGGTACTTAATAGGACGAATATTTACTCTCAAACATATATTTCCAAACTTTACTAAAGGTACACAGGTTTACAGACGATAATAATAATAATAAATTATAATGCAGGTGATGCTGCGTAACCGTCCAAAGCTGCACGCGAACCTGCTGGTGGTGAAGGGAGTTCAATGGGAGGTGCAGGCCACTATGGAGGCGACCAATCTGCTCATGAACTATATGTGCGGCCCGCTCGCTGTAAGGCCACATCTTATGTATATACTAACTAGCTGTTCTCGACTTTGTCCGCATGATTTACAATAAAAATTAGGTATTCTGTATTCAATCTTATTAATATTATAAATTTGACAATCTAAGATGTATTGATTGATCGGTATAGAAAAAAAAAGAAAGAAATATTTATTTAATGTTTAATTTCATACAATTATAAAATTATTTAACAATAAACAAAAATGATAAAAGGCACGCTGCCCGCTGATAATTAATGCTCCTCTCCACTCAGGGTTTGCTTGAAGAGAACTCTTACAGAGTTAAACTCTCCTGTTGTACATCTTTATTTAATATATATTATATGTTTGTATTTTTTTGTGTACAATAAAGAATAAATAAAAATAAATAAATAAAGAAAAAAAATGAAATAGAAAATAAAATGGTTTCACTCAGCTATATGCCATGTTCTTTCGTACACGACGATAAAAATCTTTCTATGACTATTTAAAATGGGAAAAGTATTCCAAATTTAATAATGTTTAGTTATATCGTTAAGGAGCAAGGAAAACACTGGCCATTTAAAAAAAAAAACTTTTTTATTTTTTACTACCAGAAGCAAACACTAGTGCAGATGACGTTGGAGATCTCGCCAATGCATCACAGCGTGGTGGTGGGGAGGAGTGCGGAGCAGCTGAAGGTGATCATGAAAGGCACCGGCACCCAGATCATGTTCCCGGACGCGGACGATCCCAACATCCCGATGATCAAGAAGAGCTGCGTCACCATCACCGGCCAGATCAAGGATGTGTACGCGGCGAGGCAACAGCTCGTTGTGAGTTCATCCACCAATATGTAGAATAGAAACCACTAATTGAAGGTTGCCTGGAAGAGATCGCTAAATCTAAGCTAATATAAAATAAGCTAATCTCTTCCAGGCAACATTGCCCATTGTTGCCTCTTTATATTGCTTTTAAATTAATTATTCATTATATTTGTGTACATATTGTTAATTTTTATAATCTATATCACTCTTTGAAGGATACAATAAAGAATTTTCATTGATCAGAAGGAGACTTCTTAGGTACCTCTGTCCCATTCCCTCTAACTCTACTCTGTCCTCAGGAATGCCAACGCAAAAGTATCATGGACTTCACTGTATATTCTGTGATTCCATGGTGCTATTCATATATATACATATATGGGTAGGCTGTGTAAATCTCATTTAAGACGTCATGAATATATTGCAAATGATTGTAATCGATAAACATTTATTCTATTCTATGCTATTCTATTCTATAGGCGATGGTTACCACTTTCCATCAACTACTTAGGTACTTACTTTGGTAGGTATCTTACCTATTTGTTATACTTCAAAATGACAAAAAAAAATATAATAAACCTTATAAACTAAACATTTTAAACGCACCCACCAGCAAAGTACAAGCAAATCCTTAGGTATTCATATTTTTCTATATAATTTAGTAGCCGCTTTTACCATAAAGTAGACAGTCCACTCGTTTGCCTTCCTAACATTAAAAAAAAACTATATTCGAGCAAAAATATTACCTCTGATTCTGAAGCCTGATTGACTACAGGGCAGCCTCCCCCTGGTGGTGATATTCGACGTGCCGGAGGAGTCGTGCCGCATCGACAACGACGCCGCGACCAAACTGATGCACAAACACAACGTGTACATCAACATACGTCGCAAGCCCAAGCAGGGCATCGCGTCCGTCGTCATCAAGGGCATCGAGAGGTGTGCCGGTGAGTTTTTTTTTAATTGATGACAGAGTGGTAACCCCGTCTACGCTATCAGTATACACTGGCGGGGCACCATTGAGAGATGAAAGGTGAGGATAAAAAACTTATATCAATCTAAAGAATCACATATAAAATGCTATAAAAGAACGATTAGTTGAATTTACTGGAATTTTATAAAAGTATTAGGTACGTTTTTTTTTTTTATATAACTTAGAATGGAAAACAAGCTGACGGTCCACCTGATGGTAAGTGGTAACCGTCGCCTATAGACATGAGCAGTACCATGGACATAACAGAGTATACTGTTTCGCCCATGATACCCCCATAAGTTGTCATTAATTAATTATCATTTAAGTATATAATACAATATAAGATCGGATTCATGAAGAGTTCCAATAGGAATGACATACGGGAACTACTTAGAAGCGGACAACGTCGCGGAAAATGGCTAGTGAATAAAATTAATTATTTCTCCAACAGGTGACGTCTACGAAGCGCGGCGCGAACTCCTCGGCGGGAAGGAACCGTCCGTCACCGCCGAGATACCGGAGTCGTACAACATTCCGGCCATAGCGAACAACGCGATGCCCAACTTCGGCGTGTTCAACCCGTTCTCGCCAACACACGCGGCCAACCTGGCCAACTCCCCGTGTTCCCCATACAACATACAGATAACTGATTTGACCAATTACGCAAACATTGGCAGCCCAATGTTTGGCCACAACCCGCCGACGCCCGGCGGGTACCCGAGTCCCATGTCTCCGGTGGCTCTCACGCCGCCGGTGTTCTCCAACACTTGGATGGTACCATCTCCTCAGCCAAGGTCCGGTCAATTTCACTACCCGAACATGAGTGTACCGAATCCGAATAGCATTATGTACAAGAACCAGGGTGGATCGTGGAACCGTAAGTTATTTTTTATTATTTTAGTTTAAAACTTTAAATTGGTTGGTATAATAAAGATAATTAACATTATGTCTTATAAAAAAAAAAAAACAATTTCAATTGTACCAATTTTGATTTAAAAACTAAACTACTGAGCCAATTTTCATAAAATATCTATGGAACTAATATAACTTGTGTGTAAGTATAACTTTTCAGATAAAAAAATATTTTTTTATACAACTTAGAATGGCAAACAAACTGACGGCCCACCTGATGGAAAGTGGTAACCGTCGCCCATAGACATGAGCAGTACTATGGACATAACAGAGTATATTGTTTCGCCCATGATACCCCCCTACGTTGCCATTCCTGAGGACTCAGGTGTTATTCCTCTGTACCTAGTAAATTCACGCCATATCCCACCCTTCAAACCGAAACACAGCCATGCAAACACAACTGCTTCACGGTTGAAACACGAATGGGACAGAGATACTCAAGCAATCGACTTTTGTACAAAGTCTCCCTCTGGTAAAGTCCTTGTCTTTTGCGAATTAATATTCTAACTTTTCACCTTTAACCAAAATATACAATCTCGCCTGATAACAGATAGATACCGCAGAGTTACGTATACTTACGATGTAACAATAATCACTCAAAATTTGCTATTGCAATAGATATTATTAATACTGTTTTTATTGGTAAGAAATTATTAAGATTTAGTGGTAAGCATACCTAGCTACTAGAAAAAAAGAAAAAATAATTAAATCAAAGAAGCATGCGACTCGCACAGTAGCACACAAAACAAGAACAAAAGAAAAAAAATAGTATACAAATAAAAAGCGTTTCCTGCTCAATTAAAGTCTAAACAAAATAATAAATAAATTAATAAAAAGTAGGACAACTCTCGAATTTAATATCGATATCAAACCGATATATTGCCAATGACAATTTAGTACTGCACTCATGAAACAACAATTAGGAATTAGGATCGATATGCAATAGTTTGTATTAGCAAATTATACTAATAGGTATCCATTAGAACAATGCTTTTTAACTACCAATATTTAATTTACAAGGCATGATAATAGACAATAAGTTAAACATTCAGGGTAATATTATTAAACATATGTATCTAAACACAGGGCCTACCATGAAATGTTTTTCGAAATTTCGGGGACGAACGAAACAGAAATTTGATGTTAAAATTACATAATACATGCCGTTTAAAATTATTAAAAATGTTAAATTATCATTCCTCTGGACTATTAGGATAGTATTTATGATGAACGAAATGTTAAGCTCCATTTACTGGCTCGATTTCGGAATACGAAATTGAGCCCGAAAATTCGGAATTTCATTTCATGGTAGACCACCAGGTTAAAATCTGTCAGTGAAATAGAACATTTAAAAAAAGAAAAAAAAAAAGAATTGAAATACGACAAAAAAATTTGATCTGTCCTATACTTATTTTTGCTTAAAATAAATAAATAAATAATCTTTTACCATCAGACAGACTGTGTGCATAAAAATATGCTCATGACTACAACCCTAAAGGACTAGTCAGTAGTATTGGTAAAATGTTATCGTCATTTGCTAAGTTTATTAATCCAACGTGGCAGGCAACGTCCATACACTTAACATTAGCAATAAAATACGAAACCCCCATAATCCTTATACCAAATTTTATTTAATCAACTTTTTCTATACAGCTATGAACAACGCGGAAATGAACAGCATGCCTCAGCCGGTGATGATGCAGCCGCCGTACCAAATGCCAGCCGATGGCAGAGCTGCTGTGAGTCATACATATTATTCTACTCATAATTTTTTTTTTAAATTTTTTTATACGACTTAGAATGGCAAACATGCTAACAGCCTACCTGATGGAAAGTGGTAACCGTCGCCTATAGACATGAGCAGTATCATGGACATAACAGAGTTTACTGTTTCGCCCATGATACCCCCATGCGTTGCCATTCCTGAGGACTCCAGGTGTTACTCGTCTTCCATTTCCATTTACCACTCTTCTCATAAGCTCCTGTACCTTACCATGTAGGTAGAGCATCTCAATATAGGTTCTAATTCCGAAATCTTGCGTTAGCGAACATATTTTGTTCTCCTACCCAACTCTTACAACGTTCTGCAAATGAAAAAAAGTGATGACATAATACACAGGCAATCACTACAAAATAAATAAATATGTACATGTATATATTACAGTAGGATCTCGATTATTCGAATATTCGATTATCCAGACTTTATTATTCACAGCCCTAATTACGTCTAAATGACGAATGTAAAACCTTTTAATAATGAAAAAAAAAATATTGTTCGATTTTACTTTGAAATCGATTATCCGGATTTTCGATTTTACGAAATACCCCCGATTTTGTTTGATTCAGATAACCAAGATTCTACTATATATTTATTCTATGCAATGCGGAAATAAATAAATAGGTATATACGTGGTGAAATTGATACTTAGCTAGCATTTAATTTTTTTATAATTATTTTTAAATGTAAATACACCGTTAAAAATACTATTTCATCCTATTTATTTTGAATTTCTTTATCAGAAGCCTTTTAAATAGCCTCTGGGTCTATAAACCACGAGCCTAATATTATTAGGTAAGGGGGGAAAGGGATTGTTGGTAATGCGGATTATCAGTCCCATTGCTAACAATATACCCTTACAGGTCGACCTCCCCGTGGTCCCTTCTGGAAACCATCGTGCTAAATTCTAAGTGTATTTATCACGATGGGCTAACTGGCCTGTCTTTTCATCCTCACCTATCATCCCTCACTGGTGCCCCGCCAGCGTATATCGTTAGCGGGTTTACCATTTCATTATCATATATAAAAAAAATATTAGGTAAACTGTATCTAGGCTCATCATGCCAGGGGGCAAGATAGTTAGTAATGGAGACTAGCAGCCCCATTGCTAGCAATATACCCTATCAGGTCGACCTCCAGGCGGTTCCCTCCTATAAACTTATGAGATGGACTTATAATAAAATTAACACCTGATTCATGTTTCCCAGCAAACGACGTTGAACCAGTTGCTGAACTGCAGCTCGCAGGCGAGCAGTGGGTACCAGAGCAACTTCACAGGCAGCTCTGTCTCACTCGACACGCAAAATCTTTCCGGTCAGTTTTACAACTCTAATATTGTCTACATACATACATAGGTACATGCATTGTAACGAACTTACTGTGTTACTTCATCTGGACACTTGTATATTGCATTTTTATGTATAGAATAGAATAGAAATCATTTATTCAAATAAACTTACATTGAAGCACTTTTGAAAAGTCATTACATTTTTTTTAATTTACCGCTCGTTCGGAAAGCTGTCTCATCACAAGAAGAACGAGCAAGAAACTTGCGTGATGCTCTTTTAAATAATTTTATTATTATTTTACATTTTTAAGTTTAATTGTGTGAATACAAACCACCAATTAGCACTAATTCAATTAAATACTCAAAAAGAAAAAAAAATTGAATACATAACCAACTGGTTAAACAATTAATAAGAGGAAATCAGTCATAGTGATTAGAGCAGACCAGTCCCTACAAGCAGCACCCGTTCACGAGTATGACGGATGAGCCAGCCATCACTGCGCTCGACCATATTTTAGGGAGCCCAATGACCCGGCCCACCACGCCGCCACAAGTCTGGACATTTTAGTGAGCATGACTACTCAAAACACTAGACCACGTCAAAGCTACTCACAATTGCCATCTGATAGTTATAGTATTCACATTTTACATAAGAATGCATGCGGCAATTAATACAAAAAACCGCTACGCTTTCATATTTCTAAAATTAATCAATTAAATCAAGAAAGCAATGAGAAAATAAAATTATAACGTTTTATGCTAATAAACTAATTATTTACTTGATATGTTGTCATCTATGAATTCGTCTATCCTGTAATAGGCTTTCTTACATAAAAATTGTTTAATATAAGATTTGAATTGCCTCTCTGTCAGATTTAATGCAGATTCCGGCAGTTTATTATAAAATCTTATGCAATTACCATAGAATGAATTACTGATTTTGTGCAGACGGCATTTAGGTAAAATAAGCTTATTTATATTGCGTAAGTTTCTACTTGTACAGTCTTTGAGTTTTTTAAAACTCGCTAAGTTCTTCCGTGTATACATAATATTTTCATAAATGTATTGTGAAGTAACTGTGAGGATATTTGAGTCTTTAAAGCACTGACGTAATGACTCTCTTGAACCCATACCATAAATAGAACGTACGGCTCTCTTTTGTAAAACAAATATAGTATTTATATCGGCTGCTTTACCCCACAGCAGTATGCCATAAGACATTATGCTATGGAAATAACTAAAATATACAAGTTTAGCCGTCGCCACGTCTGTTAATTGCCTAATTCTTCTAATTGCATATGCAGCAGAACTGAGTCTACTGGCCAATTTTGAAATATGGGGCCCCCATTGTAATTTCGAGTCCACTGTTATACCTAAAAAAACTGTATCATTAACAAAATTTACTATTTCGTCATTAAGCAATAACTGTGTATTTATTAGTCTTACATTAGGAAGTGTAAATTTTATACACTTTGTTTTGCTGGAATTTAATAATAGGTTATTACATGTAAACCAATTTAATATTGCAGACATAGCACAATTTACATCGTCTAATTGATTACTTTGACGTCCAATTTTAAACACTAACGAAGTATCATCCGCAAACAGCACTATATCTGCAATTTTCTCTACCATAAAGGGAAGGTCATTTATGTAGATTAAAAAGAGAAAGGGGCCTAAGATTGACCCTTGTGGAACGCCCATCTTAATATTAGCTCCCTTAGATTTTACACCGTCAATATCTACAGTTTGAACCCTATCCTCTAAATAAGTTCTCATTAATTTTAGATCATTATCTCTTATACCATAATGTTCGAGCTTGTACAAAAGCGTTTTATGATCCACACAATCAAATGCCTTTGATAGGTCACAAAAAACTCCGAGTGCATCCTGTGACCTATAAACTGAGGGCCTACCGTGAAATGTTTTCCGAAATTTCGGAGCCAAACGAAACAGAAATTTGATGTTAAAATTACATAATACATGCCGTTTGGAAATATTAAAAATGTTAAAATATTATTTCTTTGGACGTTTATGATAGGATGTATGACGAACGAAATGTTAAACTCCATTTATTGGTTCGATTTTGGCATAAACAAAAACACGAAATTGAGTCCGAAATTTCGGAATTTCATTTCATGGTAGACCCGCTGTATTATACACTTTTTCGAACTAATATATAGGTTATACCTATATATGTTGATTGTAAAAGTAAATAAATAAAAAAAAAACAAATATTATATCTTTGTAAACAATATAATAATTAAATACAACAACAAGCCTATCAAAACAATCGTATGACGAGTAGCGATCAATTTATTTAATGATTAAGGTCCACCAGTCATCTCTACTAATGATGGGCAATATTAGTTGTCTGATGATTCAAGATCAAGGACGCCGAACCTTGAACTAGGCGCGTGGATGCGGCATCATGATGAATTCATTTTTTTTTTCATTTAAGTAGGTTATTTATGAAATAAAGTATGTTTATTTGACACTTTAATAAGTAGTCTTTAGTAGTTAAATAATAATAATAATAATTTTTATTCAAGAAAGATACAGTTGCATAAGTTACAATTTACAATTTTTACAATTTATATTCAATGGGGAAATATCTGCATTACCATCAGTCCCAAAACTAGGCCAGACCTGTATCTTGGGGACTATGAACGCGATTACCAATTTAGTAAATTTTGATTACAAAAAAATAAATAAATAAATAAGGAAAACTATGTGATAATGTGAATGTGTGTGTGTGTGTGTCTCTGTGTGTGTGCTCGCGCATGTGTGTTGTGTATAAGTGAGTGAGTGCCTGAAAGTGAAGTGAAGAAATGAAGTCTTGGTGAAGTCCAGAAACTTCTAATATATAATAATAAGGGAGAATAATAATAATATAATAAGAAGGGAGATAATTAAAATCATAACAATCCAGGACTCGTTCCTTCAGAAGGTGATTTAGTCTACTAGTCAAGTGGCATAGTGGAGGATTTCCTTTTGAACTTGGCTTATGCAGTCAAGAAAGTCTTCTCTTACTCAAATAATGATAATGTTAGCTCAAACAGTGTCCTGAAGACAATTGCTGATAAAATGGACTGTCCCATCCTAAAATATTGGGTGGGACAGATTATCAATGTAAGAGCGTTATGACCGCTCATTTACTAACATAGGTTAAGTCAATTTGTAACTAACAAAATGGGCCTTATGTAGTCTAATTAAATAAATATTATTATTATTATTAAATACTATATGTAAACAAAATTTCATGAGAATTGATTGAGCCGTTATACTGCCAGGAGGCAACAAACTCATTAAGAATTTACTGCACTGATGCTTTATTCCTCTACTTGCTATTGTATGATGTACTCTCCCATGAATTCGGATTAGTATATTTTATTTCGCTAGTCCTGTACGACGTTGTGTAATGATTAGTGTTGACGGTGACGGTGGCAGCAGGTGGCGAGGGCAGCAGCGTGCCGAGCGTGGCGGCGAGCGTGGCGAGTCCGTCCGTGTCGCCCATCAGCGTCGGCCGCAGCCCCGCACAAGACGATAGACACCACGGTATGTCCGTGTATGACTCGCTACCAACGTAAAATAGTACGGGTTTTTTTTTAATGGATGATAATGGAATGGTAACCTCACCCGCGCTATCGGTATACACCGGCGGGGCACCAGTGAAGGATGATAGGTGAGGATATACTAGGTCAGTTAGCCCATCGTGACAAATTCAACAAGAATTGTTCACGATGGTTTCCAGGGGGAACCACGTGGAGGTCGACCTAATAAGGCATATTGCTAGCAATGGGGCCGTTAAACTCCTACTACTAAACAATCTCTTCGCATAAGACGGGGAAATAGTCCACCATTACCTTGCACAAGGTATAGAGTTTTATTTTGAGTTAAAGTTTTACAAAAACGTTCGCGTTTTGTTTTGTCTGTCTCACTTTTTTTTATTTATTATATTTACCGTTTATTGGCCACTGCTAAACATAGGTCTCTCCCAAAATGGAAGGTTTCGCTAGTAGTTACAACATTTGGCAAGCAGGTTGGTAACCACAGTTAGACTTTTGGTGATGTTTCAAGAGGAATGCTGTTGCCCACCCCTTGACCTTTTTGAAGTCCATCCCTCATACGACACACGGGTAAAGAAGAGGTGGCCCTTTCTCTGTCGAGATCACACAGCTTTATCACATAAAGTTTTTTTTTTTTTTTATAGAAATAACAGAACTGGCAAACATAATCTCCGACTTGCCGCTGTCGGAGCGCCGCGCTGTTGGCTGTGAGAAGAAAACTCTTGAGAATCTGAACAAGCTCTCTCCGCTCACTGAGTACAGGAAAATGAGAGCCGAAGCCAGTAAGGTATGCTTATGGTATTTTTCTATATATATATATATGTGATAAAGGCAATCCAGCTTATTGTCATACACATATTTATTTATTTATTTATAGGATTACTAACATAAAACACAGCTAAACATTTCGATACAATACACTGGTAGATTAGATCTAACTGTTCTTACATTTATAGGCGACCACAGCGTGCCTTGTGTTTGATAAACATTAAAATATAATTAAATTATTAAATGTCATTATATGAGTAAAGATATTAACAATATGAATAATAATATAATATAAATAATGGAAATTGCATTTAAATTATTATAAATTATAAACAAATACAATGTAATGGCTAGGTACATCAACATTTTAATTTAGCCAAGAACACAGAGGGACTATCGTTGTGAATATCAAGTTCGGGCTTGGTTTTTACAATATCGTGATACAGACGCGTTTTGCGGACGATAAATGATTCACGACCCACGTTTGTTTTTATATGGATAGATAAATATTCTTCACTGTTCCTTCCAAATACAATTATCAAAACGTTTATTATATCTAGATAGAAAAAAAACTTTAGAACAATGATAAGGACAATAAAGGGCCCTTGCCCATTAAGCAAACATTTATACAAAATAGAATCCACAGACAACCCTCTATGTAGAGGCTGTTTTGACGCCGAAGAAACGGCTGCTCACGTAATCCTAGAATGTGAAGCTGTGGCCCCTCAACGTTTAGAAAGTCTCGGAACGGTGAGGTCGCTCCGTAAGACCTGTGAAGATCCCAGGAAGCTTCTGTGCTTCTGGGCGGAGCTTGTTGGCTGTACTAGCCACGACTCATACGCACAACGGCCCAAATGAGAGGCTAAGCGCGGAAAAGAGTCCAATCTACATTACATTACGTTCCTTCCAGATGGTTACCGTAGTAAATGTTTTAAATACACTATCGGGACTTAACACTATAAAAAAATGAGAACCATGACCTTTGTCCTGTCGTAACCACGACGTGGTACAATCCACGTTAAAAAGTCGACAATAAAGGAGCAGGTATGTAGGTACTTACCTGCAAAAATTTTTTCATCGCTTTAAGTTCCGATAGTGTATTTAAAATATGTGTAAACAACACAAAAATTTAAAATTAACTACAGCAGTAACGTTTTTTTTTGTTTTTTTATACAACTTAGAATTTACTTAGAACTTACCGTCACCATCATCAGGACTTTTAATGGGCGTTAATATTTTTTTTTATACAACTTAGAATGACAAACAAGCTGACGGCCCACCTGATGGACAGTGGTAACCGTCGCCTATAGACATGAGCAGTGCCATGGACGTAACAAAGTATTCTGTTTTGCTGATGATACCCCCCGTGCGTTGCCATTCCTGAGGACTCAGGTGTTATTCCTCTGTACCCTGTAAATTCATGCCATATCCCACCCTTCAAACCGAAACACAGCCATGCAAACACAACTGCTTTACGGTTATCATAAACGCAAAAAAAAAAACAAAATAAGATCACACTTTGAGCTTCCCTTAATCAGTTTATCCCAGATTCAGTTAATCAATCCTGAGGATAAAAAGGGATCCATGATGATGATATGTTATATTATTACTCTGTCACTTCAGTGCACCAATATATTTTATGGGTATTAAGAAATTAAGAAATCTATCCAGATTTCTGAATTCCTGTGCCACAGATTTTTTATCTAGTTTAGAATCAAGTCTTCCACAAGTTTTACAGTATCATCTATGCATTTATACATATGTATATAGTAATATTGTTTTCATGTGGCTGATTTTATTCTGAAAAATTTGTGGAAAAAATAAATCTTATCTATAAAAAGATTTGTAAAATTATTAACAAGGAATTAAGATTGACAAAAGCGAGTTTAACCCTATTAAAATTTCTTCCAACAAACCAGCAAACTATGAGGTGAATTGTTAATAATTGTGGCGCGTGCATTAGACAAGCACTTGACCTAGCTATTGCGAAGCAGAGGTCGTAAAAAATAAAATATGGAAAACAGCAGGTCAGCAACTAAAGTTAATGAATCGAAATGTCCTACCTATACACCCTTGGCCTTAATGATAGGGCCAATTTTCCTCGAATGCACACTTGTTTGAATGCCGATTATTTATGTTTTCCTCTATACTTAATTTACAATTTCCGTAGCGCAATATTGGAATTTGGAATTGAACCAGTGAACCTTGTATGACCATTGTCTGTCAATATCAATCGAGTCTTTATCTAATTTTATTGGTAATATAAAATGCTAACTTCAAAGCATCAATTACTAGAGGGAGACTTTGTACAAAAGTCCTTTATCAAATGACAATCTCCTTGAATGTGGTCAACTTAGTCAAGTGTCTTCTCAATGTTTGAACGAACACTTTGGAGCAGCGATTATAAACTAAATATTATTTATAAGTAAAGATAAATTAATATACTAATATTCATTTATATGAAATAAACTAGAAGTAACAGATTTTCATGTCTATAGGCGACGGTTACCACTTTCCATCAGGTGGGCCGTCAGCTTATTTGCCATTCTAAGTTGTATAAAAAAAAATATTAACGCCCATTAAAAGTCCTGATGATGGTGACGGTATTGTACTTGTGCAGGCGATGCGCGAGACGGTGGGCAGTGGGTACCGCGTGCCGACGCCACGCTGGTCCGGCTACTACTTCAGCCACACCTCGCCCGGACCCATCAACTTGAAAGACGACACCGAAAACAACGCCACGGTGAGCCAATACACTTTGTACTAACTGGACAATATTGTTTTATTTTTTTACTAGGTTAAATATTTCAAAAACCAGAAAGTTTACAGCCCAGCTGATGAGGGGAGAAAGGGATTGTTAGTAATCACATCGACCTCCACGTGGTCCCCTATGGAAACCATCGTACTGAATTCCAGGTATATTCATTGCAATGGGCTAACTAACCTGCCTTTCCATTCTCACCTATCACCCCTCACTGGTGCCCTGCCAGCGTATACCGTTACCGTTACCATTCCATTATCATCCATTAAAAAAAAAACCCAGCTGATGAAGTGATAATCGTCGCCTGCAGACATGAACTGTACCATAAACATTCCCTTATACATTGTCATCCTGAGGTTTACTTAACCTTAGAAAATACGTAGAAAAAAACCTAAGAAAGTACTTAGCTTTCGATGGCTTAGAAATTAATTCTCTAAAGTGATGCGCAGCTAATATTTCACAGATAATATTTCATATTTCTTTATAAACCAATGTAACAGTTTTCGTCACACAATGGCAAATCAATATTTACATTTTAATTTTGAAATTAATAAAATAAATAATAACAATAATAATAACATTTGAATTGTAAAATAAAAATAACATTACAAATTAATTACAGTTAACATTATAAATTAGTTAATACATGTCAATATAGTGTTAACTATATACCAATAATGATGACTTCAATTTATAAAATTGGAATTGTCACACTTCTTACAGTTAAACATAAATAAATAATAATGCTATAATTTAATATTAGCATTTAGGTATTCGGTCACGTTGTAAAAAGAATGTTGTTCAAAATATATCTTTATTTTATTTTTAAATTTGTTTCTCTTATTAATATAATAAACCTTTCCACTAATTTTGTAAAAAAAATCTAGTACATTTATATATATTCTCGTATTTAGAGTTCTTAGTAAACTGACTTGCCTATTGCACTGTCAACATACAGTCCCAACTACGAGGTTAAGTGACTTAAAAATATGGGTATCTCTTATGAATACACAGACACACAGAGTTTTCGCATGATCACCTTGTAATGATAAACAATCCACCTATTTAAATTGCTTGACAAATACAAACCAATGCTCTCTACAAAGGTTTTTTTTTACCACACAGGGGGCAAACGAGCATGAGACTCACCTGGTGGTAAACGCCTTATGGCTTTATGTCAGCCATCTATACAACTTGTCACTTGTGTACGTGAAAATAAATAATACATACATACATATCTGTTACGCTTGTCTGCCATTAGGGTAGGCAGAAACAATGGAACGCCAAATGCTACGATTCAAACAAATAAGTAAATAAAAATTAAGAAACTGCTATAAAAAATATAGTTAATGTCACTTGTGACGCTGTACAGATTCTAACGACAGCCTCTATTCAATAATCCTAATTATTCAGGCATTTAGAAGTTATATTGGAATAAAGAAACTCACAAACGTGAATCCTAAAAACATTATACACTTTGAGCAGTTGTGTAAAAATAAAAATGTTTTCAGCCTGAAAAAGGTTGGAACAGACCGGAGCTAGTACGGCCTAACATAACGGAGCCATCGAAAACACCACCTAGCAAGCCCTGTCGCTACCAACAGCTGTACGATCTGCTGCGAGATATCGGCCTGCAAAAGTATATTGGTAAGTCGTATATGTAACCTTGTGTCTCCGTGTCCCGTTGCATGTGGTCCCAGCATAGAATATCCCGTGTGATCCCGGCAATGGAATAGGCCACCGCTACCTTTCACGTGAGTGTCGTAAGAGGCAACTAAGGGAGGGCGAGGGATGAACAGCAGCATCCCCCTTAAAACATCCAAAAAGCTTAATTTCCGTTGCTAATCCACCTGCCAAGCGTGGCAACTACTGTCAAAACCCCACTAGGGGAGGCTTATGTTCAGCAATGAGTAGTTAAGAGCTGATATAATGACATGTAACATTACCGTATAATTTGGTTGTGAGTTTGTCATATCGTATTACGTATTTACATCTGTCTATGGCGACATAAAATGAGCCACTACTTCCTTTCCCGGATGAAGGATGAGCAGCAGCGTCCCTCTTAGAACATCATACATACAAAATCTATAATACTTGTTATTATAAAAGAACTAATTAAAATGTGTTATTCAGATCTGTTCAAGAAACACGAGTTGGACATGTCGACGTTTGCATCGCTGAACGAGGCGGACCTCGTTGAAATCGGCATATCGGCTTTCGGCGCTCGCAGGAAGATGCTGCTCGTCATCTCTGGTGAGTTACTGGAGACTCCCTTAATGAGATTTTAACAGAGGGACGACATTAATATCGTGTACATGGGTATCTCTGTCCCACCTGTGGTCTACCGTAACACAGCATGCCTGTGTTGCAGTTTGAATTTTGTATGTATATCAATAATTAGTAGTACCGCATTCGAATGACACCTCCCTATGGTTGACTGGGAGAGAATGTTTTTAGCATTAAGGCCGCCATATACACATATTTGTACTAATGAATAAATAAATATATTTTTTTTTAATATCAAAAATTGTTGTTGGTTATGATAATTTTGTATTCGGAATAGATTTTATATATATATATATATATATATATATATATATATATATATATATATATATATATATATATATATATTTAATTTCCGTTTTTTTTACAATGTATAAAGTATCACACCTTAAAAGTGGGTATTGGCTATCCACACGAATATTAGAGATTGATTGATATTGATAGGCACTATAAATATTTTTCAAGTTAAGTGCCTTAACGAAGGGCGGAGTGGAGTATCTACGCAATACTGTGCATTCGTTATCATGGTATTACATATACCGACGTGAATTAATAAAAAAATACAGGTACTTGTTCAAAAAACATAGGCCTATAATGCAATACAAGTGGTACATCGTTCTTTATTTGTGAAGTATTGCATGGACAAGGTTACTTTATACGTGAATTTCAGAAGCAGAAAAACTAATAAAAGAAACTATTCATAGATGGCGTATCAAAATAAACATACACCAGATTTTAATATAAACCTTGAAGACTGCAACTGTGTAAACCATATTCAATTTGGCGCAGTCGTTTTTGCATAACACCGGAATATACAGACAAAATTTTTAAAACTAATTGTTTTAGCACCTATTTTTTTTAATGGGTGAAAATGGTATGGTAACCCCGTCTGCGCTAACGAGATACGCTGCCGGAGCACCAGTGAAGGGTGATAGATGAGAATGAAAACAGGCCAGTTAGCCCATCATGATGAATTCATCAGGAATTAACCATGATAATTTCCAGGGGGAACCAGGAGGAAGTCGACCTGGTTGGGTATATTGCTAGTAATGGGATTCTCAGTCTCCATTACTAACAATCCCTTTCCCCCCTTTTGGCACCTATTTGTCATATATTATATAAATTTTACTTAAATATCTCCCACGTACATAATTTGAGGTCCACGTACTCAATTATGCTTAAAAGATTAAGCGGATTTGATTAAATTTGGCGCAAGAATAGGTTCAATTCTTAAACATTTAAATTACCTACAAGAACAAAACCAAGGTAAATAGCTAGTTATGAATGAATGACTTATAGTATCTACATATATAGTGCACGGGAAGAGTATTCATTATCATATCAGCTTTGAACTGTCCACTGGTGAACATAAGCCTCCCCCTAGGGGGATTTGCCAGTAGTTGCCACGTTTGGCAGGCGGATTGGCAACCGCAGTTAGGGTTTGGAGATGTTTTAAGAGGGACGGTGCTGCTCATTACTAGCCATCCGTTAGTCGCCGTTTACGACACCCACGGGAAAGGAAGGGGTGGCGTATTCTATGCCGGGACCACACAGGAAGTGTATTAGTTTGATGAAAATTGTATAATCGGGTGCAAGTATGTATTTTACGGTCACATGACATAAATAATTTCATACACGTATTAAATTGTGTGATAAAAAATGTTGCCAACATTGTCCTACCTAAGACAATGAATAATTTGCATATAATATCGGTGTCGAGTTGACACAAGTGGCATTTTATTTTTGTACACAAACTTATACTTTATTTTTAAACGAACAATTACAGAATGGTAACCCCGCCTGCGCTATCAGTATACGCTGGCGGGGCACTAGTGAGGGATGATAGGTGAGGATGAAACCTTGGCATTTCATCATGACTAATTCAACAAGTCAAGCACGATGAACTCCAGGAGGAATCACGTGAAAATCCACCTGAAAGAATATATGGTATTGTTAGATAGAGTGTTAGGTTGACTGGAAGAAATCCCTTTTAGAGATAAGTTCGCCTTTGCTAACGTTATTACTGTTATTACTAACTTATTGTTGTTACTGTATGTTTTAGATATATATATATATATATATATATATATATATATATATATATATATATATATATATATATATATATATATATATATTATTGCAAAGGACTTTCTGCCATGTTGTTGTGTGTGTGGGCCTAATGCCCATAAGAACTAATTTTTAACACTAATTGGTAACCCTAATTCTCTAGTACATTGTATCGAAATTTACTCGCAAGTTGGTGATGCTTTAAATAAATAAATAAATTTTTATATATCTGTTACAGAACTGCAAAAACAATCGAACGCGTTCAAGAAGGCACCAGCGCCAGGCAAACTCATTAGTTCACCGCCATTCAACACCTCGCACGCACAGGACAAGTGGTAGTCAACCGTCGCCCGCAACCGCCCGCCAGCGAGCCGCACTTGAGCATTTGGGTTCTAGTAGGTATTATGTTAGATTGCTCGCCAAAACAGTTACTCGAAAATTGGTATAAACTACTTCTGAGACGAGTCAAGACAATATAGCACGTTCACTTAATGTATGACACTTCAGCGAGATAGGAAATACAGAAGAGGGCATGATAGTATCCCTTACAGTATTCACTTAGTGCCTGTACACCCTATGAAAAGCTGAAGACAAAGTGAACGAGCTATGCCACCTCAACTTACTTTATGTAAGACAAAGTACCTAAACAAATTACGAGCTAAACATTTTTCTGTGACAAATTTATGACAAATTCACGTCGTATTGATGCTAAAATCCTTGGGGAAACTACTAAAATACTTTTATACCTATTCAAGGCAGAAACCCATCGTCATAAAGTCGATAGAGCTGATTGAATTTCAAGAATAACACTTGACTCGCTGTTAGGTTTGGACTTGTAATGATTAACAAATACCTACACTGAAATGACCAGTGCTATTGGGCCTCACAAAAGTTATCGTAGCACGACACGGCACGATTTTACCATAGCGGAATGTATGTGTTAATTTACCGTCCACGGTGGGAAAAGCGTCCCCATATAATAAACATACATTTTACTTCACTATACTTAAATCATGTTGAACCGTGTTAAGATTAATTAAACGTAAATAGTTTATCAGAAAGGATAGAAAAATTACAAAATTAAAAAAAAAAAGGAAATTTTGGATTATTGAAAGATTGGGGATATACCAAAATTATGCGGATAGTTCGTATACCGTGTTGGTACTGTTGTGAAAAATTATGATGGATTAAGTCCTTTCTGCTAATCTACGTCCAATTGTAAAAGTCCAATTGTTTCCTTAATCTAGATCCTAATTGCTCACCTCGGTGTTCTAAGTCCGGAGATTTCAAGACTGATCATATCGAGCTCGTAAGACTGATCCGATGGCTCGAAAAGAGCAATGATCGTTAGCAAGCTAGAGTTTAAACTGAATGGATACTTTAATGAATAAGTCTATTCGAATAGCTACCATAAGACTGATACAAATAAATTTTATTTTTCAGTCACGTGTTCCCACTATCTTTACGGTCCATTCGCATCGAACGCGATGCGACGCGACTATTGTAATTCATAATAATAAATTTAAGTTTTCTTTTGTGTTTGGTAATAAGTAAACCGAGATTGCGTGGTCATTCGCGTCGCATCGCCGATGTGAACTGATCTTTGCTGTAAAATTATTGTAATAAGACTATTAAAATTATATTAACTCGTCCGGAACCGTGGCTGCAACGAATGAGCTTGATGCTATTATCGGTGATTCGTTAATTTTCTATGAGGTTTTTATAAAATGTAGTTATTAAGTTATTTTGTTTTGTTTGTTTTTTTTTAGAAACTTTTATGATATAGCTAAAAGCGATACGACGATTAGATCTCTATTTCAGACAATTGTTGAAGTAAACTGGCCGAGCGCCGTTAAAATTTATCTGTTATTTATCTTTATAGAATTTTAATCGTAGTTATTAAGGAGAGCATGTTTTATTTTTTGATTGTACAAAACTGAGCATTTTATGTGTAATTAACTCATCGGACAAGATATTATATATGTATGATTATTGTGATATTCGGCTTACCTTTTTATAATTTGATTATGGAGTTATTACAATGTCAGGTATTCCTACATTTACAATTTTTTTTTTTTTATAAATACACACATATTCGGCCAACCAACGTATTCCTTTTGCTGGCATATTTTTTATAATATGATTTATAAGGTAATAATTTGGTATTGGCGATTGACCTATTCATAAAAATCAGCACATCAAAATATATTTGTAAACTTTTGGACAGGCAATGAAAAGAACTTGAAATTTTTTGACTTGATTTTAAACACGACGAATTTACATTTTAGTTTACAGCTGTAGGTAATAATAACAAGAAGGGGAGACGTTTCGAACATAGTCACACTATTTACCTATAGCTGGATTATTTTAATCAGTTAACATTTTATATGAATATATAATATATATATATTAATATCACAAATCATATATGTTTTTGTATTTGATTATGAATTTTAGGTTTATTTTTTTTTGCTGCGTGTGCATTTTCGATTTTAACCCTATTAACATGCTAATTTATTGTGAATGCCCTATTGTAATATGTTATTGTAGTATTATTATTAGTGAGATTTCATTGTAAACTATTGGTACATAATATTTGTGATCGCTTGCTTTTTATAACCTGTTAGTTTTTACATCTCTATCAACCATGGAATTATGTATCAGTTTGTTTACTTTCTATCGTCTTTTAGGATCAGAAATGTATTTCTTTTTAATCATGAACTTGTGATTTTGATCAATCTTTTCTTTTTTTAAATTATGATTATGATTTACATAGACTTTTTAGTGATTATGAAATATTATCTGTAAGTGGAAATTAATTTAATGAGTTGGTCTAAAGTTAATGAGTTTTTAAAGCGTTTGCACTAGCGGTTTTGTTATTTTCTAAAAATATATAAGTGAGTTTTTGCACGTTTAAGTTTTTCTTGTACGATTAAATTTCAGAAATTTTCTACGTGTTTCATTTTTATGCCTTTCCCCACGATAGCAATTATTTTTGAAGAAATTGCCGCAAGGGAGACAATATTAATTTCTTTCCCAACACGATTCCTGGCTATGGCCCCCAGAGGTATGCCAGGTAATAACAGCTTTACATCATAATAGACCCATTTACATATCGATCAATGCTATATAAATTTATATGACGGCTAAATAATATGCTTCTATAGGGCAGTACTTACGTAATAAACTCTTAACTAATAACTATGAAAATCTTTTCGAAACAGGTTTGCATTGTAACCATACTTATCCGATACACTTCGTATACGTGCACCGTACTTACGTATTACTTAACCATAAATATCTAAAGAGGAGATGGATTATTGAATATTTTATATAGGAACAGAATGTCGCTACACTGTCATATGGCAGACAACAACAACTTAACACGACAATTTGATAATACACAGTCTTAGATTAGATAATCTCCAAACAAATGTTTCGAGAAAAATGGGTCAACTTTTTCATACAATTTTGCGTGATAAATAGTTATGAATATTTCCTTTATAACTTCTATATTTATTTTGTTTTATAATTTATTCATATTTTTAATGCGTAAATACAAACTTAAACAAACTTAGCCTAATTATGCCTAACAAATACGATTTCAGTGATCTAATTAAGCCAAATTGAACCAAACTTCATTAAATAAATTTAAAGCTGACCTAATTTAGCCAAATTTGTTTAAGCTACTGGACTCTACACTCAACTGAAATTAATTAAACTGACTTACTGATTTGGTCATGTCACATTGAACATAGAATTTAGTCGAATTTAGAGTTTAAAATTTAGAAAATTCACAAGTAGTTAAATTGGCAACACAAAATTATTCAAAAACGATATTCGTATCGAAAATTTGAAAATAGGAATACTCAAATTGAGAATCTCGTTTTAAAGTCGGTTAAATATAAATGTGATTGCCCTTGCGAATGACGAATGTGGCATAAAAACAGATTTCTAAGATTACTAAAATCCAGTAGATCTCACGCTGATGTTTTAGGGAGGACGCTACTGCCCATACCCCGAAATTAGTCGCTTACCCACAGAATAGACCAACACTTGAGAGTACACTACACGGTCAATATTTCCTAGTATTGGCCTATTCTATGTCGGGACCGTTATACACAATATTATACGGCCGTATAACCCTACCAAATACAGATATAACCTGCTTGCGTACATTCTACATAAACTATCGACACAGTATATTATCTAGTAATGTAAAATTTGTTATTGACAAATAATTAACGTATCAAACATTTTTTATACACTAGTCTGCTATGAATTGAGAAAAATAGCAACTTATATAGAAACATACGTATGTTTCGTCCTAATTTTACTAATTATATTTACATAAGAAGAAATTAGACAACCATATGATTTATAGTTTTTATTTTATCATCCCTTCTATATAATTCCTTGTTCTTAGATATTAAACATCGAACGTTTTTATTTAATCACTCTCGATACTAAAACTATTTTAACATTTAAATATAGAATCTTTTTTTATTAAAAATAGAATATAGAGTGAGATTTTGAATTCATCAGTAATAAAGGAGCTCTTGTTTTCATGAGTTATGTCTAGAAATAACTTTAAGCACCCTTTTACAAAAAAATAACTATATTAGAAATATTACGTAGCCTCTACTACGTCCTTCGCGGAATGTAGCTAGCATGTGTACACGACAGGGTAGGTCAATTCGCTGCTACATAAGTATCAAGCGTCATTCATTATTAGTTACCTTAAGTAATGTTGTTTGAAATAGTATCTGAAAAACGTTTTCAGATGCAAATACCTATAACCCAAAGACGTAACACCTTTTCTATTGCAGAAACGCTAAAAAAAAAACTGTCAAATGCAGTGTCAACCAATTGTCAGAAACTACCAATGAAAAAAATGAAATTGCAAAGCAAAATATTTGCAATAACATTTTGTATTTCATAAATAAACTAGTAAATAAAAATGCGTTGGAGTGAAGCAGTCACTTTAGAATTTGTGAAAATTTACTTAAAACATGAATGTTTGTGGAATCCGATGCATCCAGGTTACAAACTAAAATACCAAAGAGATAAAGCTTACACCGATATTTCTACTGAATTTAAAGCAACTGCAGGTAAAATACTTTCGATTCCAGAGGTAAAAATTAAAATTAAAAACCTACGTACAACATATGTTCAACAAATACACAAAATACTACAGAAATCGAGTCCAAACTCAATTTATGAGCCGTCGTTAATCTGGTTTAATGAAATGGATCGATGTTTGAAAAACATAACAACAAACAGACAGTCTTCTTATAGCAATGTAAGTAATTGAAATAAGTTGTTTAAAATTAATTACGTTCGTCAATTATATTTTAAACATTTTTATAAAATTCTCATACTTAAATATTATAAATTATTTCCTATATTGTATATTTATATATGTATCAAATTTCAGTCTCAGGAGTCTGCTGAAGTAGATTCTTCTTGCCAAATATGGGTGGACCAAGAACTGCAAAATGGGATTACAGAGGAAGTAAATCCTGATCCTTTAATATCACAAACTGATGATGAGTATGATTCTACAAAAGCAGATGATTCTTCAAAAGGTGATGATACTGTTCTCAAAATAAAAAAAGAGAGAAACACACTAGCAAGCTACAAAAAAAATAAAAAGAAAAAATTTAAGCACAGAAGCCCAGTTCAAGATTATTCCACAGATTCAAATTCAGAATGTGTGGCTAGAGAGGATGAATTTGATATATATGGCAAATATATTGCAACACAATTGAGAAAAATGGATTTACAGAAGGCTCTGAGACTTCAGCTTGAAATACAGAATCTTGTGAGTGAGGCCAGAATTGCTGACATATCTAGTGATTAAAAACAAAAATAATTGTTAATTTATTATCTAAGTCAATATTTTTCTATTGTTTAAAACAAAATATTTTCAGTATTATATTTGTTGTTAATTATAATTGTAATTATGTAATACTAAAAGCCAAAGATTGTCTTCGAGATGAATGTAAATTTTGTAAACTACAAAATTAAAATGCAATACTATTTACCTGATGGCATTTTGAATCATGGTATCATACAAAATCTTATAAATAAATGGTGTCAATGAATAAAATGTAGTACATGAATTCATATTCTTTTAAATGTCTATCCAAGTTTAATTCAGTGGTAAAAACTTGGATTACAGTATGATATTATTGATCTATATTCTGAATTTTATTTAAATACATTAGCATAATTGATTAACAAATCAAAACACTTGGAAACATTCAGATTAAAAGAAATCAGTTTTGTAAATCTATTGTTTACAATAATACCTTCTTCTTGCTTCTTTGAATTTTATTTTTAAATGGGTTATAGCTATATTTATTGTATTTATATTATTATTCTATATAAGAGTCCCCAATAAGTACTGACACGGTATTGCTGGCGTCTCTATAGACGTTACCATTTATCATTATCCGTATTAAATGTATAACGTGTTTTAATATTATTTAAAAGTAATAAGTGAACAACGGTCGATGCTGCCTCTGCATGATAATTTAGGAACTAAAATTATTATTTTTATTTAGTTCTAATTTTCCCAATAGATTGTAAATAGCGCTGTTTGTCGAAGAGAAGATTAAGAAGCAATCGTGCTGCATAATATTTCTTTTACAATTAGCGATAGTTTGTGAACGGCGATTGTTGATTGAAATGAATAATCTAAAAAATTAATCAATTGATTTTAAAAATGTTCACTTATAGAGGAGCCACTTTATCAACGAGTAACATAGGCTATATATTATCTTGGAAAATACTTCCCCTGTTAAGCCACGTTCTAGTTATAAATAATTTACGAGATTATTTGTAATTTCATTCAGGAAATTATTTTTTTAACAGTTTATGGTTAATAAATTCACGTGTTACAGAAACTAAAATCTTGCAAATGTAAACGTACCCATGTCTATTTGATAATAAATTTATACTCTGTGTATTATAATATGATGCGAAGTGCTAGTGACAGATGACATTGTAGTATATTTTGACACTTTCAGTAAATAAAATAATTTTACTTGTTAGAACCAAATTTAAAGTCGTACATTATATTAATACATTATCCTAATAAATATTTAATTGAATTTTAGAAACTTTCTTATGATTTTAGTATACTGTCACCCTTATCATACTATAACGCGCTGGGTATAAGATTTTGTGCATCTACTAAGTACTATACTACTAAACGTTCTACCTACTTAGCTGGCTAGGGTACTTGCTTTGCTTACATAGTATTTAATAATTGTGATTTGTTTTGATTCTGTTCCATAATAATAATAATTTACTATAATTGAAGAGAACATAAACAATGAGGTGGAGCGAAAATGAGACTTACCACTTTGTTAAAATATATTTGAGTCATGAATATTTGTGGAATCCAGATCACCCGTGTTATAGGATGAAAAATAAAAGGCAGAAGGCGTACAAAGATATAAGTACAGAATTTAACGCTGTTACGGGTCTAGTTCTCCACGAAATTGAAGTTAAAATGAAAATAAAAAATCTAAGATCAACATACGTACAAGAATTGGCTAAAATAAAAAATAGATCCTGTCCCGATTCGGTGTACACGCCGGCAATGAAATGGTTTGCAGAATGGCATAAACATTTTAGTGTTATGGGAAGAAGTAAATACGACGTCGATATACCCGTTAATGTAAGTAATATATGTGTCCAAACATCCTAAGTATTGTATACTCGACCTATAGTCTCTACTACAATTGCTGGGTTTTATATTATCATAATTCTATAAAAAGCTATCATACTAATTCCAATCCCAGTGAACAGTTTTGGCTTTTTTTTACAACAATAGAATACTATGGTACTTAATAAAATTAAAATGTATGAAGGTATAACACCTTAATAAAGTAGAATGACAACACTTGAATACTCAGTGATGACTTTATGGTACTGTTCATATTTGTAGGTGACAATTACTACTTGTAATCAGGTAAACTATTATTATTAATTACTATTTCAAATTGCATAAAAAATTATAACCTAAAATTTCTTAAAATAGGATGAAGATGAAACTCCAGATGACACGTCACAAAAAATATGGGTGTCTACCGGGGAAGACAATGAAGAAGAAACCAGTATTGACCCATTTTCTGCACAGAACCATGATGATTATGTGATTTTGTTAAAATCGGAACCAAAGGATGAGTATCAAAAGCATCAGTCCGATTTATGTGATCTTAACAATAAAAAAAAGAGCCGCAGAAGTCCTAGTGAAGATAACTCTGATAGAACTTATAGAGGTAGTTTAGATTCTAATTTAGATTCACACATCAGAGAGGATGAATTTGATATTTATGGAAAATACATTGCCACACAATTGAGGAAGATGGATTTACAAAAAGCTTTGAAGGTCCAATTAGAAATACAAAATATTGTCAGTGAAGCAAGATTATCTTGTTTAGCCAGTGAGTGAACAACAATGCCAGTTCACTGTTTTATTATTCTTCAATAATAATTTTCATGGTGATTAATTTTGAAAAACTATTCTACATTTGGCTTAACCAAAGAGAATTTTATTTTTATTTTATAGCATTTTCCATTATATTTTGTCAGACTTAAAAAATCCTAATGTATTATGACATCACATCTGATGTCATGAAAATAATGGAAATAACACTTTTATTAATTTATTTAAAACATTTTTTAGTATTTATAAGCAATAAATATCAAAAACAATTTTATTGTCCTTCAATATTGTCACTATGGTCACATGATCATGATCATGTTAATATGATAAGTTCAAAAACGAATTTCATATTTCTACCTATATCTATCTATAGGTAAAATATAATGTCATTTAACATTTAAAAAATATGTGACACTTAGCTGTTTAAATGATAAAGTTGGTTAAAAAATAGACTTTTTAATATATTATATATACATTCAAATTTTACACAAAAATAAGTTTAAAAAAAGGCATTGCAAAGTGATGCCCTTTTATAGAGGTATATAATTGTACAAAAATTAAAAAAAAAATGAAGTATAAGATTTTAATATAAAAATTAAAGAAAAAATATTTTCACTCTATTTAAATATTAAAATTCTTATGATAAGTATAAAATGTGTCATTTGCATTGTATTTTATGTGATCTGTACATATTTTGCGATGGGAACCTTTTATCTCCAAAGAAATACAAGAATGTAATATAAGAATGAATTTGTTTCTAATGTTAACTAATAACTAGCTGATGCAGCAAACATTGAGCTCCAAGTGTAGATATCAGAATATAATTTGAATGTGATTGTAATATCACTAGACTGGGAGGAAAATTGCCAGTTATGAGGTCCACAGAGCCCCATTGCTTGCAATTTATCTTATTAGGTTAACCTTCCACAGGGTCCTCAAACCATTGTGATTTCTTTGACCCTACTTTATCTTAACCTATCATCATTTACTGATACTATGCTAGCATATACCAACAGCGCAGATAGAGTTACTGTTCCATCTATAATTTTTTAAAAATAGATCCATTGTGTGAAAGGTAACAATTTTACTTACAAACCTGTTGCGCGGGGGGGGGGGGGAGAAAAGGGATTGTTAGTAATGGAGACTTAGAATCCCATTGCTAACAATATATCCAACCAGGTCGACCTCCTCGCGGTTCCCCCTGGAAACTATCATGATTAATTCCTGATGAATTCATCATGATGGGCTAATTGACCTGTTTTCATCCTCATCGATCACCCTTCACTGGTGCCCCGCCAGCGTATCCCATTAGCGCAGGTGGGGTTACCACTCCATATTCATACAATAAAAAAAAAATTGTTGCGCAAGCTTCATTCATTGTCTATGATTTTGTTTAAATTGTAAGTTGCAAACTTATAATATGTGTTATAGCAATAAGTAGGAGTGTAAATAAATAGATATAAGTGCAATAAAACGATATACACAAGTTTGATTTTTTTTTTATTGCTGTTACAGCATTTGTTTATAATTCAAACAAACATCGCTTACATTTCACTATTGAAAATTCAGATCGCTTGTACCAATAGTTCCATCATCGTCGCTTCACATCTGATCAGGATATATGAACCATGAAAAAATATATCTCTGTACTGCGGACACTTCAGTTGTGTTATTATGAGAAATAAAATCTTATGACATCGATATCTAAAGCTAAAATTAAGTACTTCGTTTAGGTTCAAAATAAAGGAAGTGCGACTTAAGTCGTCGGGGGCAATTTGATGAAATATACATGTCATATATAAATATTTTCAACGGCCGGTTATACTGCCTTGATGTAAATGCGCCTAGAGTTGCCGCCACCAGAGTTCGCTTGAAACAAGTTCTTATTAATATAATAAAATTGTAACTGGACCATGATTGTACATGGGAGATATTAAAAAAATGTAAAAAAAAAAACTAATATGTTCATAAATTAGAATGAGATAGCGACATCGATACTCTTGTTCTGTCACATGCGAGCGCTAATCGGAACTAATCATTAGATAGAAATACGTACTTCTAGGTAGTAGGTATAAAATAAAAATTGTTGGCAACGGGTTTGCTATTTGCTAGCAATTTACTGAAATGACTGAGCGTTGCTATAATATCATTCTTTCACATGTAAAATTACTCGACTCTTGTAAGCGGCAGCTCTAGGATACATTTGAATCTCACTCTATTTTACAATTCACGGCGTACATTATTTTTTATTTTTAATTTAATATAATTCTGGCACAAAACAGACTAACTTAAAAAATAATACAACAACCATAAAGGTCGATTCATGTCTCGCAGCGTAGACTGTAACCGAGTATCGACCTAGTTAATAGTAAGACTAGAGTGGACGACACTATTCGCTGTCGCAATATCAAACCAATACAAATCGTTCTCGTTACCATTTTCCGATACAATAGTGTGCGTCGTTTCGTATTCGTATTCTAAGTCATTGTGTACCAAACGGAAATATGCCCACCGCACTTTATTATTAAACAATGAACTGTATTTGTATTGCTTTAAAATATAAAATTCAATGCAGCCATCGTTTCTTCGTGCGTTTGCCTCGAGGCTATTTCCGTTTGGTATATGTTCCGTTTGAGCATTATTATAAAAAAAAAAGTTCCATGTAATATTTTCTGTAAACATAAAGGAAACTTGTAAGAAGACGTCATATATTTTAAACGTAATGATGCATTACACTCAAGTTGAACCTTTATTAATTAATATGTATGTTTGACAATTACAATATTATAAATTCATTTATTGAAAAAGAACCAAATTTTAAACTTTATCAGTTAATTCTGGATACTCCATAAAAATAATATAAATCAGCGTCTTCATTAAATATATACTATTTAATCATGAACGTACTAACGTAATAGGTTTTTAAAATATTTTAGTTGGAAATAACAAATTAATTAACTGTAGTTCTTTTATAATAAATTTATAATATCGTAGCAACCAAATATGCATAAAAAAGTACGCAGTATCAAACTCATTTCACACATATAAGTCCAGTACATTAAAGGTACATTAAAAAAAAAAAAATTACCAAGTCATATCAAACCACATGAGTTGAGTCGCTAGTGTGAGCTTGGATTTAGGTGACGACTTTTAAAGTAGTCAATATACATATTGCGGTCGATTCTGAGGCGTCATATCTCCAAAGTTTAGAGTGCAAACCTATTTCAAATTTCAATTTGATATCACAGCGACATCTTTAAAATTGTTATAATTTTAGTTTATGATGATCGATAAAAAAGTATGGCATTATATATATGAATTTGATCATAGAAGACTTATTTTCTTTTACCACCCATTATTGTCTACTTATGTGTCACAAAATTTACGAAACAGGACACACTCAGCCTAATACAGGAATCAATGTTAAACTTTGTGCATTTACATACTTTGTTAATAAATACATTTTTAGTTTAAATTAAATCAAAATAATAAGGTTAGAGATAAATTCATAGAAATTGCATATCAGAATCGGCCCCATTGTATATTGAAAACGTAGCTGCGCAGAGAGGAAAAGATTGTTAGAAACAGTATTATTAATGGGTATTGTTAGCAGTATACCGTCAGGTCGATATTGCGCCAATGTATACCGGAAACATAGGTACTAGGGTTGGATAACATATAGCAATATCTATATATTGGGGGGAGAAGGGATTGTTAGTAATGGGGATTAGTAGCCCCATTACTAGCAATATACTGTCAGGTCGACCTCCTCGTGGTTCCCTCTGGAAACCATCGTGATTGGTTTATTATTAGATTCGACACGATGGGCTAACTGACCTACTTCATCGTCACCTATCCTCCGTCACTGGTGCCCCGCCTGTGTATACCGATAGCGCTGGCGGGGTTACCATTCCATTATCATCCATAAAAAACATCTATATTATGACCCAATTAGGAATATGTTAAATCTCTGTTATCCAATATTTAATGTCGAAATTAAAAATCCGATAGAAATTTATATATATATATATATATATTCTTTTTCCGCCATCAATGTCCAAAACAACCCAATATATAGATATTGGAGCGGTACCAACAACATATATGCCTAATAGGCACCATTCTATCTTCATCCTTAACCTAGCTGCGCCTCTAGCGGATGGTATCGGAAACTGAGAATTTCATACAGACATGAATGCGACCGTAACATATTGCATACAACTCACATTAGCCACTCAGTGCTCCCATCGTATTATATCTAACACACACGCTATTTTAATTTACATGTCCATGTTTAAATTAAACATAAATAAATGCAAAAGTGAAATTATTTTTAAACATTTTTAAAACATACAGGGTTAGTTGTAACGTGTCAACCAACTAGAGACACCAGTGTTCATGACATTAAAAAACTTTCCTCAAGGAATATGAACAATTTTGAACCATTCGTTTTAACTGTATCATCGTGTGATCTGAATATATATATATATATATATATATACAGATCACACATGTGGAGACGTAAAGAAGAGACCTTTGCCCAGCAGTGGGACACGATATAAGCTAGTGAAACGTTCCTTGAGGGAATTTAGTTAAGTTATATTAAATATTTTACTGAACTAGATGTCGTTTTGCGAAAGTCCATATCACTAGTTAGTTAATTAGAATTATTTTGTTTATTTCCGCTACTATTGCGTATGCGTGTGACTGCCAACACTCGAAGATTGACTACTATTATTATTTACTAGAAGTTCTATAACTTTCCAAATTAGCTATCAATCTCCGACCGCCATTCAGTCCACGCACATTTTGCGACATAAATTTAACCTGTAAACGAGGCATCTTCCGATAAATTAATAGATTGGTGCTCAGAATCTAGCGTCCAAATATGTACTTTAACTAGTTATATTAAACTATTGCTTGATTTGAGATTGGTATGACGTTTCATTTAACCCTGTATAATCAATTCAACATAAAATTCCAATAGAAATAATTTCAAAACCGTTAATATTATAGGCAATTTATAGGTTATTCCAACAAACAACATATTAACAACATGAACACATTAAAATACTAAAGTACTCCGTCGTGTATGATACCATACACAGACTGGAATTATGTCATGGAGGATTAATGGTGTAACAGTAAATATTTTGTATGTGTAAACAACTCGCTAGAAAAAGTAATTTTATGATTGTTTCTTCTAAATATACAAATATAAAATAATTTGTCTCTGCTTTTAATTATAATGCCTAGAAATTTTTTATTTATTGAACAATTTATTTTAAGGTGGGGACAGACTATGAGCATGTACATGTTATAGAAATTAAGTTGTGGACATTACATACATTTCTGAACTGTCATACAATGCGAATGCTCTTGGTGAATACCCACCTTAATACCAAATGACAACGAAGACAAACGTGAGTGAAATATTGTAATAAGTCAACATAATTAAGTTTCCGGGTAAGTTTTATAGTAAGTTTGAAACGTTTTAGCGGTAGACTTGACAGCAAAAAAAAATTCTACACATTAAGTGGTATTTCCAAATACAAAAATGATCACTGATCTCATTTCAAAATATGTATAGGCTATAATTTTTTTTTTTTTGGGAGGCCTCTTATGGGTACGTTCAGACGTCTGTAATGTGTAATGCGACTCCTGCGAGCATTACATGTAATGTTCGTGACGATGTTCGCGCTCGTCGATTACATACACAAGTCCAGACACAGCTTAACATACTGGTAGGTAAAGCCGACATAAATCATTACAAATTCGGTAAATATAAATAAAAATTATCGACAAATAAATTCCATTACTACGTTTCTTTAATTTTTAATGAAGATTAATTCGAAAATATGTACACATAAAAACACGACGTAGTATGTGTCAAATTACACTCTTCCCATACTAACCATTGTCAAATTTAGTACAACAAAATAACAATGTCATGGAATTAACAACTATTAAGCTGCGTCCACACAAACATTTCGTCGTATTACAACATCGTAACCAATCTACAAATCTTTGCAAAAAAAAAGTTATTTTGAACTACTATACTATATATACTATACTAATGCTACAATATATATATATATATATATATATATATATATATATATATATATATATATATATATATATATTGTAGCATTAGTATTTATTATATTAATAAGTAGCTCTTCTTTCATCAAATTATTGACATTGAAGTATTTGCCTAGTACACATATCACAAGCTTTGTTTAGTTATATTTAGCTGGATAACGTTTAGTTTATCGTGTGGTTAAATAGTGCTGTAGATAGTAAATATGTAAGTTCAATTATTTATCACAAATTCAATATTTTTTTTTATATATATTTATCACAAAATATTTAGTTACGATTAAATTATATAAAATAAACAACGCGTACTGTAATATCATAATGTAACTATTACATTTTATTGACGTTACAATGTTACGACACGGCGACGTGTACATGTATGGACGCACCTTTAAGTTGGTTGTCAATTTAGTAAGTTTCAACAACAATTAAGCTAGGCGTCCCACTGGCATTATTAGCAACATTGATATTGTACATTAAGCTCGCTTTGCGACTGGTCAAAATTAACTTGAATGCTTGACCTATGGCCGCCGCGAAAAAGTTACTATTATAATAAAATTGTAACAAGACGATGTCTGTACATTGCAAATATAGAAGAAAAATTGATATGAGAAGTCTCAGTGAGCTCCGACGTCTGTCGACGTTTTCCCAAGAGACTACAGCATGGCGTTCTTCAAAAGGGCGGTGAAGAGAGTCGGCAACGCGCGCGTAATACCCCTGGCTACCATGACCGCTTACCATCAGGTGGGTCGTATGCTTGCTCGCCACCTCAGTGGTATAAAAAAAAAATCTTAATAAGATCAGCAGATGCCAAAACAAAATTTTTCTGTCTGTATATTTGTTTGGGCGTTACACAAAAATTACTGCACCAAATTGGATTCGGTTTTCACTATTGTGTTCCTGAAAGTCTAACTTAAAAATTGATGTATGTTTTATCTTGATCCATCAACTAGAACCGATCTATTTCTTTGGTTTTCATATTCTGAAATGGACGCGTACAAAGTACGAGATAAAAGGCTAATTTATAAATATATATTAATATAATAATGTAGTAAATTTAATAAAATTTAATTTTATTTGTATGATAAAGCAGTAAGAATTTGTAGAAGCGTTAATATCCTATTAGTTTCAATTATTGCATACGAATTTTACTTCACAGTCTATAAAATAACCGTATGTTGAAATACCATAAATAAAACAATAAGGTATTTACAAAATATTTCCGATAATCTCAGTATTTGTGGCTCCATCTATACGTAACAAGGAGTGAATTTGAACTCATCTCGGGCAACGTTAATGTGGGGGGCAGAGACTACTAAATTATTAATGAACAGTTTTGCTTAACTCAGTACCAAATGTTTCTTTATTTCAAGTAAACAGTTACATAGACAATAGATATTCTTAGTGCCGCGAAACTGCTTTGCAGTTTGTCACAAAACACATTAAATGTTTTGTCTTCAAAACATTCTATGTTATTACATGAACCAAGTATATATTATTTATTTATTTATTTAACTCTTTATTGCACAAAAAAAAACATAAAAATAAACAATGCCATATAAACAATTCAACTGAAATACTAAAACCAAGTATGTATTTGTATTGCTATCTCAAAAATACCATTTTAAAGTCTGTATTGTTCAAATTATATACTTTTTTGTATTAATTTGAAATTACGTACATATATCAATGTTGATATTATTACGTACGCGAGCCGCACGTGGCCCGGTGTGACGTCACGTTAAATATACCGATAAATTTCGACTAAAAACGTCAATAAAACTACAATTACTTAAGGAAGAAGACTCGTATCAGATCTTATTTTGTACAATTTATCACATAAATTTAAAAGAACACTCACAGGACTGTAGTAGCGATTCGTTACCCTCCATAGACAAGAATTAGGTTTTTTTTTTTTCTAGAATTCAACTCCTAATGCTGGTATAAGTGTTCGTATCAAAAGCTTATCGAAGTGTGGCAACATTGGAGGTAACTGTCAATTTTTAAAAACAATAAATAGGTTATTTGGATAAATACAAAAATATAGATGATATAGATAGCGCTTCATTAGGAGTTTATTAAAAAAAAAAAAAAAAAAAACAAAGAAACATATTAATCCATATATGAATGAGTAATTTCAACATTTGAAGAACTCTGATATATACAAAAACGAAAATAAAAACTTAATACCAGAAATTAAATGAAGACAATAGCTGTATAGGCTTAGACCTTGTACTTTCCCTATTGATAGGGAAAACAGAACCGAAAAAAAGTGATCTGACAGCGAACTAAAATGTTAATTGTAAAATAAGATTCTTATTAAACTCAGACTGAAAATAGAATTTTGATGGCTAAAGTTAATAGTATTTGAAAATTAACTGGTAATTCCGACGTCGTACACTTCGGTAAGCTTTCGTGCAAACGCCATTAAACAATGTTTGTATTGGAAATAAAATGTGTAAGTACCTATATAAACAGTTTCGAATACGTGTCACCTGCGAGTATTGAAAAACATGATGATTCAACACGTGAGAATTTGTTGGGGTGTTCATGTTTTCCCTACACTTGTATTACAAATATTTGTAGACACGTTCTAATCAATTGTTCACACCATTGTCCTTCTATACAAATCCGACTAGCTCTTTAATAAGGACCAGGTAGCTTATCATTGCAATTATTTTATATATGAAAAAATAAATGCTCTTTGTACGTAGACAGTTAAAAAACTATCATATATCTATGCAGGCAGTATCCCACCGACGTTTGTATGGACAATCCCACGTAGGAGCGCAGCAAGCGTAATCACAAAACCACATTAAAAAATAATAAATTAATTAAGAAAAAAAAAACGGGGAACACTGTCAGTTTGCGTTTTTAGAAAATAAATGAGATCAGAAAAACGCCCTTACGAGGACACTGTGTGTGGGGCGCGGGTGTCGTCCGGCGTCCGGCGTCCGGTATCCGCGGTCCGGATCCCGTCGTCCGTAGTCCGGTGTCCGGTTCATGCGTCGGAGCAGAGCTGCTTGGGCGTGTAGACAGAGGCGTTGGGGTCGAGCGGCGTGTCGAGCCGTAGCTTCGACACCGCGCCGCCCATCGACACATACTCTGTCGGCATCACGGCCAGCATTTGAGCTTTGAGTTCCTCGATTTCTTTCTCTTGTCTCGATATTGTGCCTGGAATAACGTACATATTGTCATGTGTGTTTGTCCAATGATTGGACACAAACCAAATGTTTGTATCAACTCAAAGATCAATGGATATAACTACACAGTAGGTACGGTTAATATTGGTACTGCTAATATTGGATTCTTTTGGATATTGATGGCGGGAAAAAGGTCACCCATTTTGATATCGGGGGTACCGGTCTATATTAATTTCGAACGGGTTCTTTATTTCGGCATTAAATATTGGATAATAAAGATTTAACATATTCCTTATTAGGCCAATATATAGGTATAGTACATTACTGCAGCGACCAGCAACTGAGATATTGATCGGACGATCTCGATGACTCGATCAAAGGACGATCTCGGACGACTTCAAGCAGTTTCACCGCGGCTTCGGCAATAGGTGGACGAAGAACACCGAGGGGTTTTAGCCGGTAAGAGTCCGGCAGTACCCAGATATCTCCTCCGAGGTATGTGGGTCTACATGAAGCATTTCCCCTCGACAAAAAAAAAAAAAGGGTTGGCGCGTACTTACCTTCCTGTATGAGCATGTGCCGCTTGGCGTCGCCGAGCGCGGACAGCAGGTCGAGCTTGACGCGCGTCTCGGCCGACAGCGCGCGCTCCAGCTGCCGCGCGCGCTGTCTATGGATATTGGCGCGTACTTACCTTCCTGTATGAGCTGTGCCGCTTGGCGTGAGCATCGAGCTTGACGCGCGTCTCGGCCGACAGCGCGCTTGCCGCGCGCGGCTATGGATATTCGCCGAGCGCGTCGAGCGCGGACAGCAGGTCGAGCTTGACGCGCGTCTCGGCCGACAGCGCGCGCTCCAGCTGCCGCGCGCGCTGTCTATGGATATTGGCGCGTACTTACCTTCCTGTATGAGCATGTGCCGCTTGGCGTCGCCGAGCGCGGACAGCAGGTCGAGCTTGACGCGCGTCTCGGCCGACAGCGCGCGCTCCAGCTGCCGCGCGCGCTGTCTATGGATATTGGCGCGTACTTACCTTCCTGTATGAGCATGTGCCGCTTGGCGTCGCCGAGCGCGGACAGCAGGTCGAGCTTGACGCGCGTCTCGGCCGACAGCGCGCGCTCCAGCTGCCGCGCGCGCTGTCTATGGATATTGGCGCGTACTTACCTTCCTGTATGAGCATGTGCCGCTTGGCGTCGCCGAGCGCGGACTTGACGCGCGTCTCGGCCGACAGCGCGCGCAGCTGCCGCGCGCGGTCTATGGATATTGGCGCGCTTGACGCGCGTCGCCGAGCGCGGACAGCAGGTCGAGCTTGACGCGCGTCTCGGCCGACAGCGCGCGCTCCAGCTGCCGCGCGCGCTGTCTATGGATATTGGCGCGTACTTACCTTCCTGTATGAGCATGTGCCGCTTGGCGTCGCCGAGCGCGGACAGCAGGTCGAGCTTGACGCGCGTCTCGGCCGACAGCGCGCGCTCCAGCTGCCGCGCGCGCTGTCTATGGATATTGGCGCGTACTTACCTTCCTGTATGAGCATGTGCCGCTTGGCGTCGCCGAGCGCGGACAGCAGGTCGAGCTTGACGCGCGTCTCGGCCGACAGCGCGCGCTCCAGCTGCCGCGCGCGCTGTCTATGGATATTGGCGCGTACTTACCTTCCTGTATGAGCATGTGCCGCTTGGCGTCGCCGAGCGCGGACAGCAGGTCGAGCTTGACGCGCGCGTCTCGGCCGACAGCGCGCGCTCCAGCTCGGTCGACAGCGCCGCGCGCGCTGTCTATGGATATTGGCGCGTACTTACCTTCCTGTATGAGCATGTGCCGCTTGGCGTCGCCGAGCGCGGACAGCAGGTCGAGCTTGACGCGCGTCTCGGCCGACAGCGCGCGCTCCAGCTGCCGCGCGCGCTGTCTATGGATATTGGCGCGTACTTACCTTCCTGTATGAGCATGTGCCGCTTGGCGTCGCCGAGCGCGGACAGCAGGTCGAGCTTGACGCGCGTCTCGGCCGACAGCGCGCGCTCCAGCTGCCGCGCGCGCTGTCTATGGATATTGGCGCGTACTTACCTTCCTGTATGAGCATGTGCCGCTTGGCGTCGCCGAGCGCGGACAGCAGGTCGAGCTTGACGCGCGTCTCGGCCGACAGCGCGCGCTCCAGCCGCCGCGCGCTGTCTATGGATATTGGCGCGTACTTACCTTCCTGTATGAGCATGTGCCGCTTGGCGTCGCCGAGCGCGGACAGCTTGACGCGCGTCGGCCGACAGCGCGCGCTCCAGCTGCCGCGCGCGAGCTATGGATATTGGCGCGACGCGCGTGGCGTCGCCGAGCCGACAGCTTGCGCGCGCTCGACAGCTGCCGCGCGCGCTGTCTATGGATATTGGCGCGTACTTACCTTCCTGTATGAGCATGTGCCGCTTGGCGTCGCCGAGCGCGGACAGCAGGTCGAGCTTGACGCGCGTCTCGGCCGACAGCGCGCGCTCCAGCTGCCGCGCGCGCTGTCTATGGATATTGGCGCGTACTTACCTTCCTGTATGAGCATGTGCCGCTTGGCGTCGCCGAGCGCGGACAGCAGGTCGAGCTTGACGCGCGTCTCGGCCGACAGCGCGCGCTCCAGCTGCCGCGCGCGCTGTCTATGGATATTGGCGCGTACTTACCTTCCTGTATGAGCATGTGCCGCTTGGCGTCGCCGAGCGCGGACAGCAGGTCGAGCTTGACGCGCGTCTCGGCCGACAGCGCGCGCTCCAGCTGCCGCGCGCGCTGTCTATGGATATTGGCGCGTACTTACCTTCCTGTATGAGCATGTGCCGCTTGGCGTCGCCGAGCGCGGACAGCAGGTCGAGCTTGACGCGCGTCTCGGCCGACAGCGCGCGCTCCAGCTGCCGCGCGCGCTGTCTATGGATATTGGCGCGTACTTACCTTCCTGTATGAGCATGTGCCGCTTGGCGTCGCCGAGCGCGGACAGCAGGTCGAGCTTGACGCGCGTCTCGGCCGACAGCGCGCGCTCCAGCTGCCGCGCGCGCTGTCTATGGATATTGGCGCGTACTTACCTTCCTGTATGAGCATGTGCCGCTTGGCGTCGCCGAGCGCGGACAGCAGGTCGAGCTTGACGCGCGTCTCGGCCGACAGCGCGCGCTCCAGCTGCCGCGCGCGCTGTCTATGGATATTGGCGCGTACTTACCTTCCTGTATGAGCATGTGCCGCTTGGCGTCGCCGAGCGCGGACAGCAGGTCGAGCTTGACGCGCGTCTCGGCCGACAGCGCGCGCTCCAGCTGCCGCGCGCGCTCCGCCGCCGCCTCCAGCGCGCGCGCCTGCGCACAAGCACGCAATCTCAACTCACCAATACTCTTGTTGATATTGTAAATGTAAAAGTGAGTTATGTTTGTTTGTTATATCTTAGAAATTTAACGGCTTATTTAATCATGGTGATATTCGGTATACATGGACTATATGAGATGAAGAAAGACACAGGCTCTTTATCTCAGTCAGTGTACATTATATTTTGATCATTCGAACGAAGTCAAGAATAATAGCCAGTTGTAATTTAGTAAATGTGGTATAGATGCAGAGGGAAATCTGGTTGTATTTAATGACAGATTAATTTTGGTTAAATTTTATTAATTTAATTAATATTTTAAACTGGATCTTCACTACAGTGTGAATGTCATTCCATTCTCAGACTAATAAAATATGATTACATAAGTAACAATGCATGTATTTACACAACAATTCAGTCTCATTCTGATCAAATTTGTACTGTGTGTAAATAAGCATATTGAATGCAAAACATGCTATAATGTAGATTTGACTTTAAATTAAACAACTCATTTTTCTAAATTTAAATATTTGTAATATGGAATTTATTCAACAAATAAAATCAAGTTACTAAAATAGCATAGTATATATAATCTGTGCCGTATAGTCCCGGCATAAAATAGGCTCGTCTCTTACAACACTCACAGGAAAGGAATGGGTATTCTTTTCCTGTGAGTGTTGTAAGAGATGAACTCAATGATCGAGGGATAAACAACAGCATTCTTTTTAAAACATTACCAAAGGCTAGCTGCGGTTGCCAAGCGTGACCTACTGGCGACACCTCCCTTGTGAAGGAGGCGTATTTTGAGTAGTTGTGAGTGGCGGGGTGGTTTATTTTTTATACAACTTAGAATGACCGTCGCGTATAGACATGAGCAGTAGCACGGACATAACAGAGTGTACTGTTTCGCCCATGACACCCCCAGGCGTTGCCACTCGTGAGGGCTGAGGCCGCTACCTGGTCGGTGTTGCGCGCGAGGTCGCGCTGCGCGAGCGCGAGCTGGTCGCGCGCGCGCTGCACGTCGCGCCGCAGCGCCGCGCCCTCCGCCTCCAGCGCCGCGCGCCGCGCCGCGCACCGCGCCGCCTCGCACTCGCCTGCGCCTGCGCCTGCGCCTGCGCCTGCGCCTGCACCGGCACCCGCACCACCACCTGCCATCCGCGCCCGCGCCGCCGGCTGCTCGCCCGCCGCGCTCGTCCGCCTCGACGACACCCTGCGCACGCGTACACTGTATATGATCCTTCGAGCCGGATAACACTATCTTCATATTCATATAAATATAATATATTTATTTATTTATTCATTAGTACAAATATGTGCACATGGCGGACTTAATGCTAAAAGCATTCTCTCCCACTCAACCATAGGGAAGCGTCAGAATACACGAATGCGGTACTACTAATAATATATATTATTATTTTTTTAATTTCTTCAATTTATCTCAATACTAATTCTTAATACTTGCATGTTATATTATAAATTTGTATGTGTAAACTTCTGTTGTATGGTGAATAAATAAAATAAAATAAATTAGTTAGTTTGATGGCTATGAAGAATTAATGCTCGCTCGTCAATTATTTCTACAAACGATCTGCTCGAATTTTATAGCCGATTGCAAAAAAAAAACTATAATAAAAGAAAAAAATATTAACCAAAGTTATCACCTCTAATCTGATAAATTACGAGCAATATGAAGTAATAAATATATAAATAAAAATAATCTATACTGTGTTGACGACCATCATCTAAAATGTAACAAATATTATATATAAAAATAACGTATTACAATGATCATTCGCACACAGTAAAATCTATTAATCAAATTTTATATTATTAACTTCGATTTCAAATAGTAAATATTTTTTAACTTGACAAAAATAAAATGGATGAAATGGGATAGTAGACAACGTTTTTCTAATCAGCTAACATTAAATAAAATAAACTAAAAAGCGTCTACATTATTATGATCCTTCAAATCGGATACATATTACATTTTCTCATAAAAAAACATTAAATACATTACAAAGTAAAAAATGAGTACTGAGCACTGACTTGTGCTGTAGCGCAGCATGCGCCTGGCGCAGCTGCGCGAGGTCGGCGCGGCGCTGGCGGTCGGCGGCGGCGGCGGCGGCCAGCGCGCGCCGCGCCTCCGCCTCGCTGCGCAGCGCCGTCGCCAGCTCCGCGCGGACCCGTTTCAGTTCTTCCGAACACTCGCGCGCTTCCCGCTCGCGCTGTGCAACATCACAACAATATAACTAGTGCACTATTCGACCGATCATTGGGTGCCGGAGGATCCACATAGAAAAACCAAATTGCATATATATAATTCAGTAGTCACAATACGCGGAACATCGACTATTTCGTCGATGAACCACTCGTGCCATATCACCAATCTCGAACAGCCGAACATAGCAGCTACATTCAATGTATCTTTGATCTTATGACTACATACAACGCGAGTTATCAATACAGACCATTGTCCACCGCGTCACATAAAATGCAATGCGATATTGTCCGTCTTCCGTTTAATGTCTGTTAAATGTCTACTGCTGAACACAAGCCTTCCTCATAAGGGGTCTTTTGCCAGTACTTGCCACGCTTGGCAATCTGGTTGGCAAGCACAGTTAAGCTTTTACAGATGTATTAAAAAAGACGCTGATGCCCATCCCTCCACCATAAGCTCCCTTTGTCGCCTCTTACGATACCCACGGGAAAAAAACGTGTGGTCCATTCTATGCCGGGACCTTCACTTAGATCTACATACTATGAAACACACATCGAGCGAGAATATTTTGCGGCGTCAACGTAATGACCGTTCTACGTACCGACAGTAGCAAATTATATGCAATTTGATATATTGGAGATCCGTCACAATGATTGTATCAATATGGAGCCTATATCTTTAGTCAGTATTCCCAACTTACCAACTCGCGTTCTCTTTCCCTTTCTCGCTCCCTTGTTTCTCGTTCTCTTTCTCTATCCCTTTCTCTTTCTTTCTCTTTATAACTATTACACTCTTTATTTTTTACACTTTCTTTTGTACTTTCTACTTCTTTAACTATTTGTTCTTTTGCTGAAATAGAATTTTAATATATTAATCAACAAGAACAATAATTAATTGTTTTATTCTACTATATAATTAATTAATACAACTCACTTTGTTCTGTACTCTTATGACTATCGCTACTTTCCTTATCTTTATCCTTATCTTTATTTTTACTTCTTCTTCTCTCTTCTTTTAATGTACTAGCCTCTTTTTTATCACACTTTGAAGATTTGGCACCACCTAGAAATTAAATTCTATATAAAAAATAAGTTGAGTTATATTTAAATACAATATAAATAAAAAATTTAATGTTGAGTAACAACTAGATCATAGAATTTACTAAGAAACCTATTTTAAAAGTGAAATTTGAGTACATGTTTAGAACATGCAGGTTAAAAAGTAAGAAGCAGGAAAATAAAAATTACAGGCTGATTCTAGAAGTAGAGGAGAAAGGAAGTTAAGGAGTTAGAGAGAAAAGGTGAGAGGAGTTAAGGTAGAAAGGAGGTACATGTTAAAGAGAAAAGATGGTAGAAATTATAGTGAAAGGTAAATAGTAGTTAGGGAGAAAGAATGGTAGAAGTTAGGGAGATAGAAGTGGCAGCAACTAACCGCGAGCGGGCTCGTGCCGCTCGTCGTCGGCGGCGGCTTGCGTGCCGCTGTGTGCGTGCGTGTTCGTGTGTGCGTGATTGTGCGTGTTCGCACTACACTTGTCTCGCGCCGACTGCTTTTCTACCTGCAGATATGATTACAAACAATATTTACTATTACAGTATTGATTTTAGTCAATATATTTTTGTATTTTTTTTTTATACAACTTAGAATGGCAAACAAGCCGACGGCCCACCTGATGGAAAGTGGTAACCGTCGCCTATAGACATGAGCAGTACCATGGACATAACAGGGTATACTGTTTCGCCCATGATACCCCCCATGCGTTGCCATTCCTGAGGACTCAGGTGTTATTCCTCTGTACCCTGTAAATTCACGCAAAAATAATAATCAATTTATTACAACAAATTAATAGTAAGTCCAGAGTGTAATGGCGTATTTATGATTATTTCCCGTGAGTCGCATGGCACTTTATGGAATCTTCGACATATCGTTGTTAATGAATGGAACAATTCTGGGTTGGGTATGGAAAATATGCGTATAGTGTAAGCAACTTATTCGTACCAGTCGTCCAATGGACACATTTAAACAGTCTAGACAAGACAAGCCCAAATTAAGGAATCCAAATCTTTGATTCACATATGACATTTTTGAACATAAGTGATTACTCAATATTTTTTTACCCTACCATTCGATGGTAGAGATTACTAGCAATACATCCTATCACGTCGGGGGGGGGGGGGGGGGGATTATTAGCAATGTAGACTACCAGTTCCATTGTTAGCAATATACTGTCAAGTTGATCTCCTCGTGGTCTTCTCTGGAAACCATCATGCTGAATTGCAGGTGTATTCATCACGATGGGCTAACTAACCTGTCTTTTCATTCTCATCTATCATCCCTCACTGGTGCTCCGCCAGCATATACTGTCAACCTTGTCATCTATCATTGGTGCCCAACTAGTTCATACCGACAGACAGGTTTTTTTAATAAATTGTTGTACTGTCTGGTTGGGTTTTTTTTAATGCTCGAAAATGGAATCGTAACCTGCCTGCGCCGTCGGTATACACCGGGGGGGCACCAGTGAGGGCTGCTAAGTGAAAATGAAAGAGCAGGTCAGTTAGCCCATCGTGATAAATACAGCACGATGGTTTCCAGGGGGACCATGTGAAGGTCGATCTGTCAGGGTATATTGTTAGCAATGGGACTGGTAGTCCACATTACTTACAACCCCCCCTCCCTATCTGTTTGGGTTATGCCAATCGTGTTGGAGCACTGATAGTTTTTTTTTTTTTAACGGATGATAATGGAATAGTAAACCCGCCTGCGCTAACGGTATATACTAGCAGGGCATCAGCGAGAGACGATAGGTGAGGATGAAAAGATAAGTCAGTTAGCTCATCGTGATAAATACACTTGGAATTCAGCACGATGGTTCAGCAGGGGGGAGCACGTGGAGGTTGAGTTGGTTGGGTATATTGGTCCATTATTAACAATCCCTCTCCCCCCCCCCCCTCCCCCCAGCAGTGAGAGTGCGCGGCGGCGACCTTAGCATGTTCCGGCGGGCAGTGTCCGTTGTGGTCGAGGCGCAGGCAGCGGCGGCGCGCGGCCGGGCCCGGGCTCTCCTGCTCGCAGCCGCCGCGCTCCGCCTCCTTCGGCTGCTGCTGGCTCTGCGGCCACCACACAAAACATTTCATTCACACTGTTGCGGTAACGTTGCAACTATTTATGAATTTTAAACGAGAAATACAAAAATCACACTTTTGAATTGAAATTTATTGTTATGTTAGAAAACTGCAAAATTCTAAGGAAATATATATATATATATATATATATATATATATATATATATATATATATATATTACAAACTTTAAAATTTGCTTAGATCATTATCAATAAAATCTACAAATATTGGTAGCAGAGCGTGAATACGACGTCGTATACACATAAAATATTCTATGTGTTAAGTTAGGATATAATCTACCCATATATCAACTTTCGTTTAAATCCGTTCAGTATTTTTTTTTTTCATTCATTCATCCATCCATTTATAAGAATCGGCGAGACGAGAATGCTTTTTTTATAATGGGTGATAATGAAATAGTAACCCCGCCTGCACTAACGGTATACGCTGACGGGGCACCAGTGAGAGAAGATAGATGAGGACGAAAGCAGGTCAGTTATTCCATCGTGAAGAATTCCACGAGAAGTAACCACGACGGTTTCCAGGGGGAACCTGTTTAGTAACAATCCCTTTCCCTGGGCGCACCTGGTCGAGCGCGGACTCGGGCAGCGCGTCGCGCATGAGCTGGAAGTAGAAGTCGTTCTCCTTGCGCACGTGGCGCTGGCGCCGCAGCCGCAGACGGTGGCCCACGTACGACTTGAGGCCGAAGCCCAGCGTGACGGCCGGGTAGCCGACGCAGTGCGCCGCCAGCGGCCGCCACGCCTCCAGCCCGGCCTCCGCGCCCGCGCGCGCGCGCAGCGCCGTCTCCACGTACACCACCAGGCAGCACATCGCCACCGTCGGCAGGCACACGCCCTTGTCTGCGACTGCAAACAGATCATATGTTTTTAATTGGATGATAATGGAATGGTAACCCCGCCCGCGCTATCGGTATACGCTGACGGGGCACCAGTGAGTGATTATAGGTAACGATGAAAGCAGGTCTGTCAGCCCATCGTGACGAATTCCACTAGAATTAACCACGATGGTTTCCAGGGGGAACCACGTGGAGGTCGACCTGATAGGATGTATTGTTGGCAATGGGTAACAATCCCTTTCCCCCCAACACCGATCATATTGTCTTCTCATTACACATTCCACGTTGTAGTGGAAGCAATTTATACGCAAGCAATTTCATTAAACCAAAGATTTCGAAATAGAATAGATGGAATGCATAATTCACATAGTGTGTTGCTTGTTGTATTTATGCCATTGCCAATGCGTTAGAGAGGGATAGACATAAAAACGCATCTACATTTTGACAAGTCTGTAGTAATCAAATTCATCAAGATATGTCGCTTGGTTTTATTGGCCGTATAACCCTACCAAATTCAAATACAACCAGCTTGCATACTTTCTACATAAACTGTGTCGAATATATAATTTAGTAATCTAGTAATATAAAATTTATTATTGACAAATTAATATGAACAAAAATTTTACATAAACTTTTTTTATTCATTAGCCTGCTATGAATTGAGAAAAATAGCAACTGATGGTGTATCTTTTGTCCTATTTTTAATAATTATATTTGCATAAGAAGATAGAAGACAACTATATGATTTGCAGTTTTTATCATTCCTTCTATGTAATTCCTTGTTCTTAGGATTAAAACTGATTTATTCATTAAAAGTATAAATAGAACAGATTGTTACTGGCCAGTACTTATAATATTATTAGTGGCCAGTACGTGAACATAATATATTACACACGTTTTGAGCACTCATCACATGTACACGTTCATCACCATAGAGAAGCGACAGTGAATGATTACTCGATACATTTCGTATGATACTATCTACACTAGTCAGTGAATGATTAGACATTTTAACCACAGACATTTAGATTAGATTACAATTGCATTAGAACCTTTAACGAGTTCATTATGACCACACTAAAATGTATGGAATACCATCTCTCGTCAGACTAATGGCGAGACAAATTAAAATTTGTCTGCCAACAAAATATCCATGACCTGCGCAAGCTACTAGTGACTTTCTACCGGAGAATACTTTCACCACCGATATTTATAATTGATAAAACTGTTTTATTTCTTACAGTTAATAAATCCTGGACAACAGAATATGGCCTTTACAACATGTCTACTTCATCATAGTCTACTAAAGGCCGTAAAGACAAAATCTGTTCCCTTCCAAGAGTGAAATTTTCCTTTATAAAATGATTCTTTTACTATTTGAGTCACTTTCTCTATAACAAAATAAATTCACGCTTCAACTCCTGTATACGATTTATTAAATTTTGGATGGAAAAACAGGGTTCGTATGTTCCTTCTGAATAAGATATATTAGGAAACTTGTCAAAAAATATATTAATATTTTTTGCTAATTAATTTTAAATAATTATGTATGTTATATACATTAACTTATTGTAGTTACTATATTTAAATATAAATTTCCCCATAATACTCAGGGGGGCTGAGACTGTGCCCCTTAGCATATTAAAGCCTATTAAATCACATCTTAACCTATTTAAAATTATAATCTTAATACTAGTACTGTGTAACTTATTTAAACTACAGTTATATTTTTTTACAAAAATAAATTTCTTTTCATTTTCATTATCATCTTTCTCACCCTTATTCCAATTATATTAATTTTGGTATCGGCGTAATATGTATCTATCCATATTACCTTTGGTTTTGGCCTTAAGCTTTACGATCGTACTACGATCTGTTTACATAAAGTAAAAATTATACTGTAGCTCATCAGTATGGAATAGCACTAATAAGATGAATTAAAAGGTAACAGTACTGATTATCACTTATCAGCCACTGGCCAATGTGTATGAGCTTTAATACTCACATGTGTACCAGACGTACTGTACCCATACATAGGTACTGGCTGCGAAGAATATATACTGCAGTGGTATGAAGAAGAAACATATCATGTCGGACGTGAGCGCTATGCATATGAAAAACACTGAGAATGCCTGAAACATAAGAAAAAAAAAAGACTATTTAAAAAGAATTTTACATCAAGCAAAATCGTGTTGATTATGACTATTTTGCTGCACCATTGTTTGTTTGTGAACCTTCCAAATATTTACAATAACTTATGGAAATATTACTGAAAAATGTATCTTAAATTGTAATATAAAAAGTTTAGTTTCACAAATAACATCGCCTTGCTGAATTTTGTATTGTTATACCTAATACTTCCATAACACTTGATACTTGTAATCAATCCAAATGTTTAAATAAACAATAACAGACAAACAAAACTCATATTCAAAGACTAATTTCATAGGAAAATTATATTATGTGATTTACATTCCAATAATTTTTTTTATTTTTGTATTTATTGGAACCATAAAAAAAATTACAATTGTAAGGGTAGTGTACGATAACAGCCACATTAGTTAAAAATAACTGTGTCGTGGCTGTCAATGCGCACCTCCTCGAGGCAGAGGCGCTAGCGTTTCAGTAGAATAAATAAAACTGTTAATTAAACAAAGAAAAAGCATGTACCTACATGTAGCACATATATATGTGCCCAACATACATATAAACATTTAGACATTTAGTTTTACATTTTATTATTTTATTCCAATATTTATTTCTAAATTGTATATATAATAACCATATTTTCATGTATAACGTTAGTAAGGAAGCTTGCGTTAATTTGGAAGCTTGCGTTAATTTGTAAGCTTGCGTGATTTATTATCATATCAGCAATTAATTGTCCACTGCTGGGCCTGCCCCTTAGGTTTTGCCAGTAGTTGCTATGCTTGACAGGCAGGCTGGCAACCGCAGTTAGGGTTTGGTGATATTTTAAAAAGGGACACTGCTGGTGGCTCTTTCTATGCCAGAACCCCAGGGCGGCTGCAATGATATATGACAAAGGTTGTCTGGAAGAGATTGCTTAGCGATAAGGCCGCCTTTTGTATCACTTCTCATTAATATTTACTGTATTTGTTATTTCTCTTTTTACTTGGTGCAATAAAGTGTAAATAAATAAATAAATATGGACTTCCATAAAATACTATACTATATAGTTCATTAAAATAATCTGTGTGCAACTTACAAGACCCTGATATTTGAATGAGTCATATACTGATCTCAACATCATCCAAAATGGCCAGAGGAATTCGAATCTGAACTCTAGCATGTAGTCTGCCATCACTACAGTTGCCCACAGCATCACGAACTTCAGGTACAGCATGGAACTGAAAGATTTTCAATGTATGGTATGTGAACATAAAAATAAATATACAAGTAGAATAGACACTCTTGTTCAATTCAATAATCCCATTATGAGTTTTGGTCAGAGTATGCAAGCAACAGATGATGCAGTGTATGTGTCTCTCTTACTGTCGCTAGTGTGGCATGAGTCAAGTCTTATCTTAAAAGTATTTGTCAAATGATAATCCTCATATCATATTGCTAGCATAATAAAAATAGCTAGCAATATACCCTATTAGTGGTCGACCTCCATGTGGTCCCCCCCTGGAAATCATCGTGCTAAATTCTAGGTCAGTTGGCCCACCGTGATGAATAATCACAGTGTCCATGGGTTAGTACACTCACTTTAAAATTTTGGGTACTTCTTTGGATCCCCAAGCAAATAAAACAAAATAAATTAACCACTTTTTTTTGCCATCTGATGAAAAAAATGGTAGTTGTCATTTATAGACATGAATATTATTATGGACATAACACAGTATACTGTGTCACCTATAATACCCCTCATGCATTATCACTACTGAGAACTAAGGTGTTATGCCTCTGTAATATTATATTAATTGTTTCATTTACTATATGAGTGGGTCAACACCACCTATAACTATTTCCAAATTTAGTTTGATAACATTTATTGTTGTTGAGATAGCACTGTGACAAATGGTTAATAGATTGCTATAACAAAGCTGCACCATAAGGGTTCTTTCATACCTTTTTGGTATGGAATCCAAAAAATGAACTTGTCCATTTTTGTATGAATGAAGAACTCACCGTTCATATCTCTTTATACCAGGGGTGGCCAACCAGTCGATTGTGATCAACCGATCAATTGTGACTATTACTTCAGTTAATCTTGGCAAGGCAATAAATATAATAGTTTGCTAATCTAGTGAAAGATGCTCAGACGCAATACTCATGCTAAGAATAATTTCAGTTTTATAATAATAATAATAATTTTTATTTCGGACTTTTTTGGTCCATTAAATATTTATTAGTAACAATATTCTTAAAACTAATGTAAGTAAATTTACAATACTTATGTTTTTGCTCTTAATAAAATAAAAAATACTACAATAGTATATAATTGTATACTGAACTATGTTGTTTCATTTGAGATTTTAAGAAGTATATAATTGGCAGATGGCATAGGGTTTTATTAGTAAACAGTAGATCTTGAATCTAGTCAAGTCGGCTACCCCTGCTTTATACCATGAATACATTTGTATCATCAACAAATGCACAAAAAAGGTTTAAAAATACCGAAAACCAAAGACATTATTATCAGCTCATTACATGTGTGATGTTTTATCTGCTAGCCAGCCCTCTAAACAAATCTTTTGATAGAATCGCTATCACTAATGAATCCATAAAATAGAAGGAGATGGTGACATATGAGCACTGATCAAAATTATTCTGTCGATAGATTCATTTATACCTTGTCTAGGGGAGCAGGTCCCCTACAGGATACATAATAATTATTATTATATCAATTATTAAAACAAACTGTATCCTATAGTTTTGTTTATGTCAACCACAGTAAGTTTATAGTGTTAATATAATTATGATCTATTTGTACACCAAATTTCACTGAAATACATTCAGATATCTCTTTTTAATTAATATAAATTTTAATTATTTACTTGAAGTGTACTTTATTCCTTAAAACTAGTGTTAGTATTCATTTATGGGGATAAAAAAAAAAACTTTTTTTACTAGTAAAAAATATGTCCTACGTGTTTTATATCCTTTGGCTTTTTTCAAATAACATTAAATATACTTGTAGTAGTATATGTTATTAACATTCTGTAAACAATATAATCAGTGTTTGTGTTCATTTTAATAAAAATAGTATTTATTGCATCATTACTGTGAAACTCTGTAAGAATTATTTACTAATTAAATTAAATCAGTAAATACCTGTTAATAGAAATGTGCTTAGAATAGATTCAGTGGAAGAAGTGTAAAATATCACAGTTGCAACAACACAATAATAAATGCTGTGTAAAGTGAAAATTTAGACCGTGGGAAACCAACACATTGCCGATGCTAGAATTATCAGTAGTAGAGATGTGAGCGAAAACACGTTTGATATACATTTTTAACGGGTTTTTACATGGGAAAAAACTAAATAAATAATCGAAATTAAGAACAGATGGTTCACACTACCTACACACATTTTATATCACAATTATACCATCACAGATCTTCAGACCTCTATGGAACATATCTAAAAAGCCGAACCGAATTAATAATCTATAATTACAACATAACAAAAATCCGTAACCACTCACTTTCCATACATTCCTTCCGTGATTTTTGTGCGCTTCAAGGGGCGCCGCATCTTGCCACTCTCGGCATTTCGTCTCTTCATATTTTTTCCTCCACTGTGTAAATCTCGATTATTGGTTCTCTGTTCTGAATATTTAATTACAAAGATACATTTATAACAACAATTTTCCACGAAATAAATAGTGTCTTTTGTTGTCAATCAACCTATAGGAGATTTAGAGGGAGATGGATAAATTTACCAGCGTGCGTACTTTCCTATATTCACTTCGCTTACGAATTATTTTTTAATAGTTGTGATCCGGCTTTAGATACTCGGTATATTTTTCTTACGAATAATATAAGTATTACCAGTATACAAAAAAAAACCTTGCCCAAGCAAGTGTTACCTATACGAGTTTTCATATGTTATAATTCATTGCCTGTTGATTTGTACATATACCCTACTATTTAGTGTTATAATTGTTGTAGGTATGGGCACATTAAAAACCAGTGTAGATCAATTCCACATTGATATAAGTGTGGTCAGACTTCAGAGCCACTCTGGAGAATCCTGTTCTATCCACGAAGAAGACTTTTACTGTTGTTTATGCCAAGGTGCTCACTAGATTCTCCTAAATTGTCCTCTCTATGACCATTCTGTTCTTTTCAATTCCCTCCTTTCCCTCCGTATTGCCTTACTTACTTCAGATTCAGCATTATTGTTTCTTAATAATTTAGAAGAATGTAATTTGATTTCCTCTTTTATTCTTATCAATAATATTAAGCTGTGAATTCTCTTAGCTTATGTACTTTAAATATACATATGTATTTATAAGATTAAATATATAATAATATAATTTCTGTTTAGGTATCTGTCAGTTTCCTTAAATTGAATAATGGATAATTTATTCAACTTTTCTGATCCTTATCCTAAATTCTGTTATTCAAAACTCCCTTTACTGAAATGCTTTTTCCCAAAGAACCGTGTCCCGTATAGTATCGGTTCTGGGCCATGGCGAGTACCGACATAGCTTATATATTATTAGATAGTGCATCACCTATATTGATAGAATATATCGTTCTTATGAGCGTATTTGGTGAGGATACCTCGTTAGCAAAAACGATAACTGCGTTATATTTGGGTGGCAGGAACCCATTTCATTTGTGAAAATATCGCCTATAACTTATCTGTGAAATATTATAGGTTGACCATTATCACCGTCAAAATTTAAACTTTGAGCGGCCAAGTCTCTGGAAATATTAACATATTTAGTCGTTATGGCAAGGAGATTTAGTGATTTAGTAAGTTCTAATATCTGCATAAATGGGCTCGAGCCGTAAGCTGTTGCGCTCACATAGCAACTATTATTTGGTGATTTGGGTATACAAGACATCTGACACAGCCAATAAAACTTACATCAACAGAAATAGAAGACATATTTTTAAAACTTCAATAGTTCTGATGAAGTATCTTCACAGAGATAAATTTAAATTAAGTCATCAATGTTGGGTTACTTATAAACATACGCCCACTTTGAATAACAATGAAACTATTTTTTCGTGACTGTACTCGTAAACCCCTAACCATTAGTATACTATTCAAATACAAGTCGAGTATACTATACTATAGCCCAAATCGGGACACGGTTCTTTTGTTTTTGGCGAATTCACTTTATGCCGTGCCATATGAAGAAAAAAAAACATCTATTCTGGATCAGACCCGCGTAGAATATTTTATGGATTATTAATAATTTACACTTCAGTTTATTAGAATTTTTATTCATATTGGTCCTTAGATTTTGCAGTCATATCAAATTGAAATGTAATTTTAGAGATAGGTTTAGAGAAATAGCGCCTCAGAATCGATCCCATTCTCTTTTCTTTCTCTTGCATAGACTGCATTCGCCAAAGCCCTTTCTCTTTCTATGATTCTGTAAAATGACATTTTTGATTTATCGCCGCTAGCTGTCAGCTTAGGCCAAAGGCTTAGGCTTAGGCTGTCAGTCGTTTTCGTTTCATTTTTGTATTTTACAAAATGTTCAATGGATTTGAATCTTTTTTTTTTTCATTAGTGATTATTTCCAATAATTAAATAAGTATTGTTAATAACAAGTGAATTCCAAAATGAATAGTGCTTTAGTGGATTTAGTACGTAATTATTTATCGTCACATTCTATGTTTGTTGACGATGACTGGATAACTGGGTAAGTTTTTTTTATTTAAAACTAGTTTATACTAAAATAATATTTAAAAAAAAAAATATTAAAATAATTCTTAATGATACGTATTGGTTACAGGTGTGTGGAATTTTTGTCAGGCAATAATTACAGTGACCAGGAGATAAAAAACTCGGCAAGAGAGCAGTGGCTGCTTAATGATTTAAAGGACATTTGCCCCGGTTGTTTGCCGCCCAATTTGAAGGATATGAAAAAAATACAATTAGATGGAAGATATGCATTACAAATTAATGCTGTTATAGACATAGGTAAAATATATGACTGCAAGTCATAGAAGAAAAATGTAACGTTTTTGTTTTTATTTACAATTTAAATGGAGAATATTATTATACTATTACCACACTGGCCAGGTGGTTTTTTTTAGGGCTCCATATTCAAAAAGCTACCTTATTTGAGATGGTGCTGACCAGGTGGTTTTTTTAGGGCTCCATATTAAACTGGTACAAAGAAGCTTCTTTATTTGAGATGGTATAACTTTGTTTATCTGTCACAGTGCTACATCACAGCAACTATTAATGCATTTTGATTTTAAATTTAGAATAGTTATTGGTTCACTTGAAATAGCAATCCAATAGCAGTAGTTTCCAGAGGTAACCGTATGGAGGTCGACCTGGTTGGGTATATTGCTAGCAATGGGATTCTCAGTCTCCATTACTAACAATCCCTTTTCCCCCATCTTAAATATTGTATACACCAAATAAAATTAAATCTTAATGTAGGTACACCAGCATACCAACAATATTTGAAACTACAAAAAGTTAACATGGAAAATATAGAAGCAACTATAAATAATGATGAGAAAATACCTAGTCATAGGTATGTGTTACATTTTCCATAAACATCTATTAGATTTGCATGTTTTTTTTTTTATATTTCATCTCATTTTCCAACTTTCAGGATGTTAAAATTATATCTGACGGATGGTGTGCAAGATATATCAGCCATAGAGTATAATCCGATGAGAAATTTGAGTTGTGATATTACACCGGGTTGTAAAATCTATGTAAAGGGTAGGTGTACATATATTATACTATCAGGAATTGCAGTTTAATTTTTTTTATACAACTTAAAATGGCAAACAAGCTGACAGCCCACCTGATGTAAAGTGGTAACCGTAAAAAATATGAAGTTTTATCATTTCAGGCCCAGTGGAATGTCGCCGCGGTGTGTTGCTATTGACAGAAAAGAACATAGAACTCCTCGGCGGCGAGGTGGACAGCATGGCTATAACCAATTCAGTGGCAGGCGTCATCACGTCCAAATTGGGTCTGGTAAATGGTAAGCATGTATACAGTTTACATCACCACCCGGATGTATTAACTTTACAAAGGTCGCAACTTGAAATCTGGGAAACACTGAAAAAATGGGTGTCAATTTATAATTTCTACTAACTCTCCACTGATAGAACACACTGATAAATAACTAACTCGTCCCCTGGTGGATTATGTACGGAAAAATTTTCATTGTTAAAAAAAGTTTGGATAAAAACGCTAATAGTTCAGAGCCATTGTGGTGACACAGTGGCTCTAACCTATTAGCGGTTTTATCAGAAATTTTTCTTCTTCTATTCAGCATATTGCTAATCTGTTCCTTTTTAAACAATAGACCAATGTACTATTTGGGGTGTCTATTTTTTTTTATTCCAGTTATGTTAAGATCTTGATCCATTGATTCAGTTCCTTGAATACCATGTCTTTTCAGTAATAAACTTATTAATTTACTTACCAGAGGGAGACTTTGTACAAAAGTCGTTTGCTTGGGCACCTTTATCCCATTTGTGTTTCTACCGTGAAGCATTTGTTTGTATGGCTGTGTTTCAGTTTGAAGGGTGGGATATGGCAGTGAATTTACAGGGTACAGAGGAATAACACCTGAGTCCTCAGGAATAGCAATGTATGGGAAGTATCATGGGCGAAACAGTATACTCTGTTATGTCCATAGTACTGCTCATGTCTATAGGCGACGGTTACCACTTTTAATCAGGTGGGTCGTCAGTTTGTTTGCCATTCAAAGTTGCATAAAAAAATTATATATACTGTAGCACATAAGGTTTAGAATTAGACATGTTTTCTAAATACATTGTTTTATTGCAAACTAAAATAACGTTTCTTTTTATAAGTACTTATAAAATATTAGGTGACGGCGTGTGGACTGTATGTTAGGATTACATATATTCCTTTCTTTATTTACCTTTATCAACAATATACCATAAATAGTTACAACACATTCTGTATGTTTTAGATACTGGACACACTACACAGAGTACCATAAGGAGTAATGCCACAAAAGTGCCTAACACAGCGTCACCTGTCAATGCAGTTAGAAACGAATTCCATCAGTCAACGTTTGATGCAGCTTCTACAGAAACGAGAACCGCTCCCCAAACCAACTTTATTGAAGACGACTTCGAAACAGATATATTATTAGCTGAAGTAGACGCACAGGTTATAGAACATTCAGGGAAAAGGCCATTGAATGGAGAAAATACTAATCCGGAGAAGAAAATAAAAATTGATTCTATACCGAATAGAAATGATGATTTTCCCGATGACAATGATATATTTTTCGATGAAGATCTAGATTACCTGAGAGATATGGAGGAGGAATTAGATGCAAGGGATAATGAGATTCAAGAAGTTAGACATAAAGGTCCTATTACTGTGTGTGCAGACCCGTTTGTTTATATAAAGCAGATAAACGAATTGAATGTAACAGAAAGGGCCGGTAGAGTTTTTCGGGTAAAGGCGCAAATTATAAAATTGTTGTCGAAACTGTCCGTCGGTAAGGAAGGCTGGAGTTTACGTTGTACCATTGTAGATGGTACAGGTTCGTTAGATGTGGACTTTGCCAGTAACGTACTGTCAGAATTAGTCGGATTCACTCCCGAGGAAATGCAATCGATTAAAAAACAAATCGCCACTAATCCTGAAATGAAAGAGAAAGCAGTTTCTGTAAGTATTATATTAGTTCTTAGTATTTTAAGCATTATAGAATAGAATAGAATAAATATTTATTGTAAGCTGTACATTACAATTTCTCGTAAGATGTTATTAATGTTTTAAAAGAAAAAATAGCCTACCAATACGTCGGGGGGGAAAGGGATTGTTAGTAATGGAGACTGAGAATCCTATTGCTAGCAATATACCCAACCAGGTCGACCTCCTCGCGGTTCTCCCTGGAAACTATCATGGTTAATTCCAGATGAATTCATCATGATGGGCTAACTGGCCAGTTAGGCCTGTTTTCATTCTCATCTATCACACTTCACTGATGCTCCGCCAGCGTATCCTGTTAGCGCAGGCGGGGTTACCATACCATTTTTATCCTTAAAAAAAACCATACATCGGGCATACAATAATTACAAAATTAATTACATAACATTAATTATTTTACAATCAGACAATAAAATCGTCAATAAAGTTGAAAACAAAATAAAGCACGTCAATCAACAGTCACAAACTAACTCATGGACACCATTATTAATGATAATTTTATATAGTAATTAAATTATTTATTATATATATATATACATATATATATATATATATATATATATATATATATATATATATATATACATATATATATATATATATATATATATACATATATATATATATATATATATATATATATATATATATATTCATATATATATCAAATTGTAAAAAGCATTTTCAAGTAGCCATTTTTTTTAATAAATTGTATGTTTTAAATTAAAATTATAATGAAGTAATCCTATCTAAATAAATCGCCGTGTGGTCCCAGCATAGAATGGACCACCTCTTCCTTAACCGTAGGTGTCATAAGAGGTGACTAAGGGAAATTAATGGTCGAGAGATAGGCAGCAGCGTTCCTATAAAAATCACCTAAAGCCTAATTACAATTGCCACGCCTGCCAAGTTTGGTAACTATTCAGCAGATAACAGTTAACGGCTGATATGATGATGATGATGATGATGATGTGCAGGTAATTACTTGATTATCACACTATTAATTAAACAGTTTTTTGGGTGTGCAATGTTTTTATATAATAAATTTTCTCCTTCTTGTGGGATAGAAGCAATAAGCGGCCATTGGATGATTAGTAAATTATAGTTACATCCTTAAATTATTTTACATTAAAGTAATAAAAAAATCATACAAAAAATATAAACTATCCCGTGACCTATGTGGCTGTGTTTCGGTTTGAAGGGTGGGATATGGCGTGAATTTACTGGGTACAGAGGAATAACACCTGAGTCCTCAGGAATGGCAACGCATGGGGGGTACCATGGGCGAAACAGTATACTCTGTTATGTCCATGGCACTACTCATGTCTATAGGCGACGGTTACCACTTTCCATCAGGTGGGCCGTCAGCTTGTTTGCCATTCTAAGTTGTATAAAACAAAAAAACACCATATTTAAGACTTTTTATTATATTTTCTTATATCAGCCGTTAACCGTCTGCTGTTGAACATAGGCCTTTTCCACAAGGTGGGGGGGGGGGGGGATTGGGTGACAACCGCAGTTAGGCTTTGGTGATATTTTAAGGGAAACTACTGCTTATCACTCGACCATTAGTCTCTATAATAAGCTATAGATAGAGAATTATAATTACACCAATACACAATATCAGTAATAATATAATATATAAAAATAAGACTTCATTTTATTACTGACTAGCGACCCGCCCCTTCGCACGGGTTGCATATTTCATCACATTAGATACCTCCATAATTATTAGTGTTCCTCTACTATATTATGCATGTATTATAATACATATGAACCTCTTGAATTACTCTATCTATTTAAAAAAACCCGCTTCAAAATCGGTTGCGTAGTTTTAAAGATTTAAGCATACATAGGGACGGACAGACAGCGACAGCGACTTTGTTTTATACTATCTAGTGATAAGAATTATTTATTCTTTTCAGGCTCTGCAAAAAGCGAAAGATACCCTTCAAGTCCTATACTGCATAATAGAGGTAACAATGCAAGAAGTGCCAAAAATCACATCATTAGTGCCATTTGAAAATTCTCATGTAGATTTGTTAATTAAAAGAATACAAGACAGTGGATTATAGTAACAGCATTTTAATTTGTATTTTTTAATCAACATTTGCAAACAAAGAAGTTTTAGGATCATAAATTCGTTTTATATATTATACATAGTTACACTCACTCCATTCTCCAATCTTTTGATTAACTTTTAGGTCACTACTTCATATGCGTTTATTTTAGAAGTAGAATCAACTAAATATGACACTTCTAGATGGCGTATCAAAAGGTAACATACACTAGTTTTTAAGTAATACGTTCCGGAGGTTTACCAGAGGGAGACTGTACAAAAGTCGATTGCTTTGGTACCTCTGTCCCATTTGTTTTAACCGCGAAGCAGTTGTGTTTGCATGGCTGTGTTTCGGTTTGAAAGGTGGGATATGGCGTGAATTTACTGGGTACAGAGGAATAATACCTGAGTCCTCAGGAATGGCAACGCATGGGGGGTATCATGGGCGAAACAGTATACTCTGTTATGTCCATGGTACTGCTCATGTCTATAGGCGACGGTTACCACTTTCCATCAAGTTGACCGTCAGCTTGTTTGCCATTCTAAGTTGTAAAACAAAAAATAAAAAAAAAACTGAAAACTACATCCAATTTCGTGAAGTAGTTTTTTCGTGACGTCGGAATAAATACAGATACAGCCTATTTTTCTAAAATTTTTTTGGCTCATATTGGCTTTACTAAGGACTTTCATATCTCTTTTTCTTTAATATGATGTCTGTCATCATGCAGTTACAATTTTATAAGGGCAATAAAAGCCAACATAGCAATTTTTATAAAATTCGTCTGTATGTTTGTTCTGGCATCACGTAAAAATTACTGGGTATCCAGTATAAATTATGTACAATAAAGATTCTACAATACAAATAACATTTTAGGGACGACGTCACGACGTCTGCTACTAAAGTAAAACACAATAGAAGTTTTAAAACTATATTTTATTTAATACACCTGTTCATAATACAATAATAGTGTTGAGTTTCAATGTACAAAAGTTATCAAATAATAATTAACACAGGCTAATTAACGATACAAGACGTATTACAATGACAAAATAAAAAGTTAAAAGAAACATCCTTTATAACGAAATGCTTAACAACATTGGTCGTTGCTGCTTTTACGAGAGTTCGCCATTAAAATATATTATTCGTTATGAGCTGATCGTAACCAATATCGTTTTAAAAATAATATCTTTCAAGTACGATATTGTTCATAAAACTTATGGTAAATTCGACTAATGACGCCGGCGTTTCGTTTCACAACGTGATTAGTTACACGCGGGCAAAGCAACTAAATTGAGCACTCACCATATATATATACATATATATATAAAAGAAAACGAAACACAATTTACATAATTAAAACTTAATTGAAAACAATAAAAGCCGGTCTATACTTATGATTCATTTTTGAGTAACAAGCAAGCGCATTTTAGTGCAATAATTCCTAAATTAGGAGGATTTTTCAGAAGGTTATTGTCGAGTGTGGTAACATTTTCTAGGCTGACCGTACATTGACTGTTGCAATTGAAATATACTTTAAGAATCTTATTTGGGGCACTGCTTGGACAATGAAACAGAACAGAATGGATGCTGGAGAGGCAAATTTATTGCGTTTACATTCATTAGCAATAGGTATTAAGAAGAAAGAAATATATTTAAAGTAGACTGGACTGTAAATTGTGTGATATTGAAAGTTAAAAATGTTAGACCAGTGATTCTCAACCACTGTGTCGCGGCACTTTTGTGTGCCGCCAAATTTTAGAAAATATTTAAAAATTTTGTCATAAACTATTTATGCAGTGTATCCCCTTAAATTGTAGTAAGTAAATATTTTTTTTTTCTTTTTCTTTGTGTGCCGCCAAATTTTGAAATCGTTAAATATGTGCCGCAACAGAAAAAAGGTTGAGAATCACTATGTTAGACAATATGCGATCAGCCTTAACTGAGGAATAAATGATACCTATGCAAATAACAGTAAATAATGTTCATCGATGACAATTAAATAAATAGATTTATGTACAATTACGTGATGGATTTTATAGTTAAATACACAACGATAATGCATTAGGTAAAATGTATTATATAGTATGTAGAGTACAGTAACTCATACTTCGTCAATATGGATCGTCACTTACACGTTAAAGGGAATCTCGTCTTCCCACAAATCTCGTGTTACGTTGCAGGAGCAACCGTACAAGAACTTGACGTGCTATACAAGTATACCATATTTACAAATAAATTTTGAATGTAGAATTCAAAATTGTATCACGGATTGAATAGGAACGCTTTAATGTAAAACAATACATTTAAATAAATATTAAAACAGCGTTGTTTAACTCTTTTTAATGTTTATTATTTAAATGGATGCGCTATCGACTGTCCTCACGTAAACCTTTCTAAAGTGATGTCTCATTAGTATACAATGGCCCAATTAAATGTATTATAATTATTAATAATAATGGCTTAGTTGAGAGTGAAAGTTTAATTTACAGTTGGGTGACATTTTCGATTTAATAAACATACCAATACAAAGGTTAAAGTTTAATCAATCTTTAATAAAAATGCATTAAATATTCGTTGCAACTTGTTTGCCATTGTGTTGTATAAAAAAAAAATGAGACAATAGAATTGAGAAACCTTTTTTCCTTTTATGTTCCGGCGATCAGACCGTGGGTGTGCCTTGTACTACTTCCACCCCTCCCCCCCGGCCCTTACATAAACCACCACTTCACAGAGCAGCCTAGGTACAGGCTGATTGTACACATGATTAATATTGAGGTAATATTATTTCAAGTGATTTGATTCAAACTGTATAGCACCATAGATAGGAAAAAGGAATCAATCAATCGTTTATGACCTACATATTTCACATTATGCTGTTGGCAGGGAAATGGAGTTTGACAAGACTGCCTAGACAAGTGCTGAATGGTACCAATTCTAAATACGTACACTTTCACATTAAAAACTGACACAGCTTTTAACGTGAAATGGCCTTTATGACTACAGAATGCCATATTGAATCGAATAATGTACAGTTATAGAGAGGAGCTTATCTCCAGAATTGACGTGCACGTATGAGACCAGTTATGAAAATAGATGAAGTAAAAAAAAGTTCTTAAGAATAATCTCCTTTCGTTCCCTATGTTTACATTATAACTGGTCTGACGTACAGGTAGAAGACAGAATCGGTTTAGCCTGCGTTAAAATGAACTAAATAAAATTGTGATGTTCTTTCTAGTTTCTAGCTTAGATGTAATAAAGTTTATTTTACCTTGACAGGACTGAAACACAATCATATTTAGATATATAATTAATTGTCAATTGACAAGCATAGCTGTACATTAAGTCTATTCATCGAATTCTCCTCATTGACACCGATTGGAAGACCACCAACCCTTGACATACTAAATCGCAACAACAAACGACAAACTTAATTATTGATCTAAACAAATAAATACATTAAAACAGAGCAAACTATACATACCGCGTGTTACATTTAAACTTATAAACATTCTATGTCATATTTATTAAATATGAGAATTAACTAAATGACCTAGAATACATTTTTGATACGATTACAAATCAACGTCCAAAAACACGTTACAGCTCCGATAAATAACGCGGTAAATGCAAATTTCATAATGGAAGCCATTGAACAGTGAATGCTTCACCAGTGACCTGACAATCAACTGGTGCATACGTAAAATGTATATTAGTAATGTCAATAAATACTTTGGAATATTGTTTTTACAGTGTTTATTAATATATAAATACATCTGCTATATTCATATTGAGAAACATTCATATCAACAATAACCAATTGTTTGATGAACAAAATCGACAAAACTATTAAAATGTTGAATTGAAATCCGATTTAATTATTCATTAATTGATCAACACAAAATAGACAATTCACAACAGCAGTTTTAGGGCCCAGTGTTTCAAATATAAATTAATTAATAAGGAAAAAAGCCAAGAAAAATTTAAGCTATTTACAGAGCTGCTAAAACATATAAATATATGACGTCATGCGAACTTAAATACATGTATTCCATCCTAAGCGTCAGTCTTCCACTTAAATGCCACTCCTCGAAAATAAAAACGGTTAGGCCACTCGGTCTGCAACTGGTCTCGGTCCCACGAATTAGTGTCACCCCGGAGACGGGAGCCCGGAGGCTCAGTAGATCCTCTCGTAGAACAACAGATACGCTTGCGCATTCAACACCTTGTCCTCGCTCACCTCGGTGACCATGCTGTCGGATACATAGTACCACTTGCCGGACGGCGGCTCGGCGGCGGAGGCGGGCCCCTCCCCGGACTCGTACCCGGACAGGTCGGACTCGGAGTCGCCATCGCCGTCACCGTTGCCCGCGGCCGCCGGGATGTTAGCGCTCTTGGGCAGGAACCACCAGCGCGGGTCCGAGGCCCGTACCGGCTGCCGTACCTTCACATAAGCGACGTAGTGGCCGCCATGCATGCCGCCCGAGTGCTCCACCACGCCGTACAGAGAGTACAGCAGCTCGTTCTGCCCACGGGCCACATTAGGTAGCTTCTTCAGCTTGTCCATCGCGCAGAACGGCGCCAGATCCAAAATCGTGGGGAAGTCGACGTGTTTCGACATCTTCCTGAACATGCACCGCGGCCCGATCTGGAACCTCTTGAGGTGCAGGATTAGGATCGCAGGCGGGCTCGACACGAGGAACCGCTTGGTAGCATTTGTGTACACCGTCTTACCGTCCTTGCCGTTAATCCTCTCGGTGCAGTTTTCGCAGCCGACCTTATTGTTGCCCGTGAGCAGTTCCAGTGCCGTAAACTGGCTCAGGCACGACTGGATGCTGCACTCGTCCTCGTCGCAAACGTATCGCGGTGAAGACGGAGTCTGCCGCGAGTACGGGAGGAAGTCCTTTTGTAGCGTCTTCTCTATCTCCACGTTGTAGACCTTGGGCCGCGGCGGCGGCGGAGGCTCTGGCACGGTCTCAGTGGACACTGGCGACGTCTGAGTCGGCTTCTTGGTTTTAGCATCGTCTATTATAAGTTTCAGCTCGTCTACCTTGTTCGCGATGTTTTGGTAGTAAGTATTTAAATCGTTCATGGCTGCATCCTGATTTTTGTTCTCTGGAAGCGACTCGTAACTACTCTCCCCGCTGTGTTCTAGTACGTTCTTGCATCCTTGCATGCTGATCCCTCTAGATACTACCTCATTGGAATACTCTGTAGTCAGTGATCTCCTAGAAGGCGGCCTCTCTAGTTCCGATCGCCTCGACACCGGCCTCTCGAATTCACACTTCACTGGGGACAGGTTGTTGTGCTGTGGACTAGAGAGGTCCAGATTGATCTCGCTCGACAGTGAACTATGGCTGCCCAGTTCCTTGCCATTGATGGGCGAGTCGACGTTATCGACCGTTTCGGTAGAATTATGCTTCGTCGCTTCCGGACTCGCCACCCCCGAGTCGGGATTCGATAAATTTTCTAATGATATTAAGGGTTTGTGGTCTAAAGGTGTAGCTAAAGTTGACGTGGACGAGTCTGCGAATTCGACTCGGTCTTTATTAGAATTTTCGGGAGTACTGTCCGTTTTCTCCTTATCTAACACAGAACTGTTGAAAGAATTTGAAAATGTTAGCGTTTTGACGGGTTCATAGGGTGATTCCATGTAGGTGGCGGCGAAGTTGGCGGCGGTTTGGGCAACGGCTGGCGTTGATGCTACGTGGTTCTCTTGTTGGCGGGGCATGTCCTCGAGGTTGTCTTCCACGTCAGCGTCCGATTGTTCTGAGGAAGACTTACCACCATCCTCCTTCGTAGCACCATTGGTTTCTGCGCTAGCGGTCTCTTCTTTGGATGCAGCGTTACCTGTAAAATGTGTTATTTTATTATTGTTATACCAGCTGTTAACTGTCCACTGCTGAACATAGACCTCCTAGAACCAGAACCCCTAAACAAGGGTTTTGCAAGTAGTCACCATACTTGGCAGACGGGTTGGCAACCGCAGTTAGACTTTGGTTATGTTTTTGTATGGGGGACACTGCTGGCCATCCCTTGACTGTTAAGTCCCCTTAGTCGCCTCTTACATCACGGGAAGGAAGGGATGGCTCATTCTATGCTGGAACTATACAGCAAGAAAAATATTATAGTTAATCTATTATTGTTAATTAATTAACATGAGAAAAATAATTTAATCTAGTATGTTTTCTATGACTAGAAAATAAATCCACTTTAATACATATAATAGACGCTCGGTACGATTGTAAATTAAGTTACCAAACTGTAATAACATTAACTATATAAATAAAATCTTAGTAATAATATGTTTAATTTATATGTTCCAGGGCTGACGGCCCACCTGATGGAAAGTGGTAACCGTCGCCTATAGACATGAGCAGTACCATGGACATGACAGAGTATACTGTTTCGTCCATGATACCCCCCATGCATTGCCATTCCTGAGGACTCAGGTGTTATTCCTCTGTACCCAGTAAATTCACGCCATATCCCACCCTTCAAACCGAAACACAGCCATGCAAACACAACTGCTTCACGGTTGAAACATGAATGGGACAGAGGTACCCAACTTTTGTACAAAGTCTCCCTCTGGTGATTTATTATTATTAATTATTATTTGAAAACCTCATGCAAAATATACTAGCTAATGCATCTGTGATTTACAATTGACACACAGGGTATTGATTTTTTTTATAAACATATAAATAATTCTTATATTATGTAATAACATGCAAATATTAGTACCACCTTTATTTTTCCGCGCGGCTTTCCTTGCTGCGTTTCTTTCTTTCTTCAATTGGTGTTTTGATGGTTTGTTTTCGTCTTGCATATTGTACATGTTATCCTCTGAAAATTATATCTCTTATGTAACTAACATTCACCTGATCATAAGACAGGTTTTGAATATGAGGTAAAATAAAAAAAAAATTACAATTAGTTTTTGGAATAGATATAATTTCAACTACACTTGAGTATTTTCAGAAACAGTAAAATAAAACGGCACGCAATTAACATTTAAAAAAAAATCTTTATTATTAGTTTATCTGATAACAGATAATAAAATGGGGTTCTTTAATGAGGAAACATACAAAAACAATCGGTTATTAGTATATCTGGTAAGAGATAACACAAAATAGATATCATTTTTAATGACAAACATACAAAAATGACACAATTATCTGCAATTATTTTATAGGACTAACCATTTGGCGCTTTCCTCCTGACGACGGCGGGCGGCTGCGGCCGACTAGCCGCCACCGGCAACGATAGGTCCAGGAAGTACTCGGCGCGGTCCGACTGGTTGTAGCAATCCTGGCATTCTAGCGTTGATACGAGGAAGCCGCGGAACACCTGTACAAACAAATCGGCCTATTTTTATATTTTATTTGTTTTAATGATATTTTAAGAGGCACGCTGCTGCCCATCTCTCGCCCTCCGGATACGGATTGTCTTCCATAATGCTAGGGAGGCAGATTTTTTTTTTATTTTACATATACGAATTTTCTGTCTTAATTAATTCTATAAATTAAGATATCTTTATGAATATGATGGTGCGATTTCATGTATACAACCAATAGACAATAACTATTAAAATCGGTTCACTTTCAGTGATTTTTTTTTATTTTTTAATATTTTAAGGGCTTTTACCTTCTTCAGGTATATCAGTCCTATTGTACCCTGAACTGATTTCTCCAACAAAACTTTATCTACCTTCCCTAGACGCGGAAAGAGAAGAATTAATGGGCATCAATAATTTACAGAGATGTTCAAAAATTTCTGGTTTAAGTTCAGCTAACATAGTTTGAATAAGACCAACATTCAATTTATTTAAGTTAAAGTGGCGCATGAATTCTTCTCATTCCTTCGTGTTAATACGTCACTCTAATAGAATATGATGCACATCATCGATGGTACTACAAGTTTGACAATGGGGTGACAAGGACTTTCCCATCATATGTACAAATTCATCACTTTCAGTGATGTAATTACCTTAACCTTCAAGGTCGCCAATTATTCTATTAGTGATAACAATTGTAAGCATACTATTATAATATTTTAATAGTATTATTATAATTCATTTATTTATTTAAACTTTAATTCACAGTGAAATTCTATGTACATTTGGCATACTTAACCCTTCATTGCATGATTTTTTTTATTGGTGAAATAATTCAAAGTGATTAAATTCATATTTAAAATTAAAGGAAAAATGGTTAAAAAATAAATTTAACAGCTATGTTTTTTTTTCTGCAATAGACATTAAAAGGTATCCAGACACGATCAATTTAAAGTGAACTTGTTCTTTTAAATAATTTTTGGGCATTCAATGTTATGATGGCAATTTCCACCATTATGCAAAGGGTTAACACCGGTCGATGTTCTTTACCAGTCAACTATTGGGCAAATTGAGAAATAAGTAGGCGATACATTATTGAATTGAGAAAACATAGGAAAAATTTATATATATATATATATATATATATATAATAAAACTGTAGTGGTCGAATGTTTGTACGTAGGGAAAAACGCTGAAAACCAAGTCAGAGTGATGTTAGAAGTTAAATAGAACACATCCAGAATTTTTTTAAATTTTTTGTTTCTCCGTCTGTTTCTACAGGCTAATCTCTGAAACTGTTGACCATTTTAAATGAACTTTTGCATGGTGGTACCTTATATTCCCAATAAACATTTTAGATACTTTTAAACATGGAAAATTAAAGAGTTCCCGTGGGATAGTTAAAAACCTATACCAGCTTATACAGCGTACACAACCTACTTAAGTAAAGTTATTTTGTCTTAAGGCAAAGAGTGAGAACGGCATGTCATTTGTTATTTTGGTCCAGTATTCCCGGACATAATAAATAGGCAAGTACATACATCGATACATACTAAACAGGAATAACATAAATAGTATGCGAACAAAGTCGTAGGCATCAGTTAATTCTTATAATATTCATTTGGGGGGAAAGGGATTGTTAGTAATGGAGACTGAGAATCCCATTGCTAGCAATATGCCTAACCAGGTCGACCTCCTCGCGGTTCTCCCCTGGAAACTATCATGGTTAATTCCTGATGAATTCATCATGATGGGCTAACTGGTCTGTTTTCATTCTCATCTATCACCCTTCACTGGTGCTCCGCAAGCGTATACTGTTAGCGCAGGCGGGGTTACCATACCATTTTCACCCATAAAAAAAATAATGTATTATAAACATATAATTAGACATATTACGTACCTGTTCCGGCCGTAGCATAGTATCAGAGGCCTGCTGTCCGTAAAACTTAACTTTCTGTTTGACCTCACCATCCACTTTGGCGGGATCCACCTTGGAGTTCATGCCCAGACTGCTCAGAATTACAGACTGATAACGACGTAGGTCTTCCGATCTGCAATTACATATTACAAATTATTGAGTTAACGTTGATATTTTATTTATTTATCCCTTTCAGACCTGAACGATACGGGCGTGAGTTGTAACTTTAAAAAATTCTAAAACCGCGCGCAATTCATTTTTCCGCACTAAACTAGCCAATAAGAAATCATTTTAGTCGAAAGAAGTTAAAAGAAAAGTTATTTCTTTAGAAACTAAAATCGAAATTTTGGATCGCTTACGAAAGGGAAATAGATGTTGCAAAATCATATAACATGAACGAAGCTACAATAAGAACAAATGAAGATTTTTATTTTTATTTCTGTGTACACCTAAAAATATTGAAAAAAATCACAATTGTTAAATAGCAAAATTATGCATTTTCTGCAAGCTTTTCGATTTACACGGTTTTGACTTGAAAATTTTTAATTTTAGATTTACACGTTTTTCTCAGGAACGTATCTACCGTGTAAATCGGGGGATAGGTGTATATATATTGTATATATAACAAACCTCAAAGCTTTTGAATTTCTGTAGGAAAATAAATAATGAATAACAGAGCGTACGCGAGGTTGCGCGCACAGAATAAATTTGATATTGTCATTCTTTAAAAATATATAGACGTTTAAACATTTGGTTGAATATTTTACTTACCCATTTCCCATAAATTTTATAAATCTGTAACGCATACCTGACAGCTTCGAGCAAATGCCGCAACAGCTCATGTGCATCGTGCTGATCACCACCATCGAACTGCGGCAGCTTGTTCACCAGCGCCGACAACAGTTTCCGGGGTGTGAACACGCCACCTTCGCCTGCAAATTTTTTTGGAAAAACAAAAATTATAATAATTACGGCCATTACATTACATCAGTAGTTACAACGAAATTTACATAATACACAAGCAATGAAATAAAACCTTTTTTGTTTCAATTTTATGGGGTTATATTGTGAACCTATTTTCAACATCAAGTAATTTCATTGACAATTGTAAATGTTAACGTTATAATGATATTTGGATATTCAGATGCGGGTTAATCAATGCCGATTAAACAGCTAGAGGTCAGACAGGTTTGAATGGCATTTGGTCACAAAGTACATTCTAAACTACAATTTTTTTTATTATTTTTTTATACAACTTAGAATAGCAAACAAGCTGACGGCCCACCTGATGGAAAGTGGTAACCGTCGCCTATAGACATGAGCAGTACCATGGACATAACAGAGTATACTGTTTCGTCTATGATACCCCCTATGCGTTGCCATTCCTGAGGATTAAGGTGTTATTCCTCTGTACCCTGTAAATTCACGCCATATACCACCCTTCAAACTGAAACACAGCCATGCAAACACAACTGCTTCACAGTAGAAACACGAATGGGACAAAGGTACCCAAGTAATCGACTTTTGTAAAGTCTCCCTCTGGTAATAGTATTATTATTATTCATTTATTTATTTAAATCCCTCTGGTAAAATATAAATTATAAAATACAATATAAAAACTGCATGAAACAAATAGTAATACTTTCGTGTATATAAATTAAAACAAAAACAAGACAAACAAGAAAAAAAATCGTAATAAAATTATGATTTTTTCAACAATCTGAGTTCTAGAAGATATAAAGAATATAATAAATACATCTATAAATATTATTCTATGATGCACTTTTGTTGCATTATCATAGGCTACTACAAAGCCCAGCCTAATATTGCATAATAACAACATAATTTCTCACTTTAATTATGACAAGATAAATTTAGTTTAGAAAACTTCAACAAAAATAGACTTTAATTAGCATACTTTAGGCAGTAATAATTAACTACTGACCTTGCGAGACGAGGCTATGATATGAAGTGTAATAATGCATAAAACAGCTTATCTACCTACTATAACTAAATTTAATGCAGTTTTATAACTAACTAGTGGCCCATCCCGGCTTTGCACGGGTGGACATTTTTGCATTTTAAAAAGTGGCCATTAAGGCTGCACACGCGACGTAAGCTTAAAAATGGAGTAACGTGTTCCGTTTTCCTAACATTTCCCTTCACTACTCTGCTCCTATTGATCGTAGCGTGATGAAACGTATACTATAATCTGCCCAGGAGTAAGAAAAATAATTGTACCAAGTTTCTTTAAAATCTGTCGAGTAGTTTTTGTTTCTATAACGAACATACAGACAGACAGACAGACAAAAATTTACTGATTGCATTTTTGGCATCAGTATTGATCAGTAATCACCCCCTGATAGTTATTTTGGAAATATATTTAATGTACAGAATTGAACTCTCTACAGATTTATTATAAACATAAATAGATATAGATAAGTGATGACCTGGGGTTTATAATAGTGTGAATTGAAGGTAATTATTTTTCATATAAACAGTAGGAACTTTCATTTACTCTATATTTGTCAAGTGTGGTGTCTAGTTTCTCAAAATTAATTTTATTGTTTATTATTATTAATAAATTTTGTAATATAATACTTAAATATTAATAGTTTAAAAAGAACATGTAATATATTGAGACAACTAATCTTTTATTTTTTATTGTTTTTTAAAATAATTAAATGTTAAAATATAATTTAATTACATCTATGGTCATTTAGTACAAATAGAAGTGATTAAAAGATCTAAAAGACAGGGAAATCATTTGGGGAATTTTGGAGCAAGTTCACATTGACATGAAAGTGGGTCACACTGAAATAAACATATGTAGGTTAGCTAAAAATTAATGGCACAGAAAAATATCTTTCTCAATGTCACATATATTGTTTAAAATCAATATTATGAGGAAATGCTATCAACACCATCAATATAATATTAATTAATATTAATATTTATAATAACTCTTTGTATTCTCTGTACAATTAATCTATGCTAATATCATAATTGTGAAAGTGAATTTATTTATCTGTTATCACTTAGCATTTTAATCAATCACGTGATCATTGAAAAATGGTATACACATACTGTACAAGGTGGAGAAGGACACAAGTTATTCTTGATGATGGTCAATGATAATATCCTTGTCTATGTGGAAGAAGTTCGCAGGTAAATTTATGCCTTTTCATACTTGTTTCTCCTTTTACTTATTATTATTTATTTATTTCAATTTCTACATAAAATAGCTATAACTATCGGTGAAAACTGTATTAAATTGAAGTTTAGTAAAGTTTCAACTGTCATTTAGATATTTGTTATAGAAGGTGCAAAACAATATGTAATAAGTTTCGTATAAACAGATATATATATAATGCTCAATAGGCAGAGTAACTAGTTTAAAAAAAAAAAGAAACAAAATGTAATAACATTTAATAAAACTTAATCATTTTTGTTGAGGCTGTATTATTTTATATTTAGTTATTTTAATAAAAATACATGGCACGATTAAACAATAATATTATGAAGATTAAGTTAAAAATTAAATGTAGCACTTGCAATCAAAAAAGGTTATCAATGTTTACACTATTGTGTAAACTAGATTTTTTTTTTTATTCTATCACATAACATTTTATTATAATCAAATAATAACAAAGTAGTATAGATAACAGAAATTGAAGTCCTTTGTGAGACAAAGGTCTTTGTAGTAAACAATGTTATTTCCTGAAATGCAGACTTTGTTTTAAATTTTATTTACATTACTGCAATCTGTCTTAAATGATGAGTATTTATGATAATGGTGAAGTCAGTTGATAGTTTGAGTTCAAACATCTTACAATTTGCTATTTTAAAATGTAGTGGGTAAAAAAACGAAACAAATAGTTTGGTAAAAAAAATTTGCTATTCAAGCCAAGTGTGTTTCCGTTTACCCATGGAAATAATACTATGAAATAGCAATTTTCTTCTGTTGTGTAATAATTATAAAAAAAATATATAAAATTCTAGTTGTATCCTGCGACTTCATCCATGTGAATCAGTATATAAAAAATTCTGTGTCAAGTTAGAATATAACCTACACATGTATAAAATTTCATTCAAATAAGTTCAGTAATATTGACATGAAAGAGTAATAAACATTTATTCATCTATCCATTGTTACAGATTTCAAATTTTAATATTAATAGGATTAAGGAGCTCTTCCCATATTAATATTCCTTTACACTAATTTTAAAAATCACTACACAATTTCAATGAATATTTGTAAATGTGTATTGTTTGCTGGGATGTGAGAATTTTTGTCACTGATAAGAAAAAATGAAGAGTTGTATGTTTGAAAACAATGTTTGCCCAGTCAGTCAGTTAATAATTACAAAAAAAAAAATTGTTCAAAAATCAGTCAATTTTGTAAATAATATTTTTTAAGTAAAATCCCTGTAATCAATTTATAATATGATAACACTTGCTAGCTTTAAAACCTGTGTTAAGTCCTATTGTTTCTCCCTTTAAGCACTGTTTTCTTATGTTTTTTCTTCACTTTCCTCTTATATGTGTGCTATTTACTATGTAGGTATGTTTATGTATATATTTATTTATTTATATGTGTGTATTTTAGTATATAATAGTGCATCACCTACTCTTTGTTCTTTTTCTTAACACCCTCTACTCAAAGGTCATCTGGAAGAGATTGCTTAAAGATAAGGCCACCTTTTGTATCATTTCACATTAAAATTTACTATGTTCATTATTTTTGTAATGGTGCAATAAGGTGTAAATTAATAAGAGAATTTATTTGAATCACTTAGTCTATCATATCAATAATTGAAGGTAACACACCAAAATATATCTATCGAGATAAAAAAGTAACATAACAATAACAAAGCCTATTTCACACATAAAATTAGCTGTTTGAAATTTTATCTCCTAAACAGATAATATTTTAAGCATACCTATATTAATACAAGAATAAACATAATATGTTATAGTATAAAATAAAACTTTCTTTTTAAGTAAGTGAAAGTAAATTAATATTCACAACATACCTGTTTGTAATTCAGCCAGTGTTTCAGCTAGTGTACGGGTCAAGTTACCCCATTCTGCTAACTGTCCAGTTATTGGTGGCAGATCTATCTCCTTCATCTCATCTCCTTCCCCTTTAATTTTTAACTTTCCACCAGGTAGTGTGAATCTTTCGCCTGGTGTGGCCATCTCTTGCAATACTTGCAATAAATATGGTGTTTGAACTAAACACTGCATCACCGAGTTAAAGAAACATGTATTACCTAAATTTGATAGCCCTCTTACACGGGGTAGATTCATTGCAGTCGCTTTGTCTTTAAGTTTATCAGATTTAAATCTGAAATCTGATTGAATCAATGAATCTGACTTCAATGGCTCTGAATTTAATATAGGCTCCACAGGCAATACTAAATCTACCTTTGGTCTACTTTCAAATGGCAGCTCTATGGGTGGTAAAGATTTTGTGTTTCCACTGGGCATTGCATGCTTTTTGAGGTACTCTATGCACTCATGGAGTTTTTTAGAGCTGGATGGTATCACTTCATTGTTGCAGTCGTAACAATGCACCTCCCATGTGGTGGTGTTGGCCGTGAGGGAGTGTGAGTCAGAGTGGGGCTTATTATAATGATTTAGAGCGTGCTTGTTGCGCGCTCGTCCGCACAGTTGTGATCCACATCGCAAACACATCCATAGTGTTAGGTCTTCCTCGAAATCTGGGTCGGTAACCTCTGTTTTGGAACTTGCCTTACATTCAGCGCATTCTTTCTCGAGCCCACTTGTTTTCAGTGTTTTCTTCAACCCCGTGAGAAGGACAGCTTTAGCGACGTGAGGACATGCGGATTTGACATTTTCATCACAAGATTCCGTAGATTCATCGCCATTCTCTGTTGGGTCGCTTTGTCTCTTTTTTTTAACCATGGTTGCGTTGACTCACAAATTGCCTGCAATACGTAATGAGATACGTGGTATAATAATAACTGCATGAACACAAAAAGAGAAAAGTGACAAATCTGTGTCGATAGCCATTGCACGCGTGACAACGCACATTCATCACTAAAAGCGTGCAGTAATCTAATATTGATGCCAATAATCTATAAATAAATTTTATTCGTTACTTACAATTACATACGACGACAAGGAACTACTTTAAGTGTCAAGAAATAAAGAAAAAATATAATAGTGAAATTTTGTCACAAAAGTAAACCACAGATGTCAGCCATCTTTAAATTATTAATGTTGCCAATATTTTCTTTATATTTGTCGTATAAAAATATAGGCACTTTCCATCTATGGTCTGAAAATATTCACTGCAAAGTGTAAACAAGACAAAAGAGAACGTTTAAACAAAAGTGTCTTATTTGCTAAATAAATTTAATATTAATTAATAATGTAGACTGAAAAAATTAAAACCTCAACTAAATAAACTCCAGTTGCTTACTCCACGTTCATTTACTGGCGCACTAAAAGTTGTTTAACGATTACTTAAATAACTCCTTAGTATAGTTTTAAAAAGTCCCTCTCAGAGTCAGTTAATGGTTTATAAGGGTTTGTTAATGACAATTACTTATTTTGTTAATATTTCAATCAACAATTTCAATTGTCACTGACTAATATCTTATTAATGTTAATTTAATGAACTTTAAATGCGACAGTTATTCTTTGTTATCATCACTAGGTATAATTATGAATATCGTAAAACGGGGTTAATAGAATAAGTGGGATTATTAGAAAAAAATTAAAATAAATTTAAAGTCTCTTTTGATGTTTGCTGTTCTTCCTATATACTATAAATGATATTTTAGTGCAGTAAACATTTTTTATATATTAAGGCAATAATTATCAAATGCCAAATATATTTCAGTCTATGTGAAAACGTTTTTGAAAATGGTAGTGCAAAATTTTTAAGTATTTTTCATTCCTTATAGCCATAATTTTTTGATGTATTGGATAGATATTGACTCTGAGAGGGTCTTTTTTAATCTAACTAAGGCGTTACTTAAGTAATTATTGTGATTTTACGAAATAAGACAATAAAGAATTATTTCCGTATTAACATATATTCCATACAAATTTTAGACCACTGAAAAAAACAAAAAAAGAACTATATTCGATTTGTTTTTTAATTAATAAATGACTCTGAGTGTGGCTCCAAGGGCTATCAAAACTATTATTATCAACTTAATAAAATCTTTCTAACAATACTTCTCTCGTTTCTATTCACGCTAACCTTTGAGTGTATAGAAAATGAACACATTTTAAAAAATTTCAAGAAATCCATTTCATTTTAATTTAGACTATTTAGTTAATAATATATAGTCCAATTTTAAAGATAATGGACCCGGATTGTATGCAGAATTATCAAACGTTACTATACAGATAAAATAATTTGAAGAAAATTGAAATGAACTTTCAAATTGTTCGTATTCATCCCTTTCTATGGTAGTAATCGAGAATACACATAGACTAAGAATAGTGCGTGCGGTCTAATAGCGATCTTACAGAATAGGTAACTAATCGTGTACCGCATAACGCCTTCTTGTGGTAACATTTGGAACTATATATTTGAAACGTCAACATGACATGATCCTGAGACGTGAATCGTCATGAAATCTGTTAATCAAATCGTGATTTTCCATTGATTTTTGTTTATTTTATAGTGTAATTAGTCGAAATAAATCTAGAAATAACGTCTATAAACTGTGACACTGCCTTTGGTGTTCATTCATAATGTAGTTTTGAGGAAAATCATTTGGAAATTAAACTTCTATGAACTGTTTTGATGTTAGTCAGTTCTAGTTAGAAAACCATCAGAATGTCGCTACCAGGCAATGGGATTTTTGTTGTCCAAGGCGAGATGTGGATGCTCGTTACCGCGATGCGGCGGAGTACTCGTTGGGGCTCTCACTCTTTTCCCAACGAAGAATATGATGTACTAATGAGAACATTTCAGGACCTGAAAACTATATTGAATCAAGTAGAAGACCTGAGGCTCTTAGATCCGGCGACTTACCTAAGTCCCTTTCTAGAAGTCATACGAAGCAAAGAGACCACTGGCCCTGTCACTAGTTTAGCACTCTCTGCTATCCATAAATTTTTATCTTATGGCTTGATAGGTAAGTTGCAATACAATATTGCTATATTTATCTAAGCTAAGCTACTAACAGATCCTACTTTCATACAAGAAGAGAGAGAGATCTATTAACTCTCTTATTAATAAAACCTATAATCATATTTTAATTATAAGACTGTTTTGTCACTTTCTTACAAATTAGGAATATAGTCCAAAAAAAGACTACTTCAACAGCTAAAATAGTTTAATCTTTTTTAAAAATTTTGTTTTTATATATTAATTTTTGTAATAAATTCTATTTAATCTTTTTATTACACATCAGTATAATAAATGGTACATTCTAATGATAGTAGGTAAGAAAATACACAAATTCAAACAGTTAACCTTTTGTATCCTTCAATATAGTATAGTATAGTACAGCACATGATTTGAACTTTCTTATAAACTAAAATAATATACAACACTTCAGATAACTAGAAATCCAACTCCAATTCAGAACTACCAAATAAATGTCAGCTATATATAGGTAAACTTCACTTTGCTCGGGCATTTATATCCTCATCATGCTGTCCATGAGATTAGACATTAATTAGTGACTTGATGCACCAGATAGTGACACTCTTATACTTATTAATTATTATATTAGGAAACATATTAAACAAACAAATATTTATGTGTTTAAAGCCCTGTTGTATGTTAATAATAATAAATAAAAGGAGCCTTTATTCAGATATTGCTAAATCCGTCCTCAAGCTATAGTGAATCATTTACAGTTCATGCAGCTAGACTATGGAATCTTTTTTACTGCATGTTCGTGAAGTCAATTGTTGAATATATTCAAGAGCAAATTAAAATTGGATCTTCTGTCCTCATGAACTTATCATGTTTGTTATGTATATGTATGTATTTTATATAGGTAGAGATATTTTATATCTATATTATATATAGATATACCCATATGTATTTTGAATGTAAAGTAATATAAGTTACTTTGTATATATGTAAACAAATTTATTATTTTGTAATAGAAATAACTAAACTGTTTCCCCCTCTTATTGTACACACACTGCCTGTTGGTAATTAATGCTCCTCTCCACTGAGGGTTTGCTGGAAAAGAACTCTTACAGAGTTAAGTTCGCCTGTTGTACATTTTTATTTAATATAATTTATATGTATGTAATTTTTTGTATAATAATAATATATGTAATTATAAATATATAAATAAATTATTACAAAACAGATATTTTTAGTAAGTATTACATTATAATACTAATAATAACCCTTTATTTTATTTATTATGCATATCACTGACATAAATTAGTTTTCTCTGTTTGCCACTTAGTGTAGGCCTCTTCTAACCTTTTTTAAATATACTATTGACTTAATGCAATGAAAAATTGCAGGTAAATAGTATCTACATACTCCATTGATTTTAGCAATAAATATCGGCATATAATGTCATAAAATTGTGTATTTAAAATATGTATTAGAAACCAGAAAATTTAAAATTAACTATGTCCTCAACATTTTCCATGTCTCTCTGTCCAGAGTGGTCCTGCACTTGTTCTCTCCAAATTGTTTTTCCTTCTCTTGTGTGGTGTACCTCTGCCGTTTTTTCCAGTTTTTGGTTGCTGGTGTTTTGAAAGTGAATAATTGTTATTAATCATTCATTTACTGATTACAGATCCAACACACCCCAGTGTGCCCGCCACTGTGGAGGACATAGCTGATGCTGTCACGCACGCGCGATTTGTGGGCACCGACCACTCTTCAGATGGGGTTGTTCTTATGAAAATATTACAAGTGAGTTCAAAGTTGTATCCTTAGTAGAATAAATAGCAGTTTACATACACTATTTATTCTATTTATGTAGGTCTTCCATCTTACTATAGTTTGTTTCAATAGATTTAATGAAAAAATAAACAAACCTATTAATGGATTGAATGTTTATATTTATTTAATAATTTCTTTTAGATAATGTTTCTGTGGTAATTTTATCAAAAAGCTATCTTTTCATTAAATTGTATTGAAAGAGTAAAAAAAAAGTGTGTAACAAAAGTTGAAAGTGTATTAATATTTTTAGAACATATTTAATTTTTAATTATTATTGTAATTGAAATAAATTATTATATTTATATATTTAAAGAAATTATTAATTATTATTCTAATAATAATTTACTTAAAACTTTATTCCACAAAAAGAACATTAAGCAAAACCAGTTAGTTATATTAGTTTAAAAAGTAAACCATTGAATCAATCTGGATAAAAATCAATTTGAGAGTATATCCTTATTATTACAAAAGAATTTCTGAAATTGGTTTATAAATAACATGCTTACAAGATAACAAACATAAAAAATATAACACAATTGAGAATCTCCTCCTTTTTTGAAGTCGGTTGAAAAGTAACTCATGTATCACTATCCATGTACAAAATGACATTCAAATCCATGTAACAATTTAGGCATCATTAACTAACAAAGATCTAAACATTTTCCCATCTCATTAATATAGGAAATGGGAAAAGACAATGGGGAGGACAAATCAAAATATGGGAGGATGATTTACCTAAAGGATGGAGAAAGTCAGCTAGGGATAGGGGAAAGTGGAAACAGTTGGGGGAGGCCTATGTCGACAGACAACCTGACCAACATAATGGTTGCTAGAAAGCTAGCTTAGTAATAAGTAGTATCTAAGTTAAAGTAAAAATGTCAGAGAATAAAGGCTTTATTATTAATATAGTAAAATTGTAATTTGACGATGTCTGTACATGAGAAATATTATATGAGAGGCCTTAATAAGAGCATTCTGGCTCTATGAACAATAATTTTTAGAAATTTTCTCTTGAGTATGTTTGTTACGTAAAAACTACTTGCTACCAAATTGGATGCGGTTTTCACAGTTATATTTCTGCACGTCTAACTTAAAATCTTTCATATGTTTCATCTTAATTTGCCATCGAGTAGTGGTCAAAATGATTATTTTTCCTGAAATTTACGCATATAAAATAGCGAGCAAAAGGCCAGTTCATAATAGTAGGATATTATAAAATTATATTCGAAATTCTACTAATTGCCTATAAACCAGTATTATAATAGACTTGCTGTGTGGTTTCGACATCGAATGGATCACCCCTTTCATTCCTGTAAATATTGGAGAGTCGAGAGAACAGCTGTTTATGGAGAGATGATGAATAATGGGATATTATAAAGTTATATATGAAATATGTAAATGCAGTGTATCCTTCACTAGATGGAGTGACAATCTCAAATGCATTGCAGGGAGTCAGTGGATGCAGGCGGCTCAGGACCGTTCTTTATGGCAGTTTATGGAGGAAGCCTATGTTCAGCAGTGGACATATAATGGCTGAGATGATGATGATGATGATGTTACGAAATTCTACCAATTGCCGATAAACTATTATCATAATTGACAAATTCTTATTTATATATACATTTTTATATAGGTTCTTCGCACATTAATGCTAAGCCCGGAAGGCGCCATGTTGACTGACGAGAGCGTCTGCGAGATAATGCTCAGCTGTTTTCGTATTTGCTTCGAAACCCGCCTAACAGGTGATTATTATAATCCTTTTATCGCAGTTTTATTTTCCATTAACAGCTTGCACAGTAAGGATAATGTTGGATTATATATTATCTTGGTTAGATAAGCTTTCATTTTATCATTTCTTTTTTTCGTAAAGATATAAAATTGCCATATTTAAAAATAAGGATGCTGTAGTAGTTTTTATTATGCGTCTGCTTTCTAAACATCTTTTACTGATTTAGGTGTTATCTTGCAGAAGTCTATATAACAGGGCATTTGATAAGAATTATTTTGTTTAATTCCAGTATAATAAATGTAATCAAGTAACCAGTTATAAATATCTGTCAATATTCTATTCTTAATATAAGAAAGGTGTACTGAAATAAAGGTAGTTTTATGATTAATTAAATTATTTTTAAATTATTTAAATAAGCCACTTATAGATCCAAATGGTTGATGAATAAACATTGAGTTTAATTAATTATTGTATTTACTTTTTCAGAATTACTCCGCCGCAATGCGGAGCAGTGTTTGCGGGACATGACGCAGCTGATCTTCATGAGATTGCCGCAGTTCCCACCAGAGGATGCCGGAGCTGCCAATTTCACCACAGTAGGACTCTCGCTTAAAAAGAGAGAGAAAACCAGCAAGAGAAAAAATATAAACACTGCAAGCAGTAAGTTTTTGTAAATAATATTATATTAGTTTAAAACCTTGTCATGTATCGCTAGGGAGAGAGTTAATTATTAATTATGTGGTCATTATCCATTACTGGACTAATATATAGATATTATAACTACAATATATAAATATTGCAATATATTACCCACCTGTACCTATATGTTAACTCACCATATGGGCCATCTATGTTTTCAGATTTTGTTTAATTCTGCACAACTAATAATTTTACAAATTTACGCATTATTAATACTGTTGTAAATAAGAAACTACTATTTTTATATAAATAGGAAACTATAGTTACATGGTTATTATTTGTAAAATAACTAGCTGACCCCGGCAAATGTTGTTCTGTCTTATAATTTTTTTCTGGATAGCAACATTCTAGTCACCTAGCGGTATAAAATATACTTTACGACCCATTCTCATAGGGGGGAAAGGGATTGTTAGTAATGGAGACTAAAAATCCCATTGCTAGCAATATACCCAACCAGGTCGACCTCCTCATGGTACCCCCTGGAAACTATCATGGTTAATTCCTGATGAATTCATCACGATGGGCTAACTGGCCTGTTTCCATTCTCATCGATCACCCTTCACTGGTGCTCCGGCAGCGTATCCCATTAGCGCAGGCGGGGTTACCATACCATTTTCACCCATCAAAAAAAAGACCCATTTTCATACCTACCAAATATAACAATCTACAAAAAAAACCGGTTGAGCCATTTCGTAGGAGTGCGACCGCAAATACTACTTTCACAAATATGAATACAAATATGAGATTTATAATTGCAGTTAATATATTGCATTACAATTAATATATATATTTGCAAAAAAAACAACAAACAGAAATACAGAAAATGTACAACACCATCTATTGTTGTGATTCTAAATTAAAATTAAAAAAATAACAAAAATATATATAATTACTTCAATAAAAGAGGCTGTTTGTAATATGTGTTGGTTCTTATATTATTTATTATATTATATTGTAAATAAAATTACCGTCTGTTGACTTGAAGTATATTATGTATTTTTTGTTCTATTTCAATTGTTTTTAAATATTCTTTTTTATAAAAAAACTACAATTGTCAAAGTATATAAAAAGGTTAATTTTGAACATATTCCACCTAGGAAAAGGTGTAAGAGAATTTAACAAATTATAAAAATACTTAAAATAAATTATTATCTACTAGAAATAAAAGTTAACAATAATATTTATACATATAAAATTAATTATCATGTGATGTCAAGTAGATCAGCTTATTAATATGTCTTAAAAAGGTACCTCCAATGGTTTTTTTTGAGGCAGGAGAAATCGATAGTTGAGATGTCTTCTTAATATAAGAATGAGGCATCGTATTATATGCATGAGTATACTTAGCTTTAAGACTTTTGAACGCATCTGATCTGTAGTTTGTCTGCTTAATTTCCATGCCATTCTTAGGGAACTCTCCATCTTAATTAAATATATCAATATTATTTCAAATATATCAACTTGCATCGCATTCAATGTATGTAATAATTGCTGTAATTCGCTGAGAAAATCCTTGATATAATCTCTCGCAGTCGTATTGTAGTTTAAAATTTTTTAATAGTGATTGACATTTAACATTTTATTTTCATATCGTTTCTCGAGTGTCATCCAAGCGATTTCAGAATTATCCTCCTTGATTGGTAACTTCTCCCTTTAGATAAGGTTTCAAATAGTAGAATTTCTCTTTTTCTGATAAAGTACTACTTTTGTCAATTACAGAGAGGGATAAATTTTTTAAATTATTTTGCTCTCTTACCTCACCACTATAACTTGGGATGATGTGTTGTGGTATGGCTACTTGTTTTACTGGATTTATTGAAAGAATGTCAGGATTCATGTTTGGAGTATTCCATGTCGTTATATTTGAGAATTCTAAATACAAGGCTGATGTTTCGTAATATTTTCTTTCAAAATTATCTATTTCTGTTGTATCAGATTCCTCACCTTGTAAAGTTTCTATGTCTATTTGAACTTCCATATAATCATCTAATAGTTTTTCTAAATTTTTATATCTAGATTTTATTTCATACAGCTTTTGTTGGTTGTTTATATCGCTGATGAATGTATAATGGCGCGTGAGAATGCCTTTTAGTGCTGTGCGTTTATCAAGTAATTTCTTTAAATCGGCCATATTTTTTTATTAATTGGTTATTATCGTATTGTATGTATTGTATATATAATGTAGGTTACTTACGATTGTGTGATCTATTGATCAAAGGTTTGTTGTTGGGATTGTTTTATTCTTCTGTTGATATTTTTTTAATTATTATTTATCCAATTACGTAGGCTATCGAAGGACCACTTATTTATTTTATTTATTTACACTTTATTGCACCAAGTAAAAAGAGAAATAACAAATACAGTAAATATTAATGAGAAGTGATACAAAAGGCGGTCTTATCGCTAAGCAATCTCTTCCAGACAACCTTTGGGTAGAGGACATTAAGAAAAAGACAAAGATTATTATTTATGTTTGTAAAATATGATGATCCTTATTATCATATATGTTATTATCTTTATTATTATTATTTATTATATTATATTGTAAATAAAATTACCGTCTGTTGACATGAAGTATATTATGTATTTTTTGTTCTATTTCAATTGTTTTTAAATATTCTTTTTTATAAAAAAACTACAATTGTCAAAGTATATAAAAAGGTTAATTTTGAACAGAGGCTTTAATTATTTAAAAAAAATTAATCACAAAAATTAAGCTCACATGTAATTTATCTTTTGATTATAATTAAAAATAAATATTAAACATTTTTTTCCAAACAGTTTTTGCTTCGATTTTTTTATTTGTAATTTAGAATCATAACACTAGATGGCGCTTTACAATTTCTGTATCGCGCTATCGTTGCTTTGTATTGAAATGTATTAGTATTATCTTAGAATTTTGCCAGTTCAAAAAAGGGTGTTTGCCTCTTCGATGGCACACGCACCGGCAACGGTGCGTGGGGTATGGTTATCAAGACATACTCAACATATTATTTTTTGATCAGAGAGGCAGTTGGCTATCCTTATGTACCGGCGCCTCCTATAATTTTCACATATCACTATCAAGTTTAGACTTCAATATTTTAGAATTAACAGGTCTTTTGTGAGAATGGATGTTAAGTGTTATATAAAGATATTTTGGATCCATCTTTTAATAAATTTAAAATTGTTTGTAAGAAATACTTATTAGAAACAACAGATAACTTGAATGACAAACATGCATTGTGTTAGTCGATCATGCTTGGGCTAAATGACCATGTTATTTTAGATATACTAGATTTAAATAAATGTATTTTTTTTAATGAATGATAATGGAATGGTCACCCTGGGTGCGCTTTCGGTATGCGCTGGCAGGGCACCAGTGAGGCATGAGAGGTGAGAATGAAGGCAGGTCAGTTAGCCCATCGTGATAAATTCCCAGGGGGAACCGCGTGGAGGTCGACCTGATAGGGTATATAGCTAGTATTGAAGCTGGTAAATCCCCATTACTAATAATCCCTTTACCTCTATACGTAATGTTAATAGAGATGTAATACATTGTAATTGTCAATTTTCAGCGTTTCTTATAGATTATTTAAAAAGTTCTCTGCTATCGAATTATATTTTTTTTATAATCTTCATTGAAAATTCGAATTTCGGTCTTAAAAATGTATTTGAAAAATGTTTAAATAAAATATGAAGTAGGTAGTCGAGATTCGTTCCGGATTTGAAGCTGAGAGTGTGTTGTTATTATTATGAAGAGAGCGTAGCATGTTTTGGCATATTTAAAATATTCTTTAATCACTCCTTTTAATCTTTAAAGTCAACTTATTAGATACCAATCACTCTAGCTTTATGCCACCACACAGTATTTGTCGGCCATTACCAGAATTCAATGAAATGTCAATATAAAATATATATATACGAGGTTTGTCCGGAAAGTACGTATAAAAGTTTTTTAAAAATTTTATTTTACAATTATTCAGGTAAATCAATTTTATCCCCTTCAAAGTACTCCCCCTGTGACATAATGCACTTGTGCCAACGCCGTTTCCACTGTGAGAAGGCTCCTTGAAAGTCCTCTGGTTGTAGGTTTCTCAGCTGCCCCGTCGTAGCTTTTTTTATCTCATTTATGTCCCCCAAATGCCGCCCCCGAAGTACCAATTTGGTTTTTGGGAACAAGAAGAAGTCACACGGGGCCAAATCCGGCGAATAGGGGGGTGTTCGGTCACCGTAATGGAATTTTTACTCAAAAACTCACGGAACGATCTTGGCGCAAATTTTTTTCATTTGAAGTTCGTTTCTTAGAACTTCGTGGACCACGGTTTTGCCCAAATTAAGCTCTTCAGCCACCTGTCTGACCGTTAAACGACGGTCCCCATTAACACAAGTTCGAATTCTTTCCACGTTTTCGTCGGAATGTGAAGTGGAAGGACGTCCTGAACGTGGGTCATCTTGAACGCTTTCTCGGCCCTCTCTGAATCTTTTTAGCCACTTGTGGACGGTTGGTTCCTTCACAGCATCATCCCCATAAACTGTTCTGAGATCGGCAAAAATTTCACGGCCATTCTTGCCGAGTTTCGAGAGAAACTTGATTACGACGCGCTGCTCTTCAACGGAAGCGGGCTCCATGCCGACGGGGTTTCGTTAAGAGGTAACTTCACAGATGGCGTGACAAGCCAGTTCGCACCGCACGGCGGTCAGACCAGAACTGAAGCATTGTTAGGGACATAAGGAAGGGGTCCTGCGCTTACCTGGCCTCCCCACTCCTCTTTCTCGCATTCCAGAACACTTTTATACGAACTTTCCGGACAGACCTCGTATATATATATATAATTTTTATCTAAGTGTGTCAAAAAAATTTTTGTCATAGATTGATATGCAATATATTTTAGGATTATTGTTTTATTTGCCATATGATATTTTCGAAATACTGCACTTTGTCTCACTGTATTATTTATTTTTTATGAAGTATTTTTTTTTTTATACAACTTAGAATGGCAAACAAGCTGATGGCTCACCTGATGTAAAGTGGTAACCGTCGCCTACAGACATACGCAGTACCATGGACATAACAGAGTATACTGTTTCGCCCATGATACCTTCCATGCATCGCCATTCCTGAGGACTCAGGTGTTTTTCCTCTGTACCCTGTAAATTCACGCCATATCCCACCCTTCAAACCGAAACACAGCCATGCAAACACAACTGCTTCACGGTTGAAACACAAATGGGACAGAGGTACCCAACCAATCGACTTTTGTACAAAGTCTCCCTCTGGTGAAAGAAGATCTCTCCCTCTGGTGAAGACACATGTGAAAGTAGCTTAAGGAATTTTGTTTCCTGCTTGTATTATGAATATTTTATATTGACTTCCATTTCAGATACAAATTCTCTGGAGAGGAAACCGTCGAATACAGATCAGCCAAGTGCGAGCGTTGCGGACAATGAGCAGGAAAGTGAGGGGAAAACCGAAAGACATAGGTAGTGGTAATACTTTTATTTTTTTATGCAACTTAGAATGGCAAACCAACTGACGGCTCACCTGATGGAAAGTGGTAACCGTCGCCTATAGACATGAGCAGTAACATGGACATAACAGAGTATACTGTGCCGTCCATGATAGCATTCATGATTAGAATAACCTGTTCTTAAATATTACTTGAAGTGACAATAAGTATATAGTGACAATAAACATATAGTGACAATGAACATATAGTGACAATAAGTATATATTTTTGACAGTAATACTATTTCTGAACCGATTTTTAGTTTTCTTTCTGCGATCGATAGAGTATAGTAATGTGTTGGTTGAAATCAAATGAAATATTATATATAGCTTAGTAACTACTTGCTCTGTGGTATGTAGGTGTATTGCTTGTTGCGAAGAAAAATCTATAAAAACGTGATTATATCTTTCTCAGTATGCGTCTATAAATCGCTTCGTTCTTTATCTCTTTCACACTCTCTCCCTCAGTCAGTCATAAATAAAGCGACTTTAAATGTAAACGCACAGATATACGGTTTTTAGTAATATTTTAATAATAATATATTCTTTATTGTGCACCATAGAGATGTATACAAGAAGTATTTATACAGAATGTGCATATACAAAAGGCGGCCTTATCGCTAAAAGTAATCTCTTACAGACAACCTGGCATAAAGAATGGATAAGTAAAGAGAGAACGGTAGATGGCACAAGTAAGACACAGTAAATACAAAAAAATAACCAAACAAAATACATAATATTCTAAATATAATTTACATAAAAATGAGATTACAATACATATGTTAAACATACGTATATAATATAAATAAGTTTTACGAGGTACGCTTCTGCCTATCCCTCGACCATAAAGTTCTCTTAGACGCCTCTTACGACACCTATGAGAAAAATGCCGGAAGCACATGACAGATGAATTGCTTATTAGAACATATTTACAAGACAGAAGTATATGAACTTATAATTCTCCTATATGAAATTATAATTACATTTTTATATAATGTTTAGCCAAGACAAGAACTTAATAAACGAAGCCGAAATCACGATCGAACCTGTGGACCAACTGGTCAAGAGTCCGGTGAAGAAACATGGAAGGCACTCATCCATGGATCTGGCAGCCAACGGTAACACTTCCATCACGCAACTGCTGGAGAAATGCGTAGCGGACAGCACGGAAACTCCTCAGCCAAGTGAAGAGAAGGAGGCGAAAGAGGAAGTCAAAGATGGTGAGTTGGTTTAGTTATTGGTATATGTTCAGAGAGCAAGCCACACATTATTTTTTATGTGACTTAGAATGACAAACAAGCTTACCTTTTTTATGCGACTTAGAATGGCAAACAAGCTTACTTTTTATGCGACTTAGAATGGCAAACAAGCTTACCTTTTTATGCGACTTAGAATGGCAAACAAGCTTACTTTTTATGCGACTTAGAATGGCAAACAAGCTTACTTTTTATGCGACTTAGAATGGCAAACAAGCTTACCTTTTTATGCGACTTAGAGTGACAAACAAGCTTACCTTTTTATACGACTTAGAATGGCAAACAAGCTTACTTTTTATGCGACTTAGAGTGACAAACAAGCTTACCTTTTTATACGACTTAGAATGGCAAACAAGCTTACTTTTTATGCGACTTAGAATGACAGCCAACCTTACTTTTTTGCTTAACAAACAAGCTGACGACCCACCTGAAGGAAAGTGGCAACTGTAGTCTATAGACTAGAGAGCATAGCTCTATGTACATCAAACATAGACTAATAAAATTGTCAATTTAACTTTTGTACAGTCTCTCACCAGAGGGAAACTTTGTACAAAAGTCGATTGCTTGGGGACCTCTGTCCCATTCGTGTTTCTACCATGAAGCAGTTATGTTTGCATGGCTGTTTCGGTTTGAAGGGTGGGATATGACGTGAATTTACAGGGTACAGAGAAATAACAACTGAGTCCTCAGGAATGGCAACGCATGGGGGGTATCATGGGTGAAACAGTATGTGTGTGTATTGCTATGTCCATGGTACTGCTCATGTCTATAGGCGACGGTTACCACTTTCCATCAGGTGGGCCGTCAGATTGTTTGCCATTCTGTCGTATATAAAAAAAAAAGTCTATGTACGATTTACAAGTATCAAAACTGTCAAATAAAATTATCCAAATTTCTCTAAGCTGCTAATAGACACGAACAGTACCATGGTCATAACAGAGTATACTGTGTCACCTATGATACCGTTCATAGTAATAAAGATACTTTATATGAACTACTCCATCTGGGAATAGTTTCAAACATACTTTACGTAATTATTGCAGCGGAAGTCCCAGAGCCTGAGGAGACACCTAGCAGCCAACAGGAGACAACCCCTCAACCAGCCGAGTCTGGTGATCAGAAGTTGGAGGAGTACGTGAACCACCGCGGCATCAGGTTCACGCCGCAAGAGGAGCCGCCGCTCCTGCAGCCGTACGGGCTGGTCTGCGTTCGTGAACTCTTCAGGTATATTTTTTTTTATAATACAGTAACTTTTTTGGCCACTGCCTCGTACGCGTTGATTTCAGAAGTAGAAAACATTATGAAATAGACTTTGTTCAAAATTAACCTTTTTATATATTGACAATTGTAGTTTTTTATAAAAAAAGAATATTTATAAACAATTGAAAAAGAACAAAAATAAAATACATATAATACTTGAAGTCAACAGACGGTAATTTTATTTACAATTAATATAAATAATAAATAATACCTATATACAACAAGAACCAGCACATTTTACAAACAGACTTCTTCTAGATGGCAGATAGATAATAAAAATGAGCTCCCTGCCGAGGTTTTCTTAATTTATTACATTAATTTTGGTGAAAAACAAATTGATGAAAAACTTATGAAAACAACTGTAAGTTAATTTCAACTTTATGTTAATAAAAATCTCTTTCCTTTACTGCTTGCTCACGTGCTATTATCCACAGGTTCCTCATATCCCTGTGCAACCCGCTGGACGCGCAGAATACGTCGGCCATGGTCCACCTGGGGCTGTGCCTGGTCGGCACCGCTCTCGAAGTGGGCGCCGACCAGATAGCCAACTATCCCTCCCTTTTGTACCTAGTCAAGGATCCGCTCTGCAGAAACCTGCTGAGTGTAAGTATTGAAGTTAACATGTGAATAGATAATAAAAAGTTTATATGTATGAATTGAAACATAATTATCCAATAAAAAAATTCTTTATTGCACCACTTAAAGAATAAATATATATTAAAAACAAATATTATATATGTATATTACAAAGATAAATATATATTCTACTTATGAAGTACAAAAGACAGTCTTATCGCTAAAGCAATTTTTTTCAGACAACCTTTGGATAAATTGGATCATTATAATAAGATGAATAAGTGTTAATATAAGAACTGAATCCAGTTTACAAAACAAAACAAAAAACAGAAAATTTGTATGATTTTTTATTTTTTATAAGAGAGATTTTCAATTTGTTTGCATTATTATTAATTTTTAAATTTTTTTTTTTTTATATAACTTAGAATGGCAAACTAGCTGACGGCCCACCTGATGGAAAGTGATGAAAAGTAACCATCGCCTATAGACATGTGCAGTACCATGAACATAACAGAGTATACTGTTTCGCCCATGATACCCCCCATGCGTTGCCATTCCTGAGGACTCGGGTGTTATTCCTCTGTACCCAGTAAATTCACGCCATATTCCACCCTTCAAACCGAAACACAGCCATGCAAACACAACTGCTTCACGGTAGAAACACGAATGGGACAGAGGTACCCAAGCAAACGACTTTGAATATTAAAATTAATAAAGTAGCAATAGGGAGATCATATGTTTTGCTTCAATTTTGCAATACAGCAACGTTTAGGGTACAAATTTAATTAATAAAAAAAAAATTAAAAATTAAATAAATTAATAAAATGTAAAAGTAAATTTTGTGTGTTTAAATTGATTATTAAGATTTTTTTTGTCATTGTCATTAATAGAGTTTATTCCTCTATTGATCCTGAATTTATTTTATCATCTATAGGGTCATTTATAAGGCTTAATCTTTTTTTATTATTCAGCATCCAATATTTGTCAAGATAAAACTATTTACAAAACGAAATTCAATGTAACTATGTTATATTTTTTACAGTTACTAGACACAGAGAGAATTTCAATATTCGCTCTCGACCTACAAGTCTCTTTCCTTCTCTTCGAAGCGCTCCGTTTCCATCTGAAATTCCAAATGGAGGCGTTCTTCAAAAAAATTATCGAAATCATATCGACAGACACCACAAAAGCTATATACGAGCTGAAGGAAATCCACCATTTAGCTTTGGAAAGTCTGGCCCAAATGTTTAGAATACCTGGACTGTGCGCTGAATTGTATTTAAACTACGACTGTGACATTTATTGTATGAATGTATTTGAGGAAATAACGAAATTGTTATCGAAAAATGTGGTGTCGTCGACGGCTTATAACATACATACGTTGTCTCTCGAAGCGTTGCTGACCATAATAGAGGCAATAGAGATCGGAAGCCAGGCGAAAGACGAGTGCGAGAGCGAGACGCAGATACAGATTCTTGAGGAGGAGAAAGAGAAGAAGTACGGGCGAGGAGGCCACGTGTCACTAGAGCTGGGGGGAATGGACGAGTCGGCTGGCAGCGAATACGCCGCCCACGATATCAGCGAATACTTTGTGGGGGGCAGGATGGGTCGACACAAGCCTTATACAGATCTGCCCACGGAGGCCGAGTTGGATAACATTAGGAATTTGAAGAAGGTGAGATTTCTTTATAATTTTTTTTTCAAGAAGTGCGACCAAGGAATTTGTATTTATGTGAATTGCTACACAAGTTGACTGCCCATCTGATGGAACGTGAGAACTGTCGCCTATAGACATAAGCAATACTGTGGACATAACAGAGTATACTGTTTCGCCCATGATACCCCTCATGCGTTGCCACATTAAAATACTATAAATACTTTTTTTTTTATACAACGTAGAATGGCAAACAAGCTGACGGCCCACCTGATGGAAAGTGGTAATCGTCGCCTATAGACATGAGCGGTGCCATGGACATAACAGAGTATACTGTTTCGCCCATGATACCCCCCATGCGTTGCCATTCCTGAGGACTCAGATATTATTCCTCTGTACCCTGTAAATTCACGCCTTATCCCACCCTTCATATCGAAACACGAGCCATGCAAACAACTGCTTCACGGTAGAAACACGAATGGTACAGACGCACCCAAGCAATCGACTTTTGTACAAAGTATCCCTTTGGTGACATTTACATTAAATAAGTATTTATTTAATTGTATAAATAAGGAATTAAGAATCAAAGGTTTATTACATAACATTATGGAACTCCTCCATCCAGTGGGTGACACAAGGCACTGAGCTGTTCAACCAGAAGCCGGAGCGCGGCATCGAGTTCCTGCAGGAGCACGGCGTACTCAAGACGCCGCTCGACCCGCGGGAGGTCGCGCTCTTCCTCAGGGAGAACCCCGATTTGGACAAGAAGATGATTGGTGAGTCGCTAATTGATACATCTTGGATCTTCATCATATCAGCTTTTAACTGGCCATTGCTGTACATTAGCATCCTTGGAGGGTTTCGCCAGTAGTTGCCACGCTTAGTTGGCGGATTGGCAACCGCATCCAGCACGCTAGATCGTAGTCGGTTATCTGTTTGTCCAAGGTCATGGCCACGACTGACACCCCTAGTATGCACACTTTATTATAAATGTACTTTTTTTTAATGGATGATAATGGAATGGTAACCCCGCCTGCGCTAACGGTATACACTATCGGGTCACCAATGAGGGATGATAGGTGAGGATGAAAAGATAGGTCAGTTAGTTCATCGTGGTGAATACACTTGGAATTCAGTAAAATGGTTTCCAGGGGGGGGAACATGTGGAGGTCCATCTGGTTGGGTATATTGCTAGCAATGGGGCTCTTAGTCTCCATTAATAACAATCCCCCGGAATATAAGCCGTGATTGTTTGTGCACCCAGGCGAGTACATCTGTAAGCGGTCGTCGCGCGGCGAGGCCGAGGCCGGCGAGGGTGGCGAGGCCGGCGAGGCCGAGGCGGAGGCGGCGCCGAGCGTGCTGGGCGCGTTCGCGGACAGCTTCGACTACACCGGCCTGCGCATCGACCAGGCGCTGCGGCTCTACCTCGAGACCTTCCGCCTGCCCGGCGAGGCGCCGCTCATCTTCCTCGTCATGGAGCGCTTCGCCGACCGCTGGCATGTGAGTCGCTCGCCTGCTGCTGCACACCCACAGTAGTGGCCTTACATTATGTACTCGTAGTGTAGTGACTCCATAGAAATGCTTCGAGAAAAACAGCTCTTTTTCATAAATTTTTTCGTGATAAATAGTTATGAGCGATTCCTTTATAATTTCTATATTTTGTCGTATAAATTTAATGCATCTTTTTAATGCGTAAATATTTATTTTATTTATTAAATAATACGTCAAGATGCATTTTGTACGTATATATATATATATATATATATATATATATATATATATATATATATATATATATATATATATATATATATATATATATATATAGGATACTGATAAAAAAAACAAGTCAGCTAATTTGAAAATTAGGTTATAAAATGTTGACCCGTTTTTGAGGCTCGATGCTCTGTTTATATAATCTAAGTTAGTAGTTTATATGTTTTTTTTTACACTGTTCTAGAGTATTCAATTATATAAACGCTTTTAATAATAATTAATTACTATATATTTATTGTCCCCCCAATGGGGAGGTCTATGTTCAGCAGTGGACACTTAACGGATATCATGATATTTACCTACAGAGCACAAACGGCGAGCCATTCGCGAACACGGACGCGGCGTTTCGTCTCGCGTACGCGGTGATCATGCTCAACATGGACCAGCACAACCACAACGCGAAGAAACTCAACGTGCCCATGACCGTCGACGACTTCGTGAAGAACCTCAGGGGGTGCAACGGCTCCGGCGACTTCGACCAGGCCATGCTGGAGGCGATCTTTCACTCCATAAAGTGAGTCGGTCGTTATGATATTTTATTTATTGTTTTAAAGTCGCTTTCAAGGTAGAGAATTTGCTGTTTTATTTATCACACTTTGAATCTCACACCAGAGGGAGACTTTGTACAAAAGTCGATTGCTTGGGTACCTCTGTCCCATTCGTGTTTCAACCGTGAAGGAATTGTGTTTGCATGGCTGTGTTTCGATTTGAAGGGTGGGATATGGCGTGAATTTACTAGGTACAGAGGGATAACACCTGAGTCCTCAGGAATGGCAATGCATGGGGGGTATCATGGGCGAAACAGTATACTCTGTTATGTCCATGATACTGCTCTTGTCTATAGGCGACGGTTACCACTTTCCATCAGGTGGGCTGTCAGCTTGTTTGTCATTCTAAGTTGTATATAAAAAAAATGAATTTGTTTATATTTTTTAATTTCAGTTTTTTTTTTTTGCTTTGATAAATTGATAGTTCACCTGATAGAAAATAATGTTATGTAAACAAAAATAGTATGAAATTCACAAAATTATAATATTATTAATAGTAGACTAATACATTGCCATTGAACAAGTTCTTATTCACATCCTTAAGAATAGATATGTTTTAACTTAGATTAGGTTTTGTTAAGAATTGTAGCTTTAATAAATTTCGCCTGGCAACAATATCGTAAAAAAAAGTCTTGTCTGTTGTTATCGAATGCGTCGGTAGAAAGTGCGTTCGTTGTCGTCGTTCCCGTTTTCGAATATTATCGCGCGCGTGCATATATTGCCGCGAATATCGTACAAATTAATATATATCGTTTCGTATCGCTTTTAATTATATCACACATAACCAAGAGGCTGATTGAGAGGAGGGCATTGCACTGCTGGTCGGTTCAAGGCGGTGGATAGGTAACCCGGATCTGAGGGTAAGTTCGAACGAGCCAGAAGTACTGGGAAGCCTGAAGCCAGAACCGAATCCTGCTAACTACAAAGCTTCAATTCAGTGGTCTCCACCTTCATTATTCTCTTGTGTTCATTATTTACCTACCATCATCGTAGTAACTACATACAGTCTATTGATAACCGTTGCCGGACGATTAATTTAAATTTGTAACATTTTATTAACAGGTTAACAGGTTTATTACAAAAACAATTAGAAAATACAATTAAAATACATTAGGATAAGGTATAAATTGAACTATGGACATACAGGTATAAAAGGCGGTCCTATTTCTGGGGCAATTTCTTACAGACAACCTTTGGTAAATGGAGGACAGAATAAATTGGGATAGAATAGAAATAATATAATTTAGATTGTTTTTCGCATGTAATTGTTGCATTGATGCTTGTAACTCTGTTGATACGCGGGTGGGTGTAAGTGGATCCGCATGGGGGCGTATCGCCTTATATTGGTGCGTAGTGTAGCGTGTCAGCGTTAACAAGTCTTAAGTCTAACTATTTATTGTATACCCAGTACTGTAGTTTTTATCATTTTTCATCCTAATCTAATATATAAAATTCTCGTGTCGCGGTGTTTGTTACCAAACTCCTCCGAAACGGCTTTACCGATATTTATGAATGTTTGTGTGCATATTGGGCAGGTCTGAGAATCGGCCAACATCTATTTTTCATACCCCTCAATGATAACAGTGACCCACCTCTAAATATTTTATTTTATGACATTTTTTTTTTATTTTTATTTTATTATGACTTAGCATTGAAAAACACATACAAATTCGATCAATCCCTGTCTTTTAATCGCGATTTTTATATGTCGCAATAGGGTTACAAGATGGCAATTGAATATAATAATTGCAGTAGGATAAATTTTCATGTATAGTTCTCGAAATAATGTATATGTTAAAACAACGTTTGCCGAGTCAGCTAGTAGTTATATAAAATATGAATACGCGTGTCGTGTCGGCCTTTAATTGAGGCAGAATTTTATAATACCCATTTATAGTAACCATATTATCGTTTAAGTAAATATAAATGTATGGTATGTTGGTTGGCCTTAAATAAATAAATAAACGATCGGCGGTGGTCGTGGGCAGGAACGAGGAGATGGTGATGCCGGCGGAGCGCGTGGGGCCGGTGCGCGAGGCGTACCTGTGGCGCGTGCTGCAGCGGCGCGGCGCCGCCGCCGGCCGCTACACGGCGGCGCCGCGCCGCCACCACCACCACGCGCGCCTCTTCGCCGTCGCCTGCCCGCCCACCGTACGTACCTCGCCCGCTCGCTCCGTACCTCGTCCGGCTCCTGCAGGACCAAATTGAAGCATTCGTATCTGTGATCAACTTACTAGTTGATCATAGATAGGAGTTATTTCCGTTTGTTTTTTTTATCAATGGAATGAAATGTCTTTATTTGCATTAAATAGTTAACGTTATTAACAGAAACTACGTAGTATTAAGTTTGGGACTTATTTAATTGCCTTAGACATTAGATAAATATGTAAATATTATTACATATTAAAAATTTAATTTATATTATATCGTTATATGCAAGGTCACTTGTATAATTTATATTTAGAATAATAATAAAGAAAAATAGTAAATAATAATTAAAATGTCAATTAAATGTATAACAAAGAACATAACAAAATTATGAATTAAGAAAACGTCAATTAAAGGGGTTAAATAATTGAAATGACAGAAATACTATATAAGATATTTCTTAGTATTATAAAAGAGTTTGTTTTGACATTTAATCGGTTAAATAATATGATAAAATGATAAAGAAGAAAGTGGGATGTGTGAAACAGAAATAATTGTGTAGGTGAGCGCGCTGTCGGCGGCGTTCGAGCGCGCGCCGCCGCCGCCGGCGGGCGAGGCGGCGGCGGCGGCGGCGGCGGCGGGGGAGGCGGCGGGCGGCGGTGGCGGCGGCGGGGAGGAGGGCGCGGCGCTGGCGGCGCTGCGCGGGCTGCAGCGCTGCGCGGCGCTGCAGGCGCGGCTGCCGTGCGACACGCTCACGCTCGACACGCTGCTGCTCACGCTCTGCAAGTTCTCCGGCCTGCTCGCGCACCACCACGCCTCCTACGTCGCCATAGGTCACCGCGCGCCTCGCCATATACACCTTGCATAAACATACCTCATTTCAATTCATTCTAATTAAATTGAAAGAGACTCCTTTGCATTTAGAAGCAGCGAGTCTACCATGAAATGAAATTCCGAAATTTTGGACTCAGTTTCGTGTTTTTGTTTATACTAAAATCGGACCAATAAATGCAGTTTAGCATTTCATTCGTCATACATCTTATCATAAAAATTCAAAGAAATAATATTTTAACATTTTAAATATTTCCAAACGGCATGTATTATGTAATTTTAACATCAAATTTCTTTTTCGTTTGGCTTCGAAATTTCGGAAAATATTTCATGGTAGGCCCCTTAAATCTCCAAATAATGAAAAGGCTTCATTAAGAAGGTGAGATGGGAAAAGTGAGACGAAGGCCCCCAGAGAGACATAATTGAAAACTAATTATTTAAAAAAAAAAGACAATTATTTCTGGCTGAAACAATAAAATATTTTAATTCCATTTAGTTTCTAAAAATGTCTATGGAGCCCTATTAAATATCACTATCACCAAGGGCCCATTTATTGGTATCGTTTGTCCCCCTTGATGAAGCGTATTTCCATTAGCGACGGTCAGTGTAGTGCAGCGTGTGTTTGCGGTGCAGGCGTGTCGCTGGGCCAGTCCGCGAAGGCGCAGCTGGCGCTGCAGCGCGCGTGCGCGGTGGCGGCGCGGCACGCCGACTGCGTGCGCAGCGCGTGGCGCCACCTGCTCGACATCCTCGCCGCGCTCTACGTCGCGCGCCTGCTGCCCAAGGTTACACCTGCACCTTCACTACTTCAACCACAACCACAACCATAACCACATATCTAATATATAAAATTCTCGTGTCGCGGTGTTTGTTACCGAACTCCTCCGAAACGGCATTACCGATTTTTATGAAACTTTATGTGCACATCGGGTAAGTCTGAGAATCGGCCAACATCTATTTCTCATACTCCTGTCTGATAAAGGTGACCCACCTCTAAATATTTTGTTTTTTTATCAAAATTTACTATTTTTATTTTATTATGGTTTAGCATTGGAAAAATACTTACAACCTAAAATTTTTACCCTTTTACGATCAACCCCTGTATCTAAATCGCGATTGTTATAAGCCGAAATAGGGTTGCAAGATGGCAATCGAATAATTGTGGTACGATAAATTTTCATGTATCATTCTAGAAATAATATATATGGTAAAACAACGTTTGCCGAGACAGCCAGTCGCTCTATAAAAAAAAAAAAAAACATTCAATCCTAAACGCACTTACACGCACGCCCATGCACAAACACACACGCAACCGCGCGTGCACACAGTGATCTCATTTTAATAGATGGGAGTAATATATAATTATATTGATAAATCGAGGTTCTATATACCTACTATTGTTACAATAATAAATATATTATATATTTATTATTGTAACAATAGTAGGTATATAGAGCTGTTTTTATTGTGTTATATATTCAATTTTTTTTTTACTGAGTATTATTTAGTTTATCTTTAATTGTACGGTTATTACCCTTATACATTCTACAGTTTTCTTTCAGCTTCTCAAAGGTTGACTGTAAGAGATCCCTTTATGGGATAAGTCCGCCATTGTATACTAAATCATTTACTAGTATTTAATCTGAGTTATGTACAATAAAGATTTTTACAATTACAATATTAAGTGTCGGTTATTCAATATATAAGATCGAAATAAATATAGATATCTTACTAGTATGGGCGATTTCAAAATGTGTAATGACTTTTCTGGTATTAATGTTCAGAAGAACCCAACATATAGATATCGGAACGATACCGATATTACCCATGCCTGAATGTTAATTCGTTTGTGTTGTACGGCAGTGCATGGTGGAAGTGGAGGATTATTTAGCGCCAGGCGGCCGCGTGGCGCTGATCCGCGCGACGCCGCGTGGATCGGACACCGGTCTGTTGTCCAGCATTTATTCGTACATTGCGCTCGGGGAGACAGGTACGTTACATATCATACTTATGCGAGGAGGGTGGCTACCTGGCCCAATTCCGATTTGCTGTACAATAAATTAAATAGAATTGTTAAAATTTCTCAGATGTATAATAAAAAGCTAGCACACTTTTATTTATATCATTAAATAAAAATTAGAATTTCTACTTCTGGCGTCGTGTTACATTTATTTTTATATTAGATTATTCAACACGACACTACTATGGCGATTACATTTTTGTTATCGCTAGATGGCGCTATATAATAAAAATTATCCAAGTTTATAGCACCAGGACATGAAAATAGACATGAAATAGGATGACTTTTTAGTTACAATACCATTCTTTATTATTATTTATCGACAGGCATACGAGCTCCAACGCCACACGAAAAAGCCCTAATAGAAATTGCCACAGAATGCGTCGCCAAATGTAACCTGCCTAGTCTACTAGTAACGGAGACGAAGTTCCTACAAGTAGAGAGCTTACAGGTACACAAATTACATGACATGTCTTTATTTTAAGTATAACATACATATGATGTTTTATAATATAACATAGCACAGCATATAATAGTGTCATTTTACACATTTCATATATTCCTCCCACACTCCACCAAAATTTTGTCACCAGGAACTTATTCGAGCCATGATAGCGGTGGGAACACCACCAGATCCAGAAAGTCTACAGATGAATCCACAGCTGGAAGAGATCACTATCTTCTTCCTAGAGTTATTGGGGCAGACACTTATACAAAATAGGTTAGTTTTACTGTATATCTTTAAATTCAAATTTGGAAGATCTATCTATCATTTTATTGTAAAGTTTGAAGCTCTTCTTTTATATTTTATCATTAACTAATGATTAAAGATCTTGAGATACCATTTTAATTTTCGACTTCTCTATGGTTCGTCTGCAAACCGTCGTGGTTAATTTCGGATGAATTTGTCACGAAGTGCTAACTAATCTGACCTCGTTTTTACTTATTATTCTTTAATAATCTGCAAGTCAAAATCAATAATCCAGACGCTGTTAGCATTCCTGTAACTAACTGTAAAGCTCACCCAGTTAATGAAATAAATAAATGAATTTAATTTTCATTCATAAAAAAAGCGCAACACGGCGGAAAGCTCTCTTTTCCATAAAAATACATGAATAAAAGTGATGTACGTGCAGGGATCGTTTACAAGCGACATGGGAGGAGGCGAGCGCGCACATTACGCGCGTGGTGTTGTGGGCGGCGACCGCGGCGGGCGGCGGCGGGGGAGGCGGGGGAGGCGAGGCGCTGCGGCGCGCGGTGACGGCGCTGCTGCGGACGGCGGCGCGGCTCATGCGCTGCGATCAAGCCGCTGCGCCCGCGCTGCACCACCTGCGCATACTCTTCCAGCTGCCCTACAAGCTCTTCTACCACCAGGCCGAAGTCGTATGTGTCGCTTTTATTGTACGCTGCTTAACTTATTGTCATATACTTTTCCATCGTTGTTTTTATGTAATATTTCTTAAATTGTTGTTTTTCCTAAGCATTGGAAAAGTAAACAATACGACGTATCACCACTCCTTTGCATTATGAGAATGTCACAAAAACAACCAGGAAGAAAGCATCAATGTAAAGAATGAAAACTTGTACCAAGTCACCCGGGCTAAATGGCTTGAATATGAATATTAAACCTGTGAAATAATAATATAATTAAATAGTAGTATATTATGTACGGACATAAACTCTTTATAACCGGTTATTAATAGACTTTTAAAACAAGTTCAAATGTACATACACAATTGTAAATAAATTTTCCATCTTCTGTATTATTTCTTATTTCTATTAGTGATTACAAATATGATAGCAAGGTTAGTTCATACACAGATATCTTGCGGCCTGTACGAGCTAGTGAAAACGTCGGCTCAGAACGTACACAGCGCGGCGGACTGGGATGTGGTGTTTGCACTGTTGTGTGCAGCCGGTGCCGGCGCTTGGCCGCGGGATGCTTCCACCTCGCTCAGCTCTGGTAATGGTTAATCGTTTTTCATTATTTCACACTAAAATCTTTAACTCTCCACTATTGAACATAGGCTTTTCCCTACAGGTGGGGGGGGGGGGGTAGTTATTACCCCAGTTAGGTATCAGTTATGTATTAAGAAGAACAATGCTTCCCATCCTTCGATCATTATGCTCCCTTAGTCGCCTCTAGAATATAGAAATAGAAATAGAGGAGTGGTTATTTCTGCCTAAACCATACGCCAAGAACTTTCCATAATTCAATTTCAAATTTACATAATGTACAATTGACTTCAAATTCTGTATTCTGCTACATGCCTCACTTGAGAAATCTATTTTAAAATATACCTTAATAGGTCTCAGAATTATTCTGGTCATACAGTCATATCATCTAAGTAGGTCCGAGAACTGTGCCTTGTAGTACACCACAAGTCCGAGAATTGTTCCCATTTGATACATCTTACTTGAACTCGAGAAATACTTATGATTCTTACGACTAGGTATAAATAGATTATTCTTTAAACACCAGTATATTAATAACAGAATATTTGTGCAGCATCAAGTCGCTCTGAAGATTCCGAAGACGAGAGTGAGAGGCGCCCGACGAGCATGTCCTCAGAGAGCGAATTGTCGCACTCGCCACAGACGCAGGGATGGATTCTAGTAAGTATATTGACAGATGATCTGTCATTTCGTTGACGTAACGCCGGGAACATGCGCCCGACATCTGTTAGGTCGGTGGTATGTCGGTCTCCGCTCGACGCAAAATCGGCACGCTGTTTGTATTGCACGTTGTCTTGTGTGACGCGCGACACTCGGCGGATGGTCAGCGCTGACTGCTCGCGTTTTGTCTCGATAGAACTGTATCGCGTGGTCTGTATTCAGGTGAAGAACGAGCCGGCGCTGGAGTGCGAGTCGCTGGAGGGCGAAGTCCGGCTGCGCGCGTGCAGCGGCGCGGCGCTGGCGCGGTGCTGCGAGGCGCTGGCGCTGGTGGTGCGCGACGTGGCGCACGTGACGCCGTACAACTGCCGCGCCGCCGTGCGCGCCGTGCGCCTGCTCGCCGCCGCCGCCGCCCGCGCCGGTACCCACCACTGCTCTCTCCTCACTGTACACTGCACTGTACACTGTACACTGTACACTGTACACTGTACACTGTACGCTGGCGCTGGTGGTGCGCGACGTGGCGCACGTGACGCCGTACAACTGCCGCGCCGCCGTGCGCGCCGTGCGCCTGCTCGCCGCCGCCGCCGCCCGCGCCGGTACCCACCACTGCTCTCTCCTCACTGTACACTGCACTGTACACTGTACACTGTACACTGTACACTGTACACTGTACGCTGGCGCTGGTGGTGCGCGACGTGGCGCACGTGACGCCGTACAACTGCCGCGCCGCCGTGCGCGCCGTGCGCCTGCTCGCCGCCGCCGCCGCCCGCGCCGGTACCCACCACTGCTCTCTCCTCACTGTACACTGCACTGTACACTGTACACTGTACACTGTACGCTGGCGCTGGTGGTGCGCGACGTGGCGCACGTGACGCCGTACAACTGCCGCGCCGCCGTGCGCGCCGTGTGCCTGCTCGCCGCCGCCGCCGCCCGCGCCGGTACCCACCACTGCTCTCTCCTCACTGTACACTGCTGTACACTGTACACTGTACGCTGGCGCTGGTGGTGCGCGACGTGGCGCACTGCCGCGCCGCCGTGCACGCCGTGCGCCTGCTCGCCGCCGCCGCCGCCCGCGCCGGTACCCACCACTGCTCTCTCCTCACTGTACACTGCACTGTACACTGTACACTGTACACTGTACACTGTACACTGTACGCTGGCGCTGGTGGTGCGCGACGTGGCGCACGTGACGCCGTACAACTGCCGCGCCGCCGTGCGCGCCGTGCGCCTGCTCGCCGCCGCCGCCGCCCGCGCCGGTACCCACCACTGCTCTCTCCTCACTGTACACTGCACTGTACACTGTACACTGTACACTGTACACTGTACACTGTACGCTGGCGCTGGTGGTGCGCGACGTGGCGCACGTGACGCCGTACAACTGCCGCGCCGCCGTGCGCGCCGTGCGCCTGCTCGCCGCCGCCGCCGCCCGCGCCGGTACCCACCACTGCTCTCTCCTCACTGTACACTGCACTGTACACTGTACACTGTACACTGTACACTGTACACTGTACGCTGGCGCTGGTGGTGCGCGACGTGGCGCACGTGACGCCGTACAACTGCCGCGCCGCCGTGCGCGCCGTGCGCCTGCTCGCCGCCGCCGCCGCCCGCGCCGGTACCCACCACTGCTCTCTCCTCACTGTATACTGCACTGTACACTGTACACTGTACGCTGGCGCTGGTGGTGCGCGACGTGGCGCACGTGACGCCGTACAACTGCCGCGCCGCCGTGCGCGCCGTGCGCCTGCTCGCCGCCGCCGCCGCCCGCGCCGGTACCCACCACTGCTCTCTCCTCACTGTATACTGCACTGTACACTGTACACTGTACGCTGGCGCTGGTGGTGCGCGACGTGGCGCACGTGACGCCGTACAACTGCCGCGCCGCCGTGCGCGCCGTGCGCCTGCTCGCCGCCGCCGCCGCCCGCGCCGGTACCCACCACTGCTCTCTCCTCACACTGTACACTGTACACTGTACACTGTACGCTGGCGCTGGTGGTGCGCGACGTGGCGCACGTGACGCCGTACAACTGCCGCGCCGCCGTGCGCGCCGTGCGCCTGCTCGCCGCCGCCGCCGCCCGCGCCGGTACCCACCACTGCTCTCTCCTCACTGTACACTGCACTGTACACTGTACACTGTACACTGTACACTGTACACTGTACGCTGGCGCTGGTGGTGCGCGACGTGGCGCACGTGACGCCGTACAACTGCCGCGCCGCCGTGCGCGCCGTGCGCCTGCTCGCCGCCGCCGCCGCCCGCGCCGGTACCCACCACTGCTCTCTCCTCACTGTACACTGCACTGTACACTGTACACTGTACACTGTACACTGTACACTGTACGCTGGCGCTGGTGGTGCGCGACGTGGCGCACGTGACGCCGTACAACTGCCGCGCCGCCGTGCGCGCCGTGCGCCTGCTCGCCGCCGCCGCCGCCCGCGCCGGTACCCACCACTGCTCTCTCCTCACTGTACACTGCACTGAACACTGTACACTGTACACTGTACACTGTACGCTGGCGCTGGTGGTGCGCGACGTGGCGCACGTGACGCCGTACAACTGCCGCGCCGCCGTGCGCGCCGGTACCCACCACGCTCTCTCGCCGCTGTACACTGTACGCTGGCGCTGGTGGTGCGCGCCGTCGCCGTGACGCCGTACAACTGCCGCGCCGCCGTGCGCGCCGCCTGCTCGCCGCCGCCGCCGCCCGCGCCGGTACCCACCACTGCTCTCTCCTCACTGTACACTCTCTCCTCACGCTGGCGCTGGTGTACGTGGCGCACGTGTACACTGTACACTGTACACTGTACGCTGGCGCTGGTGGTGCGCGACGTGGCGCACGTGACGCCGTACAACTGCCGCGCCGCCGTGCGCGCCGTGCGCCTGCTCGCCGCCGCCGCCGCCCGCGCCGGTACCCACCACTGCTCTCTCCTCACTGTACACTGCACTGTACACTGTACACTGTACACTGTACACTGTACACTGTACGCTGGCGCTGGTGGTGCGCGACGTGGCGCACGTGACGCCGTACAACTGCCGCGCCGCCGTGCGCGCCGTGCGCCTGCTCGCCGCCGCCGCCGCCCGCGCCGGTACCCACCACTGCTCTCTCCTCACTGTACACTGCACTGTACACTGTACACTGTACACTGTACACTGTACACTGTACGCTGGCGCTGGTGGTGCGCGACGTGGCGCACGTGACGCCGTACAACTGCCGCGCCGCCGTGCGCGCCGTGCGCCTGCTCGCCGCCGCCGCCGCCCGCGCCGGTACCCACCACTGCTCTCTCCTCACTGTACACTGCACTGTACACTGTACACTGTACACTGTACACTGTACACTGTACGCTGGCGCTGGTGGTGCGCGACGTGGCGCACGTGACGCCGTACAACTGCCGCGCCGCCGTGCGCGCCGTGCGCCTGCTCGCCGCCGCCGCCGCCCGCGCCGGTACCCACCACTGCTCTCTCCTCACTGTACACTGCACTGTACACTGTACACTGTACGCTGGTGTGCTCAACTATATTATGTCATTTATGGTGGTCACAAATATACGTGTCCATATATGTCATACTTGTCTTTCAGTTGGGGCCATTCCAAACGTTCTAAATCAAACAGACCTTTTTCGCTTCCTCTAGGTAAAAAAACCAAGTCACGAGACGGCAGAAAACAAAGGCCTAGTTCGGCGAAACGGCGCTACGATGACTCCAGCGACGAAGAACTCGACACGCTTGATCAATACCATTTAGTTAGCATACAGGTTAGTTCCACTATTGTTTTTAAATATTTAATGCAATTAACCATTACAAAGTTATTGCGATATCTCTGCCTATGATTCCGACATAGAAAGGGTCACCACTTGTTTTCCCATGGGTGTCATAAGAGGCGACTAAAGAAAGTTGTTAGTGGAGAGATGAGCAATAGTGTCCCTCTTAAAACATCACCAAAAGCCTAACTGTGGTTGTCAACCCGCCTGCCAAGTATGGCAACTACTGATAAAACCCTCCTCATGAGGGAGGTTTATGTTTATCAATGGACAATTAACGACTGATATGATGATGATGAATATATTATAGGATGATTAATGGTTTCTAGAAACTAACATTTTTTTTATTTAGTATGTGACAATGCTATTCTAAAATTCTCCGTGTAATTTTTGCTCTCAATTTTGCAATATTCGCTTCAACAATCACCGACAACTCTCCAGCGAGCTGTCCAAACGGTCCTTCGAGCCGGATAAGAAATGGCCACTTTTCATCAATTTTTTTTCATGCAATAATGTTTTAGCTGCTGGACCTAATGCACACGCTTCATAGTCGCACCGCCCAGATCTTCAAGTGGTGGCGTGATGAAGCCGACCAAGGACAAGGTATTGTGCACAATTACAGAGTACAGAGGCATAACACCTTAGTGATAATGCATAATAAATCTTTATTAACAAATTAGTTTTTTTGCCAGCTATTTCGTACGTTGTAGATTTCAGAAGTAAGAAAATTAATGAAATAGCCAGAACAAACATGCAGATGGACAAATTTTCAATAAAATATTGTTCTGGACTCTATTGATCCAATTAAGACCCTTCATATAAATCTTTATTAAATATATTAGAAAGATAGTGGGATACATCGTTACACATTTTGTCCCAATTTGTAACTGGTACCATTTACCATTAGGTGATCTATCCTTTTTTGCCATTTAAGGTTGCATATAAATATTCCGCATTTTGGGTAATTTACAACCTTTACAACAGACTTTAAAAAGAGTAAGGATTTCAATTTGTTTTTTTTTTTATTTATATAGGTGCGGAGGAATACGATCTGTGGGAGGTAGCGTGGATGCCACTCTTACAAGGCATCGCGGAGTTCTGTACTGACAGACGGAAACAGGTAAGGGATCTTGTTTTTAGACGACTTCAAAAAAGGACTAGGTTCAGAATTAAATTGTAATTTTTTTATCTTTAACAAATTTTAGAACTTCATTAATTATAAACCGAATTGGAATTTTTTTTTTATCTGAAAGGATATATTTTCTGTTTAGTCCAATAGAAATTTTATCATAATTGGTTTCGTAGTTTGGTGTTTAAATTAAAATAATCGATTCATGGTATGCTTAATTTAACGTCGTGTGGTCCCAGCATAGAATAGGCCAATATAGCAAAGGAAGGCCTTTCCCGTGGGTGTCGTAAGAGGTGACTAACGGAGGGCGAGGGATGGGCAGCAGCGTCTCTCATAAAACATCTCTAAAAACTTAACTGCGGTTGTTAACCCGCCTGCCAAGCGTGGCAACTACTGGCAAACTCCCCTTATGAGGAAGGCTCATGTCCAACAGTGGACAGTTAATGGCTGAAACAATAATGCTTAATTTAGTTTTGTTGCAGTTGAAGTTGTTACCGTGGTCGATGATCGGCCTGAGGCATATTTCCCCTTGACTGAGGGCTAGGGACTGAGTGAGGCTTTCAGCTACGCGCAAAGACATCTCTGGTCACGGCATATACGCCTTATCTTTGTGGCCAGGCGTTTTTTGAATTATTTTCTAAAAATTTAGAAAAAAATTATGTGGTACTAGCCTAAACTTTTGAAGGCATCCGGTAAAGAGTAACGCGAGTAAGGTCGTGATTCGATGGCGGTGCAGGTGGCGAACAGCGCGATCGCGTACCTGCAGCGCGCGCTGCTGGTGCCGGGGCTGGCGGGGCTGGCGGCGGGCGGCTGGGAGGCGTGCTTCCAGCGCGTGCTGTTCCCGCTGCTCGAGCGCCTGCTGCGCCGCCCGCCGCCCGCCGCGCCGCTGCTGCCCGCGCGCGCCAACACCATCATGTGCAAGGTACGCCCGCGATCCCCTGCACGTGCTGCCCGCCTCTCGCGCAACAATCTTCACAACTTCTTTACAGTATTATTAAAAAACTCTGCAGCTTTTCTATATTTAAAAGATTCTAAATTTAATGTCACGCGTGTTCGATATTCAAATTGATAATTAAAATTTTTTTCAGCCCAATTTCCCGCCACAAACTCTACATTTAATTAACTATAACATTCCAAATTTAATTTTATATTGAATATCGTACATGTTCGGTATTCAAATCAGTAATTCGAAAATAAAATCTTAATTATATAGATAGGGCATTGTGTGTAAAAATACATGCCAATATTTAGTCAGTTTGCCATTTGGCTAACTAAATTTGACTCATGTATATTTTAAATCAAAACAAAACGTGCCATTTTTTATATTACATGTACATTACATTTTTTTATAGTACATGTAACAAATAAATGCATATCTCGGCCGCGCATATCATACGTCGTAAATATTATATCGTGTGTCGTCGTCTGCCGTGGCGGCAGGTGTTCCTGCAGCACCTGGCGGCGCTGAGCGCGCGCGCGTCGTTCGCGGCGCTGTGGGCGCGCGTGCTGGAGCTGCAGCGCGCGCTGCTGGCGCCGCCCGCGCACGACGCGCTCACCGAGGCCGCGCTCGAGGCGCTCAAGAACATGCTGCTCGTCATGGACTCCGTCAAGGTCACTAGCTCACTACTCACTACTCACTACTCACTACTCACTACTCACTCGCACACCTACTCGTTCGCGGCGCTGTGGGCGCGCGTGCTGGAGCTGCAGCGCGCGCTGCTGGCGCCGCCCGCGCACGACGCGCTCACCGAGGCCGCGCTCGAGGCGCTCAAGAACATGCTGCTCGTCATGGACTCCGTCAAGGTCACTAGCTCACTACTCACTACTCACTACTCACTACTCACTACTCACTCGCACACCTACTCGTTCGCGGCGCTGTGGGCGCGCGTGCTGGAGCTGCAGCGCGCGCTGCTGGCGCCGCCCGCGCACGACGCGCTCACCGAGGCCGCGCTCGAGGCGCTCAAGAACATGCTGCTCGTCATGGACTCCGTCAAGGTCACTAGCTCACTACTCACTACTCACTACTCACTACTCACTACTCACTCGCACACCTACTCGTTCGCGGCGCTGTGGGCGCGCGTGCTGGAGCTGCAGCGCGCGCTGCTGGCGCCGCCCGCGCACGACGCGCTCACCGAGGCCGCGCTCGAGGCGCTCAAGAACATGCTGCTCGTCATGGACTCCGTCAAGGTCACTAGCTCACTACTCACTACTCACTACTCACTACTCACTACTCACTCGCACACCTACTCGTTCGCGGCGCTGTGGGCGCGCGTGCTGGAGCTGCAGGTCACTAGTTCACTCCGTCAAGGTCACTAGCTCACTACTCACTCGCACACTCGCTTGTGGGATAAAAATATAATGGTAACCCTCCTGTGCTATTGCTAAACACTGGCGGGATACCAGTGAGGAACGAATCTACCAAGAATTGATCGCGAGAAGATCGACAGAGTCTTCTGACAATAGGCCTGTTTGTCCCCTCGCAATATTTATTTCAATCAATAACCATATATAGGAATAAACAATAATTATATTTTTAATATTGTAGATATTCAGCAATGGAGATGGGTACAACGACCTTTGGTATTTAACGTGGGACAAGATTGGAGAGTTCCTGCCAAATTTGAAAGAAGAATTATTCCCCGAAGGTATTTATTTTATTCTGTATAAGGTCTTTAAAGCCCATCCAAGAATATAGAAATTCCCGCCATATTGCCATTTTTTTTTTAACTATTTTTTTCATAGCAAAGGAAACATTAAATTTATCGTTTACTTATCATGCAAGCATAACTATATTAGTTTTGTTTACATATGAATTTCGAAAATTACACAGGATTATAGTGTATTAGTTTATAGTTTTTTTTGTTTGATGGTCGAGGGATGGGCAGCAGCTTCCCTCTTTAAATATCAAAGTCTAACTGCGTTTGCCGACCCGTATGCTAAACGTGGTAACTGGCAAATCCCCCCCAAGGGGAGATCTATATTCAGCAGTGGACAGTTAATGGCTGACATAATGATAGAGTTTTAATTTTCATGGTTGGGATTTGTGACAATAACTATCGGTGTAAAAATCATTATTTAAAAATGATAAAAAACAATTACTGGCTGGAAACATAATTTGTTTTATTTTAAATTTAAATCACAGTTTCAAAATATGACCAAGTTTTTTAGTACTCAACTATTATAATTTTAAAATATATATCTTAAAATTAATTTTGTTGGTGTTTGGTTTTGTCACTTCGATAAAAAATCTCGCAAGCCAGTAGTAGAAGGTAAAAGAGATTTTTTTTTATACAACTTAGAATGGCAAACAAGCTGGTGGTCCAACAAAGTCTCCCTCTGGTAGATGTTAGTTAGTTTGTACAAAAGTCGATTGCTTGGGTACCTCTGTCCCATTCGTGTTTCTACCGTGAAGCAGTTGTGTTTGCATGGCTGTGTTTCGGTGTGAAGGGATATGGCGTGAATTTACAGGGTACAGAGGAATAACATCTGACTCCTCCGGAATGGCAATGCATAGGGGGTATCATGGGCGTATATATACAGTATATTCTGTTATGTCCATGGTACTGCTCATGTGTATAGGCGACAGTTACTACTTTCCATCAGGTGGGCCGTCAGCTTGTTTGCTATTCTAAGTTGTATATAAAAAAAAAAAAAAACTTTTTCTTAATATTATTTCTGAAGGTACTGGTTATATATAAGTTGTTTTTACTTATTGTTATTTTTTTCAGGCTTGAACATATATGTTCATAAGGACACCAGATACAGACATCGTATTAACTGAGCTATTTCCATACACTCTCCATTGTGTGGCATGATTTAGTTTTAGTAATGAATAAGCAATCTTTCTTTATTGCATATTCCAGCAAAGGATAACACCAAGCCGTCTGGACTGCCGAGTCACATGCAGCCAACGCTGCCGCCAACGTTACCAACATTGGTGCCAGTCGGACCCAGTACGCCCACCATTCTACCTGTTTCAACGCAAAGTTTGAGCCAACCTTTAAACCAACATTTGTCCCAACATTCCCACATTTTGACACCACCTACACAACCATCACACCAGAATGCGGGCCAACCTTTTGTCCAACCGTCCAGTCAGGCTCAGACACGTTCACAAAGTGTTCATTCTCCTATAAATCTAAGCCAAACTCCGCCGTCGGCGTCCAACACGTCAACGTTGGTGACGCCGACACCAATAAGCGGCATGGTACCTATCCGTAATCCTTTGTACGACCAAACCGGGTTGACTTCTTCTGTGCTCCTGCAGCCTTTAAATGAGGTGAGTTGTTAAGTTTACACATCGAGCGATTTTCGAACGATAAGATTGTTTTACAAAAAAAAAAAACCGACTTTAATTGTGGCAAAACTTGTTGTTTTTACTTAAAAACTAATCTACTGAATCGATTTTGATAAAATGTCTATAGGATATGTCCAATCTGTATTTATTTTTAGATAAAAAAAGAATTTTCCAAATCGGTTTACAACTAACGCAGCTGTGAGGTAACAAACAAAAAAAAGACAATCGAATTGAATATCTTATTTTTGAAGTCGCTTGAAGAGGAGCAGATTCCCAATTCGTCTATACTATTTTTGTGTGTATGCTACGCTATATCTTCGCTACATTTGATTTGAATTCTTATTAGCATTCGATTTCCTGTTGCTCCCATATTGCTTTTGTCACTTTCGAAGTGTAGCTGTTATTGTTTTGTGGAGCAAATCCTATTGGTAATTTGTGCTGGTCATGTCTGTAGATGATGGTAGCCGCTGTCCATGGCATCCTTACATCATTAAAGCTAAAGACTAAAGCTTACCCAGTTGATCGAGTAAATAAATTTGTCATTCCAAGTTGTACAAAAAACCAAATTCAACTTGACATCATAAATTTGATGAGTTCCTATCGCTTTGCTTTATGACACAACTGGACCGTTTATGGTAAATATCTTACTATAACTCACTCGGGCAAAGCCGTAGGATACAATCAGTTGTAAAATGTACAACACGAAACGAAGACTTTTACCAGAGGGAGACTTTGTACAATAGTTGTTTGCGTCGGTACCTCTGTCCCATTCGTGTTTCAACCGTAAAGCAGTTGTGTTCGCATAGCTGTGTTTCGGTTTGAAGGGTGGCGGAAGATATAGCGTGAATTTACAGGGTACAGAGGAATAACACCTGAGTCCTCAGGAATGGCAACGCATGCGGGGTATCATGGGCGAAACAGTATACTCTGTTATGTCCATGGTACTGCTCATGTTTATAGGCGACGGTTACCACTTTCCATCAGGTGGGCCGTCAGCTTGTTTGCGATTCTAAGTTGTATAAAAAAAAAAGGTGAGCTTATCTCCAAAAGAGATTTCTTCCAGCAAACCCAATGTGAGAAAAACTGACAGCATTTTAATGTCGCAAATACAGCAACAACGGAGTGCAAAGGGTTAATCGTGCTGCTAAACAGCATGCTTGCATGCTGTGTTTCCGTTTAAATGTTGAGATACGGCAGTGAAATTACTTAACACTGACTCATGAGTACGAAAACAGAAGATTTATTCTTCAAGAAGTGAAACACAGTGCTCGTCATACCTATAGGCGTTTACTTCTTTCTGTCAGGTGGTCGATTTTTTAATATGTGATAATGAGCTATCGGTATATACTAGCAGGGCACTAGTGAGAGGTGATAGGTAAGGATGAAAGCAGGTCAGGTAGTCCATCGTGACGAATTTCACAAGAATTAACCACGGTGGTATCCAGAGGGAGCCTCCTGGACGTCGTACAAGGATATACTTCAATCAATGGGGCTTTTAGACCCAGTTATTAACAATCCCCCCGCCCATCCCTGTTAGATGGACCGTCTATTTTGTTTGTCATTTCAAATTGTGTATAAAAAAATCTAACTACGTCACAGAAGGCAGTTAGAAATACACTCAATCGGGACATTAAATAAATTCCTGATATTTTTCTAATTTTCCAGATGATATCGACTCCTATCGGCATTTCAATACAGTCTCAAATACCAATACTGTACCCGCGAACGACGACAGAGCTCATACAGACGCAGCAGCAACCAGACCCGCTCAAAACTGAACCTACTGCCTACAACATAGAGCTTATATCACAAAATAAAGACCCGCAAGAAATTATAGTACCCAACGACAAGGACGTGCAGCACAGTGAATTGTACGCAGAATACTTAACAAATCCATATAATGATGTAAAGGAAGTGTCACCAAAAGAGGCAACCCTATATGACCCGGAAAGTTTGACCCCCACTGACCAAACTGTACCGGATTCGAACAAGGATGTACATAATCCCCTCCTGTCTGTACTAGATAAGCAAAAGTCGTTCAGTGCTAATACAACACCTATGCATAGCAGAAATAAGACACAATTTAGTTCAACAGACAATGTAAGAGCAGATTCAAGTATATTTAACTTCACCAGCTACTTTGGTTCGGTCAATGAAAAGAGTGCGGAAGTATTCGACGTGTTGATGTCATCGCAAGAGGGATAGCTCATTACAGAGTGTGACGTAGGTACGTGGTTGTAATTTAAAAATGGAACTGTATAATTTAAAATTGTATTTATAAAAAAAAAAAATTGTAGACACAAAGGAATCAATTTACAAAGCCAATCGGTATGTTTCAATTTTTGTTATCATCTTTTTTATATTTAATTCAGTATCTTAATTAAGGTAACCAATTTCTTAAAAACTAGTGTTAGTATTTATGGCGGGAAGTATAGATATGACGAACCCAGTATGTGCAGTGCTAAATTGGCAATTCTTCTCCTCTCTCTCTCTTCTCCTCTCTCTCTCTTCTCTCTTCTCCTCTTAATAACCTCTTAATAAATAAACTATTTTCTTACTGCACTGCACATACTAACATAGTTTTTATTACAAGGGACTAAAAAAATTAGGCAGCATGGTCTCCGACCTTAGCCTGTTCCACAACGGAACAAACGTGCTAAAAAAAATTAATATTGAGTATGTACATACCTCGTATTGTATAGTGTCGTTGGTACAGGTTTTTTTTTTCAAGAATTTTTTTTTAGTTTTTGGTAATATAAAAAATTTTTCTAAGAAAAAATAAATAGTCTTTTTTGACATCCTATTTATGAATTCTGACACTGGTTTTAAAAAATGGGTTATTTTAATTAACGTACAGTGTAGCTTATAATTTTAGTAAAACAATCCTAAAGACGTCAATTTACACAATACTAGTAAACTTTCACGATAGCAAGATGCCTCGAAAAAATAAAATAACAGAAATATGACTTGGCAATTAAATATCAATACTGTTAAAACCCATAGACAGAGAATGGACTGAGTGTGAGCAATAAATCCTTACTTATACATGTGAAAGTGAGTTTGTTTGTTTGTTAACTATTAGCACCTTAACGGCTTAACCAATGTGTTTGTATGGTTGCTTCGGTTTAAAGGGATATGGCAGTGAATTTCCAGGGTACAGAGGAATAACACCTGAGTCCATCAGGTGAGCCGCAAACTCCTTTACCCCTGTGTTAAAAAAAAATTTAATAATCAACTATATTTGAGCCATGTCTCTGGACTTTGTTAATTACCAGTGGGTTACCACTTACCATCAGGTGAACAGACTAAGTAAAAAAAAAATTAATTCGTCCCTCGAATTACTGAGAATGAATTTTTGTCATCAGTATACACTTACTAATATTATGGGAAAGTGTGTTTGTTTGTTACCTCATAACGCCTTAACAGCTTAAGCAATTACTATGAAATTTATTTACATGTACTATATGCGGTGGAGGAGGGCATAGACTACCTTTTGTCCCGGTCAATGTCGTGGACTGAGTCGCGAGTAAAAGTTACACAAAAAAAAACTACCATTATATGTCTTTAAATAACAACTGTGTTGCCATAAACTCATATAAAACTATTGATCAACTTAGTGCAATGAAATTACCACTTTTTTCCCTATATAATAAAGTTGTTATTATATTTTATGAAATATGTAGTTGTGTCGATACGTGTTACAAGATAATATGGCGTAGTTCTGACAGAGGTTTTGTCCAATAATGTATGTCTCAGTTGTGGTAAAGTCTATTTAGTGGGATTTTGTAAATTAAACTAACTAGAAATGTAACGGTGACTCTTAAATTATAATAACCAGATATTACTGAATACATTTAAGATCAATAATGGAAATACTGGATTAGTTTTACAAGGATAAAACGTGTTTATTAGTGGAAAAAAATAATAATTTGAAATACGTCTCAATATTGAATAGATTTATTTCTAACTATTGTGTATATAGGGTACGGTAACCGCTTACCATCAGGTGGGCCGTATGCTTGTTTGCCAACTCAGTGGTATAAAAAAAAAGTATTTACAACTTGTTAAATGTCATGAAATTATTGTTTTATATTTGACATCAACGTACATCTTACCATTAATGAGAATGTGAGTACTCTAATGAGTTTATTTTAATCTACTAGTCTTACCTCATTTTTCTTCAATCATATTGTTAGAATGAGACAAAATACTTTGTTTTATAAAATTGATTTTTAAAAAAATTATTAATTTCTTTTTATGAATAATTTATAAATTTAAATGTTAAACGGCCTACAAATAGATTGTATTTTATTATACGGATTACATCTATATTATGTTTACATTCCAGGCTATTTTTTTATGTATTTATTAATTTAATAACTATAATTGATTAGAGCATGTACACAGCGAAACTATATCGTACATTTCAATGTTATGTCTGGTACAGCATGAAAAGTCGATGACCACCTACATACTTCCAAAACCCAACCCTTGCATACGTAAATGGCACAATAAGTTTAGTGTACAATTTCAATGAACATCTTATAAAGTCAAAATTATATATATATATATATATATATATATATATATATATATATATATATATATATATATATATATATATATATATATATATATATATATATATATATATATATATATATGTATTTTATTAAATTATCTGTGGGTGTCCAAAAAGGTGACTAAGGGAATTTAATAAAACATCACCAAAACCTAACTACGGTGCTTGTCAATCGTAGCAATTGCTAGCAAATTCCCCTAATGGAAGTAGGCCTTTGTTCAGCAGTGGACAGTTACCGGTTGATGTGATGATGATGATGACGATGATGACGATGATGGGTTTAGAAAATGTTTACTTCTTGATCGACTTTTTATGCTACTTAAGTTTTATATATAAAACATTGGAGCCGATTCTGAGGTGCTATTTCTCTAAATTTTTACTCTTAATATTTTAACTATTTCTCAAAATAACCATTTTATGGACTATCAAAAGTTAAAATTATAATAAATTTGACTTAAATTAGAAAATTAGTTCACATTGGTCCTTAGAATATTTTCTTTTGTGATATCAAATTGAAATTTCAATTTTAAAAATAGAATTTAGAGCAATGGCGCCCCAGAATCATATTGTCACACTACAAAAGTTTCAGGGTTACTATTCTGTGTTAAATATAAGGGAAAACATGTAAATTGTGTAATTATTTTAATGTGTATAGAGAGATATATCAAACTATTGTAATAGCAGTGTAATATATGTTTAACATTGATTAATAAAACGTGTTTATCAAATTGGCGCATTTTTTTTATTAAATCTTTGTATTCTACCGCTTGTTTGGAGTAAGAATGAATATATATAGCGAGTCTTTATATATTTTTTTAATGCAACTTAGAATGGCAGACAAGCTGACCGCCCGCCTGATGGAAAGTGGTAACCGTCGCCTATAGACATGAGGAGTAACATGGACATAACAGAGTGTACTGTTTCACTCATGAATACCTCCATTACGTTGCTATTTCTGAGGACTCAGGTATTATTTCCTCTGTATCCGCTCCTCCTCCGTATGAGCTCCCTGCCGATGTTTTCCCTAGAGACTACAGTATGGGGTTCTTAAAAATGGTGCATTAAAGTTTTCATTAGTGTCGGCAATGCGCACGTGATAACCCTGGTGTTGCAGACATCCGTGATGGACCTCATATATATTTTCTTTAATTTAAATTACAGTTTTTCCTTATGTCTGTCAGTTTTTTATTATTTGATTCGTTTAACTATCTCTGTAGGGGGGAAAGGGATTGTTAGTAATGGAAACAGCATCCCATTGCTAGCAATATACCCAACCAGGTCGACCTCCTCGCGGTTCTCCCTGGAAACTATTATGGTTAATTCCTGATGAATTCATCATGATGGGCTAACTGGCCTGTTTTCATTCTCATCTATCACCCATCACTGGTGCTCCGCCAGCCTACCCCGTTAGCGCAGGCGGGGTTACCATACCATTTTCACCCATAAAAAAAAACTATCTCTGTATCGTTACTTGCATAGACTTAGTATACCATACTTTATAATTTAAGGTTATTTGGCTACCGAATATATTTTTTATAAGTCAATTTCTTGGTTCTCTGATGAATACTCTCAAAAATTATATATTATTTGCCACAGATTATATATAGTAATAATAATGTTTAATCAATAAATCACTAGGCAGTTTCTTTTTAAAGGCTGATAATTTTTATAGTTGGAAATGCATTTGTTCAGGTATTCCGTCTTCGCTATTTGATACGGGTGGCCGGATGCCTGCTCTAATGGGCATATAGAGTATATATATTTGGTGATAAAGTGCAAACTAGGGGGCATAAAGTACCATAGACGGTTTAAGACTGCTCCTGAGATAATAGAGTGGTCGTAATGGTAACCCCGACTGCGCTATGGGGATACGCTAGCGAGGCACCAGAATAGAATGGCAACCCCGCCTGCGCTATCGGTATACGCTTGCGGAGCACCAGTGAGGGATGATAGGTAATAATAAAAAGGCAAACCAGTTAGTCCATCGTGATAAATACACTTGGAATTCAGCGTGATGGTTTCCACGGGAGACCACCTGAAGACAAGGTATATTGCTAGTAATAGGACTGGTGTTCCGTATTACTAACAAGGGAAGGCCCCACAAATGACTATTTTTTTTTTTTGATGGGTGAAAATGGAATGGTAAACCCGCCTGCGCTAACGGGATACGCTGGCGGAGCACCAGTGAAGGGTGATAGATGAGAATGAAAACAAGCCAGTTAGCCCATCATAGAATTCATCAAGAATTAATCATGATAGTAATTTCATTGATAGTGATTAGGCGTGTGGTCCCGGTATAGAATGGGCCACCCCTTCATTTCCTGTGGGTGTCGTAAGAGGCGACTTAGGGAATTTAATGATCGAGGGTTAGTCAGCAATGTTCGTTTCAAAACATCATCAAAAACTGCCGTTGTCAACCCGCCTACCATGTGTGGCAACTACTAGTAAAATCTCCCAAGGGGGAGGTCTATGTTCAGCAGTCGACAGTTAACGACTGTGTCATCATCATCATGATTAAGGTGTTATGCCTTTGACCCTGTAATTTTATTGCTATATCCCATTTAATTTCTGTCATTATATAGTAATTGCACGTTTTACGTTATCAAAAGAACATGTAGAATGGCAAACAAGCTAACGCACACCTGATGGGCAGTATTAACCGTCGTCTATAGACATGATTATTTATTTTAAATATTTATAAATTGTGTAGTGTAAAGGAATAAAAATTCAAATAATTTATGAAAATATTACGTAAACTAATTTATCAATTAGTACTTATAATTTAAGAGAAGAACCTGTGGCACTATTAATGAAGAAGGAATATAAAAATGATCATTATTTATTTTAATACAAGATAGATTATAACCTTAAAAGGATATATTTGATCTTAGATCACAGATAAACTAAGTATATTGGAGATCTATCTTTAGACTACAGATAATCTATGATTCAGTGGTAACCTTCGTTTTGTAATGAGGAGTGCTATGATCTCGATTTACTCCTAGTATTAACTTGGGTATTCGCTTCAATCTGTGTTTTTGTAATAAGATGAAACAGGCCCGTAGAACGAGATGACAAATAAAACGGAATTTTGTATAAAAATCAACAGTATATTTTATATAAAATTACAATAATTATGTACATAGAACTATTTACAATCGAGAGCGCCTTCACAGAAGGCAGAGGCACCGTAAGGCACACGGGGTTACAGTCTCTGACACGTCACAGCGGTCACACCGCTGAGACGGGTAGCGGGCGCTTGTAGTAGGGGTGATGCGGGCGCAGCAGCGGCGGCTCGCAGCACGGAGCCTTGCGCGGCGGACACAGCGCGCGCGCCCACACCGCGCCCGACTTGCGCGACCACGCCCACGCGGCCGCCGCCGCGCCGCCGCCCGCCCACAGCCAAGCGCCCGCCGCCGCCGCCGCCGCCGCGCCGCCGCCCGCCGCGCCGCCGCCCGCCTCCCGCGCCGCCAGCAGCGCCAGCTCGCCCTGAGCGTGCCGAGCGCGCGCCTCCAGCACCCGCGCGGCGGTGCCGGCCGCCGCCACCGCCAGGTACAGCGCGCCCGCCGCCGCCGCGCGCGCCGCCAGCCTGCCCACCCTCTTCGCGCCCCTCGAGTCCAGCGCGCGCCGCACTCTCATTATACCAGGGCCTGCGCCCGCCGCGAGCGCCAGCGCCGTGACGAGCAGCGCGCCACGTGGTACGCCGATGAGAGCGGCGGCGGCCGCGTCCGCGACGCCGCAGGTGCCGGTGAGCTCGTCGGCGGCGACGCGGCGTAGCGCGAGTGCCGCTGCCGTCCAGGCGCCGGCCCAGCCCCACGCGACCGCGTGTAGGTAAGCCGCAGCACGCTCGAGCGCCTCGCCGGACCACTCGCTTGCCGCCGTCAAGTACCATGCGACGCACGCGTTCGCGAACCACGCGTCTGCAGCCAGCGTGAAGTAGTACGTGAGTGCGAAGAATGCGACGCACGTTGGCGCCGCGAGGCCGTCGACGGCGAGCGTATCACCAGCGCAGGACACTACTTTCGCGCCGAGCCAACTCCTCGCGACGTACGAGAGAGCCACTATTGTGTGGCACGCAGCCATCCAGACCACCGGTCTCTCCGGGTACCGGTATCTCGACGGTTCCGCACAGAATGTCAGCAGGGCGAAAGAAGTCGACAGGAGTGAGAACCAGGCGAGCGTCGTCATCCATATTTCGGCCGATCTCTTGTCGGCCTGGGTGTACCGAGCGTGTTGGCCGCACGCCGGCCAGCATTCCCCGGTCGGCGCTCTGGTGTACGCGGGTGGACATCCGTGTTCCCTTAGCTCGTGTTCCTGGAAAAACCATCGGGGCGGTGGCGGCGGTTCAGGTTCTAGCTCGCTCGCGTTAGGCGGTCTCATGCAGAGTTTTCTGTCGGCTCTGTTGGGGAAAACCGAGCAATCAAGTGTGATGCCGGGGTTCAGCAGTTTCAATTGTTCTTTGCAGTCGTCGACGACGGTATCGCAGAGCGCTCTGCAAGCGCTCACGGAGCCAGAGACCTGCTCGGTGCAGAGTGGGGTGAACGCAGAGCACAGCAGGAAGCGAGCGTGGACTGAACATCCGCTGGCCAAAATACCGGCAAACGCGACCATCTGGAACAAAGACAATAAAAATTTTAGATGATTTTTGAAAGTCGATAATTATAACTACGATTTTATTTACGTAAACTGCATTGTATTAATCCTTTTATATTCGAAGAAAAGTTTCTTAAATTACTACATTCATTCTTGTTTCATCAAATTTAGTTATAGCAATATTTTTATTTGTGAATCTGAACAATAACTTAATATTTTATAATATATTGCGTGTGTGCTAAATTGTATTGGACTTTGAACAGTAAACATTCACAAAGGGCAGGTTTCGAGCTTGGAACATTGAAATCGGAGGTGAAAACAAAAACTTGCAAATGACGGGTTGAGAGACAATGGCAAGGTCGATGCTGAGACTTGTTTTTTGGTTAAACGCTGACGGATGTCACGGAACAAAATAAAACATCAAGTTTGGTGGCCTCTAATTTGATTCTAACGAAATTATGTATGATAGATGTAATTGGAAGTTATTCGTTACGGAAGAGGTAACAGGTATATACCAATAGTCCTAATTAAAAGATAGATTACACGAGTCTTTTTGGTTTTAATAACATTTTTTTATGACTTCAGAAAGAAGTAAGTTCTCAATTCGGTCGTATTTTTTTGTTTGTTACCTTATAACTACGTCCGTTCTAAATTGATTTGGAAAAGTCTTTTTTATCTGAAAGGATAAACTTTTAGAAATATAGTCTAATATGTACTCGTACATATATTACCTGAACGATTAGTTTTGATTTTTTTTTATACAACTTAGAATGGCAAACAAGCTGACGGCCCACCTGATGGAAAATTTTGAAATATAGTCTTATATGTATATATATTGCCTAAACGATCAGTTTTGATTTTTTTTATGCAACTTAGAATGGCAAACAAGCTGACGACCCACCTGATGAAAATGGTAACCGTTGCCTATAGACATGAGCAGCATCGTGGACATAACAGGGTATACTGTTTCGCCCATGATACCCCCCCATGCGTTACCATTTCAGGACTCAGGTGTTATTCCTCTGTACCCAGTAAATTCACGCCATATCCCACCCTTCAAACCGAAACACAGCCATGCAAACACAACTATAATTTTTCACTATAATTTTTAATTTAACAACCCCGTCTATGCTACTAGTATATGTTAGCAGGGCACCAGTGAGATAGGTAAAGATTACAGTATGTTAGTCTATGGGGGAACCATAGATTGCCATAAAGAATGGTCTTGAGCTACTGTACTGACAATTGTTTAAAATTAACCATGACGGTTTCAAGAGAGAACCGCGTGAAGGTCAACCTTATAGAGTATATTGATAGCAGTTTAACCTCATTAGTAACAATCTCTTTTCACGCTATAATTTATTAGTATCAACTGCAAAGTACATACTTCCTTACAAGTACGTTTATTTTAATTCACTTCATGCCAAAGCTTCCCTATAAGGCCTTAACTTTTTCAATGGATGGTTGTTGGGTACTGTCGCGTATAATTGTCGAACGGTTGACGCCACAGGCCACAAAAACTATTCACAGAACCGGCCTTAGGATTACGAGTTTCGGCGTCCACTGAGACGAATTTGGTTTCGGTAAAAAATCTCTGGCCTTTCGATGTTCTGGTCAAGTTTATGGCGAGAAAAAGGATAATTGTGACAATTTACAGCAATCGTATAGTGTTAAATATGAATTTTGAAACTTTATTAAAGAAAAGCTCTTAATAATTATGGTAGAGTGACTAAGCATAAGTAAATTTCTGTATATTTTTATATTGCACCTACACATACTCTGCCAGCAATTTCTCCTTTCCATTTCAGGTTTGTAGGAAGAGAACTTCCTCAGAATTAAACTCGCCTGTAGTATGATCTGAGTCCTCGGGAATGGTAACGCATGGGGGGGTATCATGGGCGAAAAAGTATATTTTGTTATGTCCATCAGGTGGACCGTCAGCTTGTTTTCCATTCTAAATAGCATAAAAAGTATATCTATAATCAAAATTACTTATAACAATGTGATCTTTGTGTGCAATAAAATATAAATAAATAAATATATTTTCATTGTTACAAACGATCTCGGGACCTTCATGTCTTGCCCACATTTTATCAAGTGTATCCGTAGGAGATAGGTTCAGGGGCAAGCCCACTATTGTCAGTGTATCAGTCATCACTGTCAGATATGGTATCAGTCTGTAGCGTAGGCGGTAAGGTAGGATGTGAGTGCTCACGGTCAAAATATTTTTTTCGACAATATCTTCCTAGATACGTAATTGGTAGTAATTTTGGATTATTAGTAAAAGGAGCGAGATTCAAACTTAGGATCCCGATGATCTTAATCCGAATTCTAGCCTAAATCTTTGGATTTTTCATTTCAAAAATGGATAATCATTTAAATTTGGATAATCATTTAAAAAATGATTATCACTTGCTTCGTACTTCCGAGATTACGTAAAGCCTTCATCCGGTAGGCTACGTCGGCTTTTGTGTATAACGAATACAGTCTCTTCATACTAGAGAATGTCTGAATGGCTGATAATGGAATGGTAACCCCAGCTGTACTATCGGTATATTTTGATGATATGGACACCAATGAGGGATGATATGTGATGTCACCAGATCATTTGGTCCATCGGGACTTATTCCCCAAAAATTAACCAAGATGGTTACCAGGGAGAACTGTATGGAGGTCGACCTGATAACCCTATTATAAACCCAAATTGGTAGCAATAGAGCTATTAGATCCCCATTACAACAATCTATTCCCCTAAACTAGAGAATGCTCATCCTCACGGTTAGACGGGGCTAGGTTAATTTCTGTTTTTTTTTTTTTATTATAACACAGGATGCAAACGAATATGCGGCTCACCTGATGGTAAGTGACCACCGCAGCCTATAAGCACCCGCAATACCAAAGGCATCGCAGATGTGCTGCCAGGCTTTTAAAAAGGAGTATGCTTTTTTCTTGAAAGTTATGATGTTCAATACAATGTGCCAGTCGACCCTTCAACCTCAATTATCCTTCCCCGATATTCACCACGCAAATAGCTCAAGCGGGGTTACCATTACCGCCTTTATAAAACACTATAGCAGTAATAACGTTGTATATTAATGCATACTGACGTCAGTGTCTAGTTTCTATTTAATTTTCCATACTGATGGGTAGCATCCGTTTAAAAAACTAAAAGATTAGGATCAAAGAGTGACTAATCAGAGCGAAGGCCGGTTCAATTAAAATGTGTTTTTGAAAACACGGTTTATGTTACATTGCGCGTGTAACTCTTTGATCATTCAGCTCCCGGCCTTTGATGTAGTTTGGCCAATTAAGTTCACGGGAATCAAACTGAAATGTTTGATTTATAGTACATAATATCTTTATGAGAAATATTCTCGGTGAAATTTACTGTTTTATCTATGTAACCTAGTCGTTTGTAATGATACTTTTTAACGGATTTGAACAAAGACAGGACATTTCTTTTTTTTTTTTGTATATTACGCGGTATTTTTTATTTATTTATTCTTAATAGGCATGTGTAATATGGATACCCATCCAATGTGTATATATATATATATATATATATATATATATATATATATATATATATATATATATATATATATATATATATATATATATATATATGTATATATATAATTTAAATACAGTAGCCTACATGTTAATTTAAAAAAAAAAGTGTGTGCGTAAATGTGTGTCTGTGTTTGTGTGTGCGTGTGTGTGTGTGTGTGTATGTGTAATTGCTTGCAAATTTAAAATTAACCCAGTCGGACTTGAAGAATTTTATCTGTTAGTATTTTTTCCCGTTTACTTACTATTACTACATTTACACAGTAATAAAGTAGACACAAATAATAGAATGTAATATAATTGCTGTGTGGTCCCAGCATAGAATGGGCCACTCCTTCCTGTTCCGTGGGTGTCGTAAGAGGCAACTAAGGGAACTTAATAGTCGAGGCCAGCAGCGCTCCTTTTAAAACCAAAAACCAAACTGCGGTTGTCAAGCCGCCTGCTAAGCGTGGCAACTACTGGCAAAATCCCTCTAATGTGGTAAATTGCATTAAGAAACGGTCCTTATGACAGTCTATGGGGGAGGCCTACGTTCCCCATGATGATCAATGTATTTATTACATGAAATTAAAATTTTTAACCATTAATACCTATTTATAATTTTCAATACGCAGTTTAAAAAATATTTTTAAACTATACTCACTAAAAATCTATTAATGAAGAATATCTCCTGCAGACATAAGTATTTATTACTTTTTTTTACATTATAGATTGTTTTTTTTTTTTTAAATAAGGATTACTAAATACAACAAACAGTGTACCGGAGCTTAAATCCCATTATAGTACGGTAGATTGCGCACAACGTGAAGTTTTTTTTTTTTTTATATTTAAACGTGTCAGTTTCAAGCCAACAATTGTAAGTAAACAGTTGTGTTTGCGCTTTAGAAAGGTTTGGGCCCAGGTCGGCTCCACTTAAGATGTTTTTGTTAAGGGCAAGACGACTCAGACGTGTAATTTATATTTTTATTTATAATATAAATGTTACGAGTATAAATAATTTTATCAGTTTATCTATTAAATTAACCAAATAAATCCTTACTCCTCAAGAGTCCTCAGGAATGGCAACGCATGGGGGGTATCATGGGCGAAACAATATACTCTGTTATGTCCATGGTAGTGCTCGTGTCTACAGGCGACGGTTACCACTTTCAATCAGGTGGGCCGCCAGCTTGTTTGCCATTATAAGTTGCATAAAGAATTTACATAGTCATAATATGCTTATATATAAAATAACAACATAAACTACTTATATAAGATTAAGGTAAAAGTTGGTGTCGTGTCGTATAAAGAGGTGAAGAGACTTGCTGAAAATTGTAGTGAGTGGCAAGAGCGCAGCTCTTAAATAGAAAACGTGAAAAAATAAGTAAAAATTAGTGCAAATAAAAAAAATAAACGAAAAATAATCATTAAACGACTACCAATAAACGAGAAATATGACTAATTGATTA